GGTATCTGTAGGAATGAGATGGTGGCCACTTAGGTCTACTCTGGTTTGGGATCTCCATCCGACAGGCGGTGACTTGGGCTTTGTAGATATTCTCTAGTTTGTGGTTGGTACATGCACTGAAAAGTCCTGATCCATAAAATGACATACCCTTGATGTGTCTCTTCGTCTTGTTGGGAAAATTAGATGAGTGCAGCCATGTGTGCCAGCGGAGAGCGATGGAACCAACCAGAGCCCTTGAGTTGCAGTCAACGTGATGTCTCACCATACTCAATTGCTGAATGTCCAGCCGCATGGCTTCACGATTAAAAACACAAACCAGGTCCCGTTGCTTCTCAGGCATAATCGATGTAATGGACTCCAGCTTTTGCAAAAGGAAATATTGATATATTGGTTGCCTTGTAGTTTGAGATCTGCAGACCAAGGCCCATTGCAGCATAGATACGATGAGACATCAAATTGATCTTGCGTCCTCCATGTCTCCAGGATAGGAGTGTTGCCTATTCTTTTGACCCTGTGATGACTCGATGACTATAGAGTTAGGCTTTGGATGTTTCAAGAGGAAGGGGATGTCTTGTTCCCTAACCTTGTACATTGACTCGAGAGGTCAGGTGTGGCTGGTTTGGGTATTCCCAGGTATCCGTCATGGCCTGCCAGAGAGTCATGATTAATGGCAGGGAGATGGCCAAGGACTGTTCCTTGCAAACGATATCATAGAGATTGTCCATGCTAGGTGCTGGGCTTCAATCTCCAAGGATCTGGCCAGACATGCCATCAATTCTCCAAAGGTTGAGTAAGACTCTTCCAGAGAACCTGGATGCTGGTTGAGATGACGGCATTGGGCAAGGTAGAAGCCTGCTCTGAGTCCTCTGAATCAGAGTTGTATTGATACGGGGAATTTGAGGACGAACCAGCCAGAGACAAAGGAGGCCTGGAGAGAGCAGCTGCTGATGTTGAAGGGGTGTCTCTCTGTGACGGGCAAGGGCGATGATAACATGTCAAGGGCATCGGGTTGTGACCATATGGTGGGAGATAGTCCCATGGGTAAGACTGGGACAGGCCAAATCCACTGCAAGGCATCAGCACCCAATTCCTGGAGGACTGGTCTGAAGCACGCTGATGGCGGTGCATGTCTGAGGCTGAGCCCTTGAAGATGCCTCAGGCGAGGATGGCATTGGTGTTGGAGAATGTGTTGATGGTTGCCTGGCTTGAGATCGGGGGGGGGGGGGTCCCGAATCTCGCCATCCAACATGGATCCACGAACCACAGCCTCAGAATGGTCCAAAGTCAATGGAGCCGAGATGGAGATCCTCTGAGGGGACTCTGGCGGAGTCACTTGCATCACGGCCGGACAGAGTTGGGACCGAGACAGTAGCTGGGACCGATGGTGCGGTCAAGACCGAGTCTCTCTGTGGTTCTTTGGCAAGCTTCTGCCGCTTGCAGTCTGGCTTGTTGGTTTTAGCCTTTTGGGGCTTCTTTGGAGTCAAGGGCTCATCTGACCCGGTATGCTTCCATTTTTCGTTTTGTATTTGAAAAGGAGAACAAGAGGAGCAGGCAGTCACCATGGAGGTCATACCATCAGCCAATGGACAATGGGGAGATGCCACGGATGGGCCTGCTGGGGCGGTTTGAGCAGCAAGCTGGTCAGACGTGAGCAAGGCCTGGTCCCAGAGAATTTTTTGGAGACGTTTCTTGCAGTTTTTCTGGGCTTGCTTGGTGAAGGATTGACAGTGGCCACATTTGTCAATCCTGTGCCCTCCCACTAAACAGAGGAGGCACAGATCATGAGGGTCCATGGGGGACATTTTGGCCCTGCACTTGGAACACTTCTGAACTCCGCTCGCTGAGCCATCGAGGAGAGGAAAGGGATAGCAAAGCGAGAAAGGTTAAGAGCAACAATAGAAGGGTTTTTTGGGGGGAGGGGGAAGGGGGAAAAGGGGAGAGAAATTTCTAAACTGGGGTAGGAAAGGTTATTTGTAACTTGGAAAAGGAGTTTTCTTAACAAGAGAGAAAGAACAACGAGAAAGTCTAAACAAGAATGGTAGGTATAGCAAAAATACAAGAGAGTAACGAACAGCTTGAGGCAAAGCGACTGGCGGTCGAATGAAGACTGGGGAAAACTAAACTCCGCTCTTTATACTACAGTGGGGGAGGGGTGCAGAGTTCCTGCCAAATCTGTTAAAGCTTTGAATCTTTCTCGGCTGCAGGCACCTGTAATGTGTGATGCACAGAGGCCACGACGAAGAACGAAAAATTCCACACTCATCACTTGTAGATCCTTTTTGTGCTTTATAGTTGGCAACCATCTTCTACTTTACATTCTGATTGGGGGAAGATCTGGATTTAATATACATGAAGCTGCTGCTATATGCCTAGCTTGACCATCAATTTATGCTCCAGGTGCAAGTATTTATCCTCATGCAGTGAGTGCAAGAGCAGCCAAATGTTCACTAGCTGCACCTCTCGTGTCCCCACTGTCCTCCATCTCTTGGAGGTGGACTTCAATGGGAAGCCTCCATCTGATTGAAACCCTGCATGATCAAATATCTAAATCACATGGGGAGCTCACGCCAGTGAAGCAAGCTCCTTGTTGCAGACTTTCACCTTCCAGTGTTGGTGGAGGGACTGGGTGATAGGAATGCAATGTAGAAGACACATCAGCTGCTGCATTCCCATCTTCCCACAGGCAATACTTGTCATGTGATGCTTTGAACCCCTGGATAGGTCAATGTTTCTAAATAGCGTTCACTCTTGCTTTTTTTTTTGGCTTGCTTATGTACTGGATACTTCAGTGATGGTAACAAGATAGGGTATAGTTGAAATCACAATTATGGCAAATAAAAACACTGTTTTTCCATAAGAGAAACCAGAGAACATTGCTAAGTTGTATTTCAGAGTATCACTTACTAAATAAAATGTTTATGTTCTAGAACTGATTTCATATAGTGTCATATATGAAAACAATGCCATAAATGGTTGCATTGAATTGGATTGCTTTTCAGTAGCAAAAGAAAAAGATTGACTGAATGCAGCATAAAGTAAATCTTTTTAATATATATGTAGCATATTGTTTGATTACAGCAGGACAGCAATTCCAGTTAAATAAAATTAAAACAGTTTAACTTTCTTCAATATAAAATTATTAACTCATGTCTTAAAACAGTATAGCTTTAAATTGCATCACCTTTTTCCACAGTAGTCATCACCAATTATATACTCCATCACTTTGGCAAAAATGATGTATTTTTTAAAAACAGTGCAGAATATTACAGAAACTGTATACAACTTCATATTGCACTTATTTATATACAATAAACTGTAAAAGAAAATATAGCATTTACTTGGAATGAACATGAATTTATCACAATCATAGATGAAAGCTGGTATGAATATTAAAAATGTTTAGAAATGCAGTGCACTTATGTACAGATTTTATGAGCTTTATTAACAAATATGTACATATCTTGCTTTCTTGATAGTATTATAATGACCTTTGGTTGGATGCAACTGCTTGATCCATTTTAAGCTTCTATGCTTTCCAAAATGTCAGCAAGGTATAAAATGGAATACAACTGATCAGTCAACAGTACAAAAAACTACTTCTACTTATATTAATCCCTCAAATTAGTGCCTATTTAGTACAATAGTGTTTGTACTTTATTATCAATTTGTATGTGCATACACTGAAGAACACTTTTATGGTTTAAGTCTGCAAACCTACATTCCACAACATCTGCCTATGTGCCATTTTATAATTCGATTATAAGAACAAAAGAAGGTTGTCCCAAACACTTTTCTGAAGATTGAGAACTTTTAATATTGCCAGCAGAATATAAAAATGTGCCCCATCAGTTTTGAATTCTATGACCTATTACTTCCTTATCCCTGACTTATCCAAAGACAACAGTTACAATCTGTGCAGTTTATTTTCAACTTTGGATTTCATCCTGAGTTTGCTAATGACCAAAAATCCAGTTGTGTTCCAAGTAAAAGGTATTTTTCATTTACAAAATGCTTATGCAACTGAAGAAGAGCTGGGCATTCCGTGAACTGTTGTGCTTGTCGGTGTCCCACTAATGGCATTGAAAATGTGCAGTGAATTAGGCATTACACTGGCCTTTTCTTCCGCAGCAGTAATCTTAAAGAAAGAAAACACGTATGTTTTACACGTAGGCATCTCAGAAATGGGGGATAACTTTGGTCTTTGCTTTGGCCAGCACCCATACTGCAAGTAGGACTATCAAAGACCTAACTTTAAACAAGAACAGAAAACTATTCATATAGGAAATCGAACCCAGATACATATTTACTTGAAAGCAGTAGCTCATTGATTTAAATGGAATGTACCTCCAGGTAATTTAATAAGGATAAGCTACAAGTGTCCACTGAGAAAAGATTTGAAAATTCTGGTTGTGTTAACTGAACCAATTGAATTGTTGTTGTTATTGTTAATTATAAACAATAAGTTATGTATTATTTAATACATTATTTATTGTTATTGTACTTATTTATATTGCACCTATTTCTAATACTGGGACTCAAAGTGTATTAAAACATTAAAAACTAATACAGTTAGAAGTTGTATAAGTTGAATGAATTAATGAACGAGGTTCACAATTTTAGCTTCTTTAAAACAGGCTAGTGTCAAATTGTTGTTTCCCTGCACAATTAATATTAACTACAGTTCTAGGCTGCAAGCTGTAGACAAGCAAATAAAGTTTCCAAACTTTTCCTTATTAGTATGGAGAAGGGGCAAGAAGGCTCACAGCTGCTTATTCCTGTTTGTATGTTTTACACTAAACTATGCTTTAGCATGGTGCATGACCACAGAATGAATAATCAATTTATTCTACCAAGAAAGAAATTAAGTTTATGTCTGCACTACAAGCAAACATATAACACATTCTATCTTGTGCTGTTGAAGCAAAATGCAACATAAAACTAGTAATAGAAACTAAAAGGTATTACCATCCCAGCTGATCACATATCCAAAGCAGCATAGGGGGAAAGGAAGGAAGAAAGAGAGATGCCCATTAAGATTTCCACAACATGTATTTCAATGTTTTGAGCACAAAAATGGTATATTCTCTTCAACATGTATTTAAGAAAAAAAAACCGGACACTTCAGTGTTTGCAGAATAGGTCATTCAACCAAACTAACATGCCTCAAACATACAACACAGACACTTGGGTATTTCAATAAACGAAGTTCCAGTTGTATTCTTTATAGTTTCACCCAAGCATTTCTTCCTTTTATAATTGTATGTCTCTGTAGAAAACACCAGGGCTTTTACAGCAGGGCATTTAAATTGTTGAGCATGAATTGTTGAGCATGTGTACTAATTCTTGAACATTAAACCATATAGTGATTGGATGGGTTAGAAATATCCTGAAAGACAGACAGACAGACAGACAGAGCGAGCGAGCACTACTGGAACACAGTCACTGCAGAAACAATTCTTTTAGCCAAACAACCCATAGTAGCTGTGCTGACTGGTGATAGTTAGCGTAGTGTCTACTTAAATGAAGGGGATTGCGTCACTTGTCCCATGCTTTCCCCACTGGAAAAGATGTCACAGCTCTTAGTGCATTGGTTCCACTCCTCCTGGAAGGCACAGCACAAGATAACAGCAGGTATTCCTCCCCCTGCTAGCTTCCACTAGTCTCCAGGGGGCAGAGATCTGGGAATGGGATGGATTAGCCCCCACACCCACCATGGGCTGCAGCTCCCATGTCTCTCAATTTATTTTTTTAAGGGGAATATAATTGGTTAATGAGAAAAGGGAAAGCCTGGTGCTCATTTTTCATCATGAGGCAATACTGCGTTTAGCTGACTCCCTAGTTATCTAGCATTAATCTTTTTTTTTAGTTCTGTCCTTTTAAAGTCCTTAATATCAAACTGATTTTGTGAAAGTGTTTGCCCTGTACCAACCGTAAGAGAATTGAAAGACCCAGTGTGGTGTAGCAGTTAAGAGTGGGGGACTGGGGCTCAAGAGTCCCCACTCAGCCATGTAGCTAACTGGGTGACTTTGGTCCAGTCACAGCCTCTCAGCCAACCTACCTCACAGGATTGTTGTGTGGATAAGACTGAGAGAGGGGGAAGAAGTAAGCAAGCTCCCTTGAGTTTCTTGAAAGGAAAAGGGTGGGATATTAGGAAAGGAAAGGAAAGGAAAGGAAAGGAAAGGAAAGGAAAGGAAAGGAAAGATAACTAAATGCACTGATTTATAGGAGTTAACAAATCCTAGTATATCTGTTACAAAAACTAACTTTGGATAAAGAAATCCAAAGTATGGAAGTCTTAACCATATCCTTCTTCATTAAAAATATTATTTACTGGCCATTTTAGGCAAAGCATGTAAACAACTCTGCCTAAGGATGTATCTTAAGACAACGTCTCCATTTGTTGCAGTATACACAAACCATTGCTTGAACCCATTTCAACTGGTTATCAAGCTTGGTTTTAGTACAAAAACTCCCCTGATCATTCTGAATGACCTGTGATGGAAGAAATTACTTTGCATTTATATCCCATCTTAAGAACTAGAACCTAGATATTCCTGCTCCCCAGTCCAAAACTCTAACCATCACACCATACAGCACTCAGGAAAGTATGTCCCTGTAAATCTTTTGGACCTCTCTGTGGCCTTTGATACTATAAAGATTATGTAGGTTTTGGGTGGAGAATATTTAAAAGTGTATGAAATTTGTAGACAATATATGTTGGGTTTATAATAGTCCATAGGTAGAAAGATTACTTCTGAGACTAAGAGCTCCTTTGTATGTGAGGCCTGCTACTGACTGCCTGCCAGCTGCTAAGAAGCTGTTACTGAGAAAGAAGTTATGGACCTTAGCAAATTTACAGCAGGCCCATATCATATATGCAGTAAAACCCCAATATACGCTGCTTCATTTACCATGATTTCACTTAACTGTGGTTGACCATGGTCCAAAAAATTAAATACCCCAACTTTTGTGGGTTTAACTTGCATGGATTTGATTATTTGTGTGTTTCAGTGCACCAAAGAACTGCAGAATATGCACTGTGTTTGGGGATGCCATGCTCTTTGGCTCAGTACTAGCCAGTCTCCCTTGTGTGTTTTGCCTCTCAGTGGGCATGAAGACTCTAGAGATACCTGCAATTTCCCCCTAAAGATACTCATGGTTTTTCCACTTTTGCAGGGGTCCTGTGGAGGGAGGACAGTACAGCATCCTCCGTCCACAGGAGGGAGTGTATGCTATTATCTGCAGTTCCAGGCATTCTCTGGGGGGGGCTTGGAAACTATCCCCCATGGATACAGTGGGGGAAGGTCCTTCAGTTCAGAGGGAACTGAACCAGGTTAAGAAAGTATCTAATTCGTAAAAGAAAAGGCAACTTGCTTACCTGTGACTGTTGTTCTGTGAGTGGTCATCTGCGCATTCACACAGCTGGGCTCTGCACCTATGTGGAGCCTGTTGTCAGGAAGATTCTACAGCTAAGGATTTATTTGGGTGGGAGCCCCTCCCCTTCCTGTTCCAGGTATAGATGGGAGGGACTCCCACCAACTCCCTCAGTTCCACTAAGTCCACTTAATAAGTTCCAGGACTGAGGGAGGAGTCCTGTGCTGCTCCACTCTGGCTCCCATGGGCCCCTGACAGAGAGTAGCTGTTTGAAGGATCAACACTATGTGGGGCCAGAGGTCAGGTTGTGTGTGTGATCCACAAGACACCACTTGAAGAACAACAGTTACAAGTAAAGAATATGCCTTTCTTCTTCATCGTCTCTGTGCACTACACATACGAGTGACCAGCAGGCCTACCTCAGCATGGATGGAGGCGTGGTGCTGTCACTGCAGGATCAAGGAGAGGGCTGCTCTGCCAAAGGTGCAGTCTGCTCTCACATGAACGGCTGACCTGTAGTGCTTGATGGATGCTGATGGTGTGGACACCATGGCTGCTTTGCAGAGGTGTAGCAGAGTTATTCCCACCAGGAGGGCTGCGGATATTGCCACCGCTCAGGTGGTGCGAGCCCTTAGGGAGCTCATGAGTTGTAAGCTGCCCAGCTCGCAGGCCAGGGAGAAGGTCTTCATGAGCAAGGCCTCCAGTCTTTGAACAGAGAGTGGTTCCCCTTGTTCTGTCCACCATAGTGTATGAACAGCTTCAGTGATTTGCAGAATGATTCCCTCCTGGATGATAAAAGGTGAGTGCTTTCTGAACATCCAGGGAGTGCAGGTTGACTCCACAGGATTGGCAGGGACAGCAAAGAAAGGTGAAAGAATGATGCTTTGGTTGAGGTGTAATGCTAATATGACCTGGCAGGCTGGGTCTGGCCAGAGTACTGCCTTGTCCCTGTGGACAGTGAGGCGGGGCTAGGTTTTGAAGGCCCCATAGGAAGTGGTGGGACAGAGAGTGAGAGAAAGCTGGGAATTCCTGGAAGGAAGAGATATAACTGGAGGCTTCCGCCCTTTATGGAAGAGCACGTGCACAAAATTAAACATTTGTCTTATGGTGCCATCTTATGGAATGAGGTTTTCTTGCTGCATGAAGGTGGAGAATGTGTTCCACTTGGTTAAGTAGGATTTCCTTATTGTTCAAGAATGGATCTGACACACTGGCAGCGTGTCGGCTGTAAGGACTATAGCGTGAAGCACCATGCCATGAGGCATAGGGTGTTGGTGTCAGGGTGAAGGATTCTGCCCTGGTCCTGCAAGAGTAGGTCTGGACTATGTGGAAGTTGAAGGGATATCCTGTGGCAGAGTCATAATAGGTAGGTGAATCATGGATGCCTCACCCACCAGAGGCTGATGAGAATGCAGTTCAATTTGTCCCTCCTGAGCTCGTGACTGCGGGAAGGGGGTAAGAGGTAGAACAATGTCCCTGCCAATTTGATGAGGAATGCATCCCTCAGGGGGCTGGCCCCTTGGCCCCACCTCTGTGCGGAGGTTCTGGCATACTGTGTTGTCAGCTGTGGTAAGCATGTCGACTGAGAGTGAGTGCCAAGTGCTGAAGATCTCATATAGGTTTCTGGTGTTCAGCTGCCACTCATGGCCATGAAAACTTGTGCAGCTGAGGGTGTCTATCTGTATGTTGCTGGTGCCTGCCACATGGCTAGCCATGAAAGTGACGCCTCTACTGATCCACCAATCCCAGATTCTGATGGCAATTCTTGTTAGTGGGATGGACTGCATGCCGTCCTGTTTGTTGAGGTAAAATGCCTGTGTAGGGACATCTGAAGGACAGGCAAGGGCTTTGTAGACAGGAAGTATCTCTAGGAAGTTGATATGCCTGTGGACCTCCTTTGTGTTCCAGGTCTCCTGAGTTCTCAGGTTGCCCCAGTGTGCTCCCCATCCTGACAAGGGGATGCCTGTAGTGACAGTGATGGATGTGTCTGGGGTGTGAAGCTGATGCCTGTTCCCAAGTTGCATGGGCTGGTCCACCAGTGGAGGTCCTTCTTGATGGATGCAGGGATATCACATTGTGTCCTCGCTTCTCAAGGCTGAACATACCCAGCTCCCTCAGTCTCTCCTCACAGGGCAGTGTTTCCAAACCCTGGATCATTTTTGTTGCCCTGTGCTGGACCCTTTCTAATTTACCTATATCTTTCTTAAATCTTGATGCCCAGAACTGGACACAGTATTCCAGGTGAGATATGGAAAGACTTGTACTCTCTGAAGGTTCAGGTGAGAGCAGACCATTACCATGCATTTAGTGAATATCTGGGGGCAACTGAGAAGCTGCAGGGCAATACCAAAAACTGGAGCATCTCATCTCTGACTGGAAGACCTGAGCCCCTGTTTGGAGTAGGGAGGAAACGTCCTCTAGGAGAATTTCAGAAGGGGCAGCGCACCTTACAGTACTAAGGAATGGAAGGATCTCAATCAAACCTGATTAGGTATCTGTGGAGGATGATCAATAGAACCCACAATCTGGGGTGATTGTAAGAAGGGCTGGAAGTGATGTTCAGAGGAGGACTGGGGGGTGTCTGCAGGTGTGGGGAGATTCACAGGTGTCTTCTAGACTTGTCTGGACAGTGGCAGGCTTGGCAGGGGTGGGGTGGGTGCTGTTCATCTGCCCTGTGAGGTCTGCTTGTGCCTCAGGGCTGCCAAAGTCTGTGACCTGGATTGGTACAGGTAGGACAAGCATTGTCACTTACAAGGGGCAAAGAATCTGGACAATGGGGGTTGATTTAGTCCCATTCATCATCAAAGGGCATATCTTCAATCCCTGCTTTTACCTCCATAGGTAGCCTGAGGACCACAACCAGGCAGAGCATCACAGACCTTTCACTCTTGCCATGTTTTGAGCACCACACTCTGTTTGGTATCTAGCTGTGTGGATTTCCTGACTGGTGAGGTGGCTGGCTTTCATTTGACTCTTGTTGGCTACATCTTGGGCCTCACATATTACCTGTTATTGTGAGGCTATCCTGCCCCACAACTAGGAAAAGCAGAGGAAGTACTTCCCTCACGATGACAGTCAAAGAAGAACTGAGGACTGGGTGGGAATGCTTCCCTGCATGCAGGGCGTGTTCAGGGAACAGGCTCCCACTGAAGACTAATTCATTAGTTTTGACATCTTCCCGAATGAGCTCTACGCATGTGTGCAGAGCCCATATGTGTGATGCACAGAGACCACAAAGAAGAAACTAAGGTACATCTTTCTATAGTGACATTTAGTATCATAAAAGTGGGATAGGAACCCCAAGCCTTCAATATATGGTGGGCACTGATGGGATATTATTCTGCCACTGCTAAAGTTGACTCTGCTGTTTGGAGGCACAGAAATATGGTTATTCCATTCCTACTTGCCAGAAGTCAGTGATAGGTAATTAGTGTTTTTTTCTCATGTTTTTATGTTAGTTTCATTTTATGCCTTTACTGCTATCTTTACATAAATCACTGCAGGACTCCCTTTTTGTTATGAAAAGAAAAACATTCTACCTTTTAGGCAACCTAAAATTTAGGTTGAAATTTAAAATTACATGAAATAAATAACTGAAGGTGGAATAGCAATTACTCGAAACAAACAACATTAAGTAGCAATGAGGAAAATAGTGAACTTTTCTTAGGTGTTTATTCCATCTTAAAGGACTTATGCCTAATTAAAGAAGAGTTATGTTAATAATACTTTTAGAGTTTTGTCCTTTGAACTGAACAGTTGAACAATATGGAATTAAAGAAAATATATTAGTGAATATTAACAAAGATATTCTGAATGAAATCCTTAAGTTTCCATACATACTTGTTCATGCATGATTTCAGATAGCTCTTTAGTCATTTCTCTGTAGTTAGCCTTCATTTCCTCTTGATATTCTATCTGATCTTCTTTTATAAGTTGCTCATTTATTTCTAGGGCATGTCCACATGCTTCAACAAATTGTCTGAAATTGTAATTAAGCAGAAAAAATGTCTAAGAATGTTTCAAATATTGCACTCCAAATAAGCAAAATAATTAACATTTAGACTGTTTACCTGAACACTTCCTTCAGTAACTTTACTTTATTGTCTGGATACCTTTTGGTGTTTGTGTCATCCAGGAATGCTCTGGCATATGCCAATGGTCCTGCATTCACCTAAAATAATACGGGCAGTCATCAGTTTAGTTTTCTTCCCTCTGTAATCGTATTAAAACCTCCTTTTCTGAATTGGGCTAGATAAAAACCAAATACCTTTGCAGAAAACCATGGTTTAATTTGATTTATGCCTGTCGTCCATGGTAGATACAAACTGCATGCCCATGATAGCTAGACAGAAGCAATCATCCTTGTCACCACCACCATTTCTGCTGCCACCCTGCATTTACCCCCTATCTCTTTTCTTCTTGTGAGGAATCCAAGGTGGCCCACAGAATTCCACTTCATCTTAACAAAAACAGGTCAACTAAGCGGAGAGTGGGTGACTGGACCAAAGTCACTCAGTGAGCTTCATGGCTGAGAGAGGACTAGGACCTGGATTTCCCAGCCCACACCTCACTGGCTTTCTGGGTATCCCTTACATTATAAAGTTGGATAGTGTTCTTGTAGTGGGTTAACTGGCATGCTTGTAGTAGGGATTGTGCTCTGTGTGCATCAAGAACTCCATGTGGTTTAGCATGGCATGAAGAATAACTGAACAACATTAAAAAATGAAGGTGCTTCTAAATGTGAACTTACATGGACTGTTACTGAGTTGTGACAGTCAAATGAAAAGAGAGCTGAATCCAGGTCTAAAATGTCAAAGTCTACCACACTTATTCCCTAGTTCTGCATATAATTCAATCAAGGGCAGAAGAAGAAAAATAGAATTCTGAGACAACATAGAAAGTTAGGTATTTTAAGATAAAGGAAATCTCTATCACAAGCAACTGGATCACATTACCTGGACACTAACGCTACCCTGCAGTTTTAGCTGAAGTTTGATCATGTCTACTTCAGATGATGAACAAAGTTGTCGGAACTCTGCAACCTTCTTGCTCATTTCATCAATGGCTACTTCAATTGGGTTTAAATCTGTATGATGTTGATACATTACAGGAATCCGCTTTTTTACATAAGGGAAGCAGTGTATAGCTAGGAAAAGAAAACAACAGTAAAATTTAATTTATTGCTTTTTATCTTGGGAACCTTATACATTCCATAAACTTGATATAATTCAATAATAAACAGTTGACATGTGTAGTACATAGCAAAGCCTTTGGAACTGTATGTATCTTCACCTAGTTAACTGCATGCTTTTGTTGTTGTTTAGCGAAGTTGCATCCAACCCATTGCTACCCCATGGACAACATTCCTCCATGGTCTCCTGTCCTCCACCATCCCCCAGAGTCCACCTAAGCTCACACCGACTGCTTCAGTGACTCCATCTAGCCACCTCATCCTCTGCCGTCCCCTTCTTTGGCTGTCAATTGTTCCCAGCATTAGGATCTTCTCTAGGGGGCCCTCCATCTTATTAGGTGGCCAAAGTATTTGAGTTTCATCTTTACTGTCTGGCCTTCTAAAGAACACTCAGGGTTGATCTCCTCTAGGACTGACCGGTTTGATCTCCTTGCAGTCCAAGGGACTTTCCTTTCACCACCAGAAACATCCACAACTGAGTGTCCATTCGGCTTTGACCCAGTCATGTCATTCTTTCTGGTGCTACTAGTACTAGCACTCTGCTTTTCCCTAGTAGCACACTGGACACCTTCCGACCTGAGGGGCTCATCTTCTGGTGTCGTATCTCTTTGCCTGTTGATACTGTCCATGCGGTTTTCATGGCAAGGATACTGGAGTGGGTTGTCATTTCCTGCTCCAGTGGATCACCTTTTGTCAGAGCTCTCTCCTAGGACCTGACCATCTTGTCCCTGCACGGCATAGGTCATAGCTTCATTGCGCTACACAAGCCCCTTCACCACAGCAAGGCAGTGATCCATGAAGGGGTAATTGCATGCAAGGCCCTGGGAAAAATACTTAAAGAGGGTATGATGATCCCCAGGTTAAGGCTAGGTCTGACTCCTTTCATACTGTGCTGTGACTAGGTATTGTGAGCAAAGTGTTATGAACATAATGAATGTTATGAACTCTTGGACATGGAAATTCTATATGGAACGGCCAGGTGGCTTTGGCAACACTTTCAAAAACATTTAACACAGCTCATTTTATTCTGTTCTAGTAGTTTCCTCTTTGCCCCAACTCCACCCAGTGTGCCAATTGCACCTATTTTTGGTATGGCCAGACCTGACCATAGCCCTAGAATCACTAAGTGCAAATATAGTGAATGCCAAGGACTAGTACCCAAGGATAGCCACTTTCTGAGCCCAGTCTTTCCATCACAGCTCCTCCCAAGCAGATCAGGAAAGGGGTTTCTAACTGCATTATCTATTAAACTGGCCAGCTAGGCTGGTTTTGTAATACAAAAGTGGAGTATTGCAGAAGTCATGAACAAAAGATACCAGCTAAGTTAGAATATTAGTTATTGGGGAAATAGAGCTTAACACTAAGAAGCTAGTTCCAAACGGAATCCTCCTTTTCCTTTCCCAAACAAAAGGAGTCACTTTAATCTTCAGGCTGATTCCTGCTGCTTAAGGGAGAAATGACAGGAATGTCAGATGATACTTAATTGGTATGACCTTTTAATTATGTCTGTTCAATGGAATTTCTCACAGAACCAGACATGGGCTGGTTCTCACCAGCTTCTTGGCTTAATTGCTCACCCTGGCATTTCAGCTAAGAATTTTACTCCTGCCTCTTCTTCCAGTTCTGATTCAGATTCTGAGATAACAACCTTGGAAGGCTGTATTTTGGGAGAAGCAGGCCTAATCCCTACAGGCTCTTGTCCCATGAATGTGTTCAGTCCCCTTTCAAGGTTGCCCAAATGGGTGGTTATCACCGTAGACTGTGGAAGCATTTTATGTGGAGTCAACTAGTTTAAGGAGGAGCTGTGTGAAGCAGCAGTTTCTTTTATCTGTCCTAAATCTTCCATCAAACAGCTTCTTGGGATGACTCTGGTATTGAGTCAGGAAAGAAAAAAGTCCTCCAATTACCTTTTTCTCCACCATGTGTAATTAGTACATCTCTGTTATATCTCTCTTCAACTTTTTCCTAACCTAAGCTTTTCCTAACCTGTTGTAGAAATATCATAAAAGAGTTGCTTGAGCTCCATAATAATTTTTATTGCTCTTTTCTGCAATTTTTCCAACTCTACAATTTTTTAGCTGTGATAAGCAGAATTGTACGCAGTATTCTGAGTGTACAATTCATTGTTAATTTTCATTAAGGCAGTATGATATTGGTAGTTTTATTTTCAGTTCCTTTCCTAATTATGACTAACATGGAGTTTGCCTTTTTCACAGCATCTACACAGTTGACATTTGTGTCAACAATGTCATTTTCATTGAACTGTCCACCATAGGCCTAATATTACCTTTTCTTTTTGCATTAGAAGGAGCTAATGACATTGTATGGCTACTGGCACTGCACTGCATTAGATACCACTGATATTTTTATTTTTATACTTTGTTTTTATACCTTGTGTTTTGAGTGACTCTCTTTTAGAATGGAAAAGCAGGATATAAATGTTAGCACAAACATGTTAGCACAGCTTGTTATCTTAAAAAACAAAGATAAATGCATTATTTTCTCCACTTGCTTCCTCAATGGGAAAGGACAGCTATAAGAGTGTCAGCGTTAGCATCAACAGTTGTTCATATGTAATATCTGACTTTCAGTTACTGCCTGCAATATGACAGGGGCAAAGAATAACTAAGTCCGCAGCCTTCACATATTAGTGAACAAAGATAAAACAATTGGTAGACAATAAAAATCATGTGTTTAAGTAAAGCTTTAATAAAATAAATGTATTTCCACTGGGCTACAGGAGTCCCAACTCAGATGAGGAATGAATAAAGGAAAGACAAAACACAGCTAAAGCCTTGACACTAATTCTAATTCTAATATAGCAAAATTGGTTTGTAAAGCACATGGAAGAAAATGTTCCTCTTTCACTTGGGATACAATTCCAAGTTCAGATTTTAAACCAGGCAGCTTAAGTGGCACAATAAAATGCAAGACAGCTGATCTTTATCTTCTTGCTTTGCACATCACCCAGTAGCAATCCATGTCTATCAGTATATTTTATGGAAGGAAGAAGTGTTCTGTGTTTTGTGTGAGGAGTCCTCCAATCTATTGGGCCAGCCATTTTCTTCAAAAGAGACACTCACACTTTAGCCTCAACAAGTTATTGCCTATGCTGCCTAAATGTGCAGTGAAGCTCTTCCTGCTTTCTAGGTCTTTTATGCTGAAAGCATTCCCTCATGCTTTCCCCTGCTGTTGGCAAGGGAGGCAAAGGGGGCATTCAGAGATAGACAATAAGGCAGGGCATCAAGATGGACTTCTGTACTCTACTGCCAAACATGGTCCACTTCCAAACTTCCAGAGTAAAAGGCAGCTTTCTGCTTTGGGAATGGTCATCCATGGAGGGTTTCCATAGCCAGCAGAACACAGATTTTTGTAAAAGTACTACCAGCTGCCTGTACAGAGCACCATTAATGGATGGTCCAACTTTTTCTTCCATCTCCTTGCATTGGTCAGAGTGAGAATAGGGAAGAGTAGAGCACACTGGACACAATGAAACTCCTCCTGTGTTCTTTCATTTCATTCTAATTGTGGAGCACTGCCAGACAGCAGGATGTCGTTACAGCAATATGCTCTTTATTTGTCTGCCTTCGAAGATTAGGAAGTTGTAGCTTGTGCAAAATGCAATGGGCAGATTGATAGTGGCATCCACATGTAACTCTGGTTCTGCTCTTTTTGTATGTTTCTGAGCCCAATTCAAAGTGTTGATTTTGACCTACAGAGCTATATATGGTGCAGAACTGCAATACTTACTGGCATCTCATTCTGGTATGAGCCTGCTACCTTCATCTGTGGCCTTCTTCTAAGTGCTTCTGTGACAATTTATCAGAAGATTTTTAATTCTGGATTTTTTATTGTTGATTATGCAAAATGGTTTCATAGCTTTATATGTAAATTGTTTTAGATTACATTTTTAAGGTTTTTAAGGTATTTTTAAGGTTTAAGCTTTGTAAACTGTCCAGAAAACTTTCACTATTGTGTGATACAGAAATATAATAAATGAATAAAAAAATGTGAGTGAATGAGAATGCATGAGAGTTTGCTTTTGCTTTACTTGCATTTTGGACTGTATGTCTAGAAGGAAGGAAGGTGCTAGCAGAATCAGGCATACTGCTTTGCTTTGTGAGGAGCCATCACAATTATTTGAAAGAAAATAAAACATTTAAATGAAGTGTTCTCTTCAAAGGTAGTAGCCTGGATCAGTTTTAGCAACTGAGGAAGATGTACCCTCAAACACTTTTGACTCTATTTTAATTCCTTTCTTCCTATTTTCTCCCCTTCTATTTTTAGTTTTTGCCACACTGCAATGCACAAACTTGCATTGAATTAAGACATTTTGCTGAATTAGGAAAAACAAAAGAAAAAAAAAAGGAAAAGATTAGGAAAAACAATGCAACCCCCCCACTCCTTCCACATTCAAAGGACTGTTTCTGTGCTTTGCTGTACTGGTTTTTTTTACCTATGCAGCCCTGATTATCTTTAAGTTGTCACAGTTTTACATGCAATAATTTCTGCACTGCAACAGAGAAATGTAGGTCTAAGAGATTGCTGAAAAACTGAGTATGTTATTGTTGTGAAAGCTTTGGGGCCAAACTCTTTGTTCAAGGAGTGGTGTTTACAACTGGAGACCTGCGTTGTGCGTTGTATATGGTTGTTTTGTTTTTTGTAAGTCATCCAGAGAATTTAGTATAGGATGGCATATAAAAACTTTAAACAAACAAACAAACTGAGATGGCTGTAAAGATGGCTGTAGGCCATATAGCATTTTTCCTACCACAGAGCCCAGGTGTTACAGCACAGAGCTCTTCTGAAGCAAGACCTTCTTCTCCAGTTTAGTTAGATGGCTTGCAATTATAGTACATTGCTTAAATATTTGTAGGGTCTATGCAAGGGAGGATAGGGAGATAACTGGATTTAGTGGGCAACCCCTGCCATTGACACCACAAGGCTCAATAGAAGCCAGCCACCAATATGCTCTGTGGATCTGTGGCCAGTATCAGCCCAGTTCTTTGGTGACGGTACCTGTAGTAATACAGATGTATGCAAAGAGTGATAGTCATATTCATACATTACTTTTAAACAACGATTTACAAGTACATCTTGTCAGTGTAATCCATGAAGTTTCCTAACTTTGCTTGGGGTGCTTTGTTTGTGATGGTTCTTTTTGTTAAAGAAAACAAATGCTGAATATACAATGTGTTTGTATATTTGTTACTTTGCATATTTTGTGGAAATGGGGTATGAAAATTTTTATAGGCACTCTAATGAGTGTATAAAGACAGGACCTACACTTACAAATGAGGGAGAGTTTTCTTTGGTTTGCATTTTTAAGAGAAACCATCTCATTCCACTTCTCAGACTGCTATGCTTATCAGTTACCCTTCAGATTGTACACTTCCTCAATTCTTCAGTACAGTTCTTGGCTTAAAATTACACACTAAAATACTCATATTAGAAAAGCTGCATAAAGAACTCTAAGCCCTTTGTTAAAAATTAACAGACTGATAAAAATTAGCAGACTAATACAGATTGAATGGACTACCTGTGAAACTGACATGGACTGGAGTACCTACATACATTTGAAAATAATATGGCTCCTCTAAGTTGAATGCTATTTGTAAATTTCCTGCCAAACTGAGATAAGACATGTTATTTCATGATCAAATAAAACATGCAGCATTTAACAAAGACACAGATTATCTCCCAGTTTGAGATGAAAAGGAAGCAAATGGTAATTCAGAAAAAAGGCAACAGACTTAAGTGAATAGTTTCAAATGAGGGGATAGAGTTTTAAGGGAGACTTTCTATCTAATACCTGTAAGAATGGTGCGTCTTTTACATTGCTCCTCCACACCACCTCTTCTTTTACCCAACTGCGTAAAAGGCATCTCGAACATAAAACGACGGATGTTGTGATTTCTTTCAAACTCTGTTTTTCTCTCTTGCAATTCCTTTTCCTCAAAGTATGGAACTACATGCGTAACTTGAATATAGGCATATTTTGAATCCAGATCCTTAGGATTTACCTTAAAAGAATTGGAGAGAATAAAATTCTCAGCAATGACTACATATAGTTTAAGGATCAATTTGAGGCTATAGTAAATTTATCCTTACTAATACAATCTTAACACCATGACAATGTAGACATCAAAATTAGTACTCTAAGCACAGCACTGCTCCATTCTTTGTCCAACTGACTGAAAAAGCATATGATTTGTGAAGCCACATTTTACTTGTCTTAAATGCTTCAGTATTAGAGTGGTAATTTCAAGTTGTGTTCATTGCACCCCCACCCCCTAAGTAATATGGTGGATGCTTTTCCAAATTAGTGATTAGTTAATTTGGTTATAATAATTCAAATTACTATTTAGATTTTATTAAGAGATGTTTTCACTTAATAAACAATCTGCAATCCTACTTTGCCAGAATCCTGGATCATCCTGACATTTTCAGATCCAAATTTATCCGAGTAGAGTTTTTGTAACCTCTGAGAAATCTCTGAAAGAGGTGTGAGTTTAGGCTCTTTGTAAATATATTCTTTTCCATCTTCATCTTCAAAGAATCCCTTTAGAAATAAAAGACATAGCTATCATTTAGATTCTGAATAGGCAAATGATCAACAATTAAAGCAAGGTCAATGTATAATGCAAAGTTGAAGCAAAAAAAAGAAAAAGTGTGCTACTGAAGAATCAAGAATAGTGGAACAGTTATTACAGTATAGGTGCATTGGAAATGGAAACACACAAGGTTATTTAGGGGATGCTTAAATTACATGAGAAATCAGCATTAATGTTCCAATAGGCATTGCTTTTTTCCATACTGATTTTTATATGCCTGTTTCACATGCCAATGTGCTACTACTTTCCAAAAACAGTATCATTATTATTTTGAACTGCATATAGCAAAGGGTTCTATAGAATTATATTATGTAGTACAAGACAAACCAGCTCCAGTCTTGGTAAATTTTAATTTAATCCTATGCTATTTTTTAGGAAATTGTACATCTATCAGTTTTCATACAATGACTGAGTTCAATACTTTGATCCTCATGGCATAATTAAAATAGGTTCCATGGAACGTGAAACAGGTGTCTGCTTTCATCTAAAAAGCCGGATCTGAGTTAATGTTTTAACATGGAAAAATAAATATTCCTATCTGAAAATGAAATGGACACTGTAGTGCAAGGAATACAACATAGCATGTATAAAACGCAGACTAGACTGACAAAAATACCCACATCAAACTAAAATTATATGCAGTAAGTTTTACTGCATTGCTGGCTTTGGAAAGCAATTTCTTTAATTACCTCCACATCTGTTTCACTGTCTGTAAACTGGTATTGCTATAGTCATAAGAGACAATAGAATAAATGTAGTGTTATATTACTCAAATTATACAGTTCAGTGCCCATTATATAGCTGATCAGTTTTCTGTTAATCTAAAACTGACTTTCCTCCATTGAATATACATGCACACACAAACGCAGCCTTATTCACTTCATTTGACTAAAATGGAAGGATATATGCAGTCAGCAAAATGTTTGATTTTTTTGTATAAACATGCAAATGTACAAATTCTATACAGAATATCTGCAGTTTTCTTTTGCAAATGGAGATGAATATTATTTTCATAAAGACTGACACATTATGTCAGAAAGCAAGCTAACATACAACAAAAAGCACCAAAGCTAATGTTTAAAAAATACTCATGAATGGCCATTAATGTAAAACTTACCGCTGCCTTAAGAAAGTAATATTAAAGAAAAAAGAAAAAGCAGAAAGTTTACTGATGAAGAGATTTCCCAATCATAATACACTTAAATTAGTTCAATAAAAAGTTCATTATTTTGAAATTATGCCCAGTAAGAAATACAAATACAGTATTAAATGAATGTTGTTACACATTGTAACATATTGCATTATTTTAGATGTTAAACTGAAGTTGAGAAAAGATCATGCTGGACAATGCTCACCTGTCCAAAAAATGCAACTCTGAAATATGTTCCCAGCAATCTCTTTCCTGAATGCATAACTTCTGTTACTTTGCTGTATGCCTGATGTAATGTATCATAAAGATGAGCAAGCCTCTAAAAATAAGGGGAAAACACTATATATATTACCATTTTCAGAAACATGTTTTCATTTTTTAAACAGCCCAAGATAAAGCATTTTTAAAGCTTGCATTAGGATAAACTGCCATTTAATAATAATTCTTTATGCTTGTTTTATTTCTAGCAGTGGTAACTGCTTAGAAAACTGAGTGACCAAATCTAACTGAAGTTAGGCATGAATAATGGAACTAGCTAGTTGCAACCAATAGAAATATCATTCTTTCAGTGGGTTTATCCATGACGTATTTGTCTTTATTGAGGCCAACAGTTTGTAAGACATGCCACATGATTGCGGATTGTTATTGACGATGAGTTGTCATATCATGCAAATCTGGATGGATTGATGCAGGATGACTTGCTTGAGGGCAACAAGCCACCCAGAAAATGTAGATTGTAGTTGGGTTTGTTGGACTTACAGTGGGTGTTGTCTCAGTCCAAGTGAGCAACCCCACTGTGGGTACTGGAAACCAGCTTCATGACCTGTGTGGCAAAAACCTCCCTGCCAGTCTTGCTGGGGCACCCGCCATGGCCAGCTATCCAACAAGTGACCAAGCAGCACTTAGTGACAACTGGCAGTGGCAAGATGTTGCCCACTGTGATCATGAGCTGTTTTGGTTTGCCACAGCATTTTTGTCACTGGAGATTGTGAGCGCCAGTTTCACAGCTGGCCTTCACAACCACTGTTTGACAGCCACCTGCATCATGTCCAAGAAGTCGCAAATCCCCTCCATCACCTCTACTTGCAAGATCCTTCTTTTTGTGTTGCTTTTTTGTAGTATAGTGCTAACAGTGAGCTTACTTTTCTAGCAGTGCCTGAGTCTCTAAGTGCTTTGGAACATGAAAAAAGGGTGAGCCAACCCCTTTTCAAAGGAACTCTGGCATAAAACCCCTTTTAAAAAGAACCGGAGTTTGGACAGCTAGCATTCAAAACTCACATCTCCTTTGAAACAGGTATTGTTCGGTTTATTGCCTGGTTGGGTTGTCATGATGTGCAAATGCACCCACTATCTATTACAAAGGTACAACAGCATTAAGCAATATGAAATGAAACCATTATGACAACATATTTATATCAAATACCTCAAAATCTCTTCGCTTCTCATATATTGGGATGATAAGTTTATAGATATCAGCAATCAGTTCATAACGTTCAGCCTTCCACAGCCCATCTGCACATTGTTCTAGCAGCTCCATCAACACATCCTAGTTATAGAAAGAAAGTCAAGCAAAGCTGCTGTGTTTTTTACCTGGGAAGACTAGTCGAGTAATCGAGTTTATTTTTCTCAAGAAAAATAAAAAAGGATTAATACCTAGAATTGTATTGTGTTACGTTAAAATAGTAACCAGGATGTAGAAATACCTCATTTTTCTATAATGTTTGCACACAGACATAGCAATCATATTCAGGTAGCAGAGACACAGAGCAAATATTTCAATACAGGAAATTTATTCTATACATATACTTGCCAAGGCAGGTGAGGCAATTAAGAGATTAAAATAATTCAACACATTTTTCCTTAAGTCAAAAGCTAGTCAAAAGAATGGCCATTAAGCATTATTACTACTAGTATTTCCTGCTTTTTTCCTTATTTTTAGAAACACAAGTAGATGGCAATGCACAAAGGCAAGCTGCTTACCTGTAACCGTCGTTCTTCGAGTGGCCATCTGTGCATTCACACGTGTGGGCCCCCAGAAGAGGCGGGGCAGGGCTCCTGCCCACTCCGTGACACTGGGCTGTGGAAGTGTTTTCGCTGCACAGCGAAGCCCATATATGGGATTGCACAGAGACCATGAAGAAGAATGGTTGTTCACCTGCATAATGCTAAAGGAAAGGGGGTACATGGTTTTGAAAGCAAACCCTTCCTTAATACCTCCATGTGTCCAGCTGCCAGTTAGACTTTGGATACTGAGCATGAAGGGCTGAAAAGGGCTGTGTGACTGCATTCAGCAGAACACATTTAGAGAGCTGTCATGATTGTGCACTGGGGATAGGGCTGATGTGCACAATCGATAGGGCTGATGTGCACAATCACATTCCTTCCCCACTTTATGTCTACATGTAAGTAGATGAATGCCTGCATAGAACTACTTATTATTCATATAATTTTAACTGAGAAAAATGACCTTTCATCCTGCAAGTTGATAAATTTATCATCAAATGTGGTATTGCCCTCTTTATTCCCAGAACATATATATATCTTTAATAGGGTCTAGAGTTCATATTATTATCATAATAAGATAAAGTCTTTGAGTAAGAAAATGTGCGTGGTTAAGAATGTGCAATAAAGGTCAGTGCAGCAAAACAATTTCTTCAGTGGCTGTAAAGATAAAGTTAAAAATAACCTGAAAATTATATGCAATAACTTGGAACCATGTAGTTACATCTGGTGTAAAGTGAAATCAATCAGAATACAACCCAACAATTTTCATAGAAGGATCAAATCTAGTAGCTTCTTTATAGATACTAAATCAACATTTGCATTTAAAAATCCAAATAACAGTACAGTTATGTATTCATAAAAGTTTTCTAAGCTGGCTTACAGGATAACCTGAAAACAACTTAAAATATTCTGAATTATAGAAAAATCAAATAAACACAACAATGTGATAAAGAGAAAGCAAGAGAAGGTTGCTTACCTACTGTCATTCTTTGAGAGGTCATCTGTGCATTCAAAGCTATGGGCTCTGCAGCTGCATTGAGTTTGTTGTCAGGAAGTTTCTACACCTAAGTATTAGTGTGGGTGGGAGCACTACCCTTCCTGTTCCCTGCATCCATGGAAGGGGCTTCCGCCCATTCCCTCAGTTCCATTGAGATGGCCTATAGGTCCAAGGACTGAGGGAGGAGTGTTGTACTGTCCCAGTCTAGTCCCTGGGGCTAGAGTGGGGCCAGCTGTCTTCTATTCAAAACCCAGTTGAGCCGATGGGTGGGTTCTGTAAATGCACAAATGACAACTCAAAGAATGGCAGTTACAGGTAAGTAACCTGAACTAATTCTTCATGGACTGTGCATCACGCATATTGGTGACTAGCAAATTCACCCTGGAGACGATGGTGGGATGATGCAGTCACTGGATGGTTGTGGAGAGGACTGCTCTGCCAAAAGGGCAGTCTGTCCTTGTCCAGATGTTTAGCCTCATGTGAATTGGGCTCTTGGATGGGCCAAGAGTTGTAGACTGGCCAGCTCATAGACTGGGGAGATGGTGTTCACGACCTAGGCTGCTGGTCTCTGAGCAGATAAATGAGGTCTTTAGCTGGTTTTTGGAAGACTGTGTAGAGATCAGAGAATGTGCTCAATTGTGTCCTGTGGGTTGAGGGCCTCTTGTTGCACAAGGTGGTGAATGCTTGTCATTTTACTAGGTAAGACTTTGCTGATGGTTTCAGGGTGGTATCGAGGGTGGTTCTGACATTCTGTGACAGAGTATTGACATCTGTGCGGGTTTATGGTGTAATGTGCTATATTGGTGGTGCAGATGAAGTGTGGTTCCACCTTATATGGTGCAACTAGGAGCCAGTCAGCAAAGTACAGGAAGACTTGTACTCCTGGGAGGCACAGGTGTGAGCAGCCACTGCCATTAATTTAGTGAAGGCCCTGGGGGCAACTGAATGCCCAAAGGGGAGTACAGAGAATTGGAACATCTCATCGAAGACTAGAAAGTGCTGACAATTAGTGGTCTATGGTAATGTGGAAGTAGACATCTTTCAAGTTGATCGGGGTGAACCAGTTCTTTGGTATCATGAAGTAGAAGAGTTGAAGCCTCAAATAAAGCTGGAATGAGGGACTCTCTATTGTTCCCTTGGAAGGTAGTGAATCAACACTGGGGGCACAGCCATGCTCCTTATGTTATTGAGCGGTAGGATGGCATAAAACTTGTACTGGTGGCCTCTTTCCATGATAGAAAAGAAGCAGGAGTAAGATGTTATTTCTTCCATGCAGGAGAAGATACCCATCAAGACTGGTGGATGATGGAGAGGCCGGCTGGCAAGGGCAGTCAGTGATGGCACTTGCCTTCACCTGGCCACTTTTAAGCTTGCTTGAAGTGGACTGTGGTGTCATGCCATCGGAGCTGGGGGTGCTGGCTGGGACCTGGATGCATGCTTAGCCTACTTTGGGTGTTTCAGTCAGAGGCCACAAATCTGGCTCATTTGCAGAATGCCACAGCAGGGCATCGTGTAAACTGTGACCTAAGGTGACGATAAGCACTGTAGCCATCAGGAGACATGTATGATGCTGCCACAGAAGAGCCCCTCCTGCACCGAGGGCCTCTTCTTTAAAGCACATATGAATGCGTACATCAGCTACGTGTAGAAAACCAGGGCAAGAGTGAGGAGGATGGGTTTCCAACAGTCATCTGTCAGACTTCATAAGTGGTTCAGGCTCCTCAACCTCCATACTAGTGCAAGGCCTAGGTGGTGGTTGCTGGATCTCTTCTGAGGTTGGTAGATCCGGATGTCCTCTCGAGATTGAAAATCACAGTCTTCCTTGCAGGATGCCGTGAAGCCCCTTTAGGATCAACAGGAGGCTAGTGATGCAATTGGGCTTTAATGTCAATGGGATTCCCTCTTGGGTTGAATCGGAGTACTTCCTTAGTACCAAATGGTCCCTTGGCATCCAAGGGCTCTCACTGCCAGCTCTCAGTGTCAAAGGTTAACAGGGCTTCTGTCTCAGTATTGAATAGTCTCTCTAGTTCAAGTGGCCCACAGTGTTGATGGTTGACAGGGGCTCTCTTATTATTGAACAGTCTCTTGAGATCGAGCAGTCTTCACTGTCAAAGATTGATGGGGCCTCTGTCTTGGTACCGAGTGGCCCTTGCTGTTGAAGGTCTACAGGAATTCAGTCCCAGTATCAAGACAGTCCCTTGGTACTGAATAGCACTCTGTGTCAATGGTTGATAGGGGCTCTCTCTCCATAGCAGTCTCTTGGTACCAAATGACCCTTGGGGTCGAAGGCTGACAGGAGCTCTGTCTTGGTAACAAATGGTCTCATGGGTTTGAACACTCTTGGGGCTGAACAGTTTCCTGGTATAGATGGTAGATGGGGGATCTCCCTTAGAATTGAACCATCTTATATTTGAGCCCTCTCTTGAGATTGACCGTATCCTTGGTGGTATTGACAGATGGGGCTTCCCTCTCAGGACTGAACTGTCCTTTGGGTCCAAGTACTGTTGGGACCAAGTCTTCAGTGTTCTCCCCTCTCCCCTCTGAACCATCTTCCAGGTCTAAGCACTCTCTTGGGACTAACCAGGTCCCTAGTGTCAATAATAGATGGGGGCTGTCATGGCATCCACAGTTCCACTTGGTGGTGGCCATCTTTTTTCCCAATCTTGAGCATTTTCCTGGCCATGTGGTCAGGCATTTGGAATCCACAGCTGCCTGGGTCCTGGCCCTCAGCTGATCAGCCCCATGTTTCCAGGCCAGTTTTGTGAAGGACTGACAGTGTGGGCATGATTCAACAATGTATTTGAATGGATTCATCCAAAAAGAAAGGCAGAGGAAGTGTCTCTCCATGTTGGGGAGGGGGGTGGAGATTTACATGCACAATGGACACACATTGTAAAGGGTGCTTTTGATATCATCACGGTAGATGGGGAAGGCAGGGCAGATAACAGAGGAAGATCAGAGAGAAAGCAGAGAGGAAAGTTTGTTTTGGAGGGGAGGTTGGATTTTACAAGTGAATAGTGAAAATGAATTTCATGGAGAGATGGTGGCTGAGTGGGGAGCCAAGAAGTAGAAGGTGGTAGAGTGAAAAAGGTAATAAATGCTGAAAACATATTCAAGTTGAGGAGAGAAGTGCTTTGCAATCTAGGCATGGAGGCAGTCAATAAGGAACTGAAGGAATGGGTGGAAACCCTTCCCATGGATACAGGGAACAGGAAGGAGAGGAGCTCCCATGCAGACTAATGCTTAGCTATACATTTTTTTCCGACAACAGGCAACACACAGGCACAGTGTCCATGACATGTGATGCACAATGTCTGCAAAGAACTATTTGTTCTTTTTTTTAAACTACTGATGTGAATTTTATTCTGCCCCCATCTCAATGAACTGGGAGCAGCTGATGAGTCATGTGGACATGCTATGAACCATCCCTATGAATGTCACAAAAGTCTATCAAGAAAATAATCACTTAGCAAAGCAGTTACTGATTAGCTTTTCTCATTGCAGTGTCATGACATATAAATGGTTATATGACTTACTTGCCTAAATCTTGTCCTCCCCTTAAAGCCATACCTAGAACAGCATGGTCTTTTTGCATTAATCTGTTAGAGATGGTATATGTTGTATACTAGTTATTATTTATATTTTGTGTGTGGTAGATTTAGGAAAAAAGTTAATAGTGTCATGAGAATGTATGAGAATCCTTTGGGCTAGACAGGATGACAGAAATAAAGAGAAACTAAATTACTAATATAATTATACACAAATAAACATACATTAAATTCACATACTTCATTAAAGTGAACATCCTGCATTCCCACATCTTCCATCATTGAAGCCTCTTCATCTATATTTGGAGTAATTACTCTGAAGCTTATACAACCTTGTTTAAACATTCCTATTTTATAAAGGAAAAAAGGCACATATCACTATTAGGAATCCAATCAACTGGGCTGAGGAGTTATAAATTTCACAGAGGCATTCAAAAACCTGATAATTACAGGTAAATATATTTCTTTTTTAGTTAAATCATGATATATTTATATAACAGTATTATTCCCTTGGTAGTGGGAGGAGATATATTATTTTTTCATACTGCTTTCAACAAACTAAGTGGTTCCATTAGGTACTATATCAGAGAATACACTTATCGAAGAAAATCATGAAATGTCCTGTGAGAATGCCAGCAACAAGACCACCAGTAGACTAGCTCACGAGATATTCAACTAATCAGGAACAATCTTCCATGATCTGAACTTCAGTCCACTTCTATGATTTACAAGGACACGTGCAACTTAAACACTAAAATGTGTTTACACCATTTGTGCTTTCAGAGCACAAGACAGAACCCCAAACAGTAGCAGGTAACTTTCATACTGATATTGAAGGGCAGCACAAGAGTGATTTATTTTATTATTGTTGTAAAATGGCTGTGTGGTGCCTTTAGTGCAAACTGAAAACAATACGGTTGCCCTTTCGTTATACAGGAGCTGCTTTTATGAGGGTTCATTCTGTGATGCTGCTATCATGTTAGGGGGATGCCAACTGCAGAGGTTCTCCCATGTGACCACTGTTCAGCCAGGATTATGGATAACAACTAGGTGTTAAAGAACCATATGACTGGCCTATGGCCAGATTTGGCTTTGAGATATCACTGTTAACTCTAATCAGGCTGAGGAGTATAATAGGTAAATATTTCACTCTCCCTACTTCTGTGATAATCAGATTAGAAAATCACAGAAGATTCTTTTTAACTGGGACTGCTTCTTCCAAGAGAACCAAGGTTTACTATTGCAGATCATATAGTAGTATGTGTGACAGACTAATAGGCAAAATATGAAAGTACTTTGTATCATCCTTTCTGCAGCAGTTTTACTTAAGTTTTCTATAAACAATACCTGTGTTATGCATACCTTTGCGGAGAAGATATTCAGCCACCAGAGCTGCCACATGGACATAGCACATTGCTGCCTAAAATCCGAACAAAAGCAACATTGATACAGACCTGCTGTGATAATATGAAGTTCTGCATATATTTAGAGCATTGCGCCCATATATGCCCTCCCTCCCCTTGAGATCAGCAACAGGGGAACCCTCTGTGAATGATATTAGGAGGGTGAGTACCCGGAGGAGGGCTTTCTATGGAATGCGCTCCCCAGAGGTCTGCCTAGTGCCGTCGTTATTTGTTTTTCGGCGCCAGGCTAAGACCTTTTTATTGAAAACTTATTTTAATTGTTAAATTATTTGAATTAATAGGATTTAAAATTTTTAGCCGAGAATGCACCGGGGGTTTTTAAACAATTTTTAAAAAATTTGTTGTATTGTTATTATTTATGTATTTATGTATCCTTTGTGAGCCGCCCCGAGGCTTTGTTGTGATGGGGATGGCATAGAAATGTTTTAAATAAATAAATAAATAAATACATCTTAGAAGATGGAACATCACAGCAATAATTGCTAATTCCTGTTGACTCTTTCTTCAACATTTTCAGTGTGCATGCATGCATGAGCTTCAAGAAGTTATTTTCAGTAAATGCAAGACAATTTTCCTAACAGGGTGTGATTGTTTTCTGCCTCCATTCCACCTGCAACTGTCATTCCCTCTCCATACTGTTCTATCAAAACAAGGTGTAAAATGGGCTTATTTTTTTTAAAAATGGACAATTCCTGTTTCAATCATCATGTTTTCCTGGCTGCTGCTGCCACAGGCCAAATCTGGCCCTGTGGAATCTGCCAAATGGCCACATAACCTTCCACAGGCAGTGCCCCAATTTAGTATGACCACTGATAATTTCATGGTTTTCTGGCTGTTGCTTTTCCCCCCAGTTCTTTTTGAGAATACTCTCCTAAGGTTTAGGTCTGAGGATCGTAATCTGGTCACTTCAGCAAGAGTAATATAATGTAAACACACATGAAGGTTGATAGAGCCAATAGGATTAAATATCAAGGTAGGCAAAGGAGCAAAGGACAGTAAAGACAAAGAAGAGCAGAAAAAATCATGATGCAGAAAATGAGAATGCGCATAAAATTTGAACAGGCTTGCAACAAGGAAACTTTTTTAATACTCATAAGGTTAAGATAAATACAGTTTAGTGCTAAAACATACCTCCTGCAGGAAACATATTTCTGAATAAAGTGATTCACAGAAAAATATTTTACTTTCCTAGCATGTCACAACAGTTGGCAAATTCCAAAGGAAACTGGACACATAGCAAAGCAAAGGACCACTACCAACAACGAGGTGCTTTCTAATTTGCTTACCTCTGAAAGATCTCCATTTTTAACATGAATTCTTGCCATGCTATCCAACCATGTCTTCCTGAGTTCAGGTGTACTGGCATAAGATTTTGCTAAACTGTACTGAAGATCCACAAGCATTTCTGGATCATTTTCATGCTCTTTCATTTGTGCTGTAGCCATTAGGACTGTGCGGATGCGTTTTGTCAAATCTTTTACATCAGAAGGGAATGTAGTATACTATAATGCAGAAGAGTAACAAAATGAGCATAACTAGCCAAACTACATATATCTGTACTGTTCAGGCTCTACGGAAAGGTGAGAAGGTTATTAAGGTTCAACAGGTAGTGTAGTGAAATTTCCCAGTGTCCAGAAGCCACAATAGTTTATTGAAAGCTTTCAAGGTCTCATGGCTTTCAGCTTCTTAGGAAAAGACAGTGGCCTTGAAGTTACTTTCATTAATCATTCTGTTGAAAAAGCCTGCTTTTGCAGTGAAAATGAAGCAGTTTACCTTACTGAAATAACTTAGCTCCTGGGAAAGTGATGGAGCTTGGAAACATCTGAAAGGGTCTGCAATAGTGGGACCAAGGAACTGTACAGAATCTCTGCAATAGGCATTGTCTTTCATTTTTAGCATGGAGAGAGGAATTGATGCATTACTCACCCAGGCACCTTTGAGCATACTCTGTCCTATTCAAGGAATGGATGGACCACAGAGGAGGGGAGTGTACTCTTTCTTTTATTTTTGTGCTAATAAATCCATATTGCAACCATATTCCATCACTGTATTCAACAAATTTGACACAGTGGGTTTGCGTCTACCTAACTATCCTCAGACCTAAAGGAGGATACCTTGGTTGGACTAGGCCCCTATGGCCAGAATAACATCCAGTAAGAAATTGTTGTTCAACCTTTACTTCCAAGAATTATCAAAAAGTATAAAGGAAGAGTTGAATTGTGTGGAGTATCTCTTGGTGATAAATATATTCTTTACCATTTAGGCATCAAAAATAACTACAACTAGAAGTCTGATCCAAAAAACTCAAATTTGTCATTCAAATTTATTCTATGAATTCATTGTATATCTTACCTTAGATGCACTTTGATACATTTTATTTTCAACTCATAGAGCACTTATAATCTTTCTCAGGGTTGATCTGTATGTTTGAGGGTTAGGGTTCCTGTGGCAGTACCAAAAGAACAGAGACTATGACTCTTTATACTATTACATTAACATAGAAAAAGCTGGGACAAACCTTAATAAGCCTGTCACTATTAGCACAGTTGTTAATGATGGAAAGAGACTGTTGAAATCTGGTTCCTCCAATTCCAACGACATCTGCAATGAGCTGACTCACAGAAATGATAACCTTGGGGCAGGGGAAGCATAAACACAAAGTTAGTGCATTTGAGCAAAACTGTAAGACTTTAGGTTGAAAGCATACAGTGGTTTGAATGTAATGTTAGTCCTATCTAGAGAAGTTTAACTGAAATTATTGGGACTTTGCAAATCAGCAAATCTCAAGGGTGTGAAATGTCACTGAATTCTGTCTCAAATCTTGACTGCAAGTTCTGTATCAGACTGCAAGTTTTTTTTCCTCTGTTCATGAAAATTCAGACTTTTGTGTATATATAAATTGTGCACACCTTTGAAATGCACTCGCTCTTTTCTTATTGATGTCTGTTCGTGCACATTTTCAAAGCATATGCATGTTTTCAATTGTATACACTTATTGTGCATATCTTTGAAATGCACTCTTTCTACAACTGATTAAAGTATATGAGCAATTTTCAAATGTATGTCTCATTTTTATGGTCCACAAATCACACTGCAAGTTCAGGCATGTGAGGACTACAGGCAGGTTACTTACCTGTAACTGTTGTTCTTCGAGTGGCCATCTGTGCATTCACACATTATGGGTGCTGCGCCTGCAGCGGTTTTGGCGGGAACTCCGCATCCTCCCCCCTTGTATAAAAGGGTGGAGTGCCCGCCATTTCAGTCAGCTGGAGACCGTCCGTTCACCCCCAGGTGGAGAGAGTCGGTAATAAATTCAACTCATTTTAAAAAAATACTAGCAAGACAAGCAGACAGATAAAAAGAAGGGAAGTATAAATCTGTAATCTGTATACCCTAGAAAGGAGTCAATCTCCAGAGACTTGGTCATGCGGGAGGGTAGCTCAGAGAAGGTTCCCTGAGAGTCACCTGGAGACCAAGGGCCCTGGGTAGAAATGACTGCATCTAGAGATGTCAACACCTCTTTAGAATCGCCTGAGTTTGAGTCTGAAATGTAGGGTGGACTAGATGAGGAACCTCCAGGAGACACGGAGGGGTCAGCGAGAGCTTCAGCAGATGTTGACGGTGCGTCTCTTGACACATTGTGTGGTGAAGAGTGGTGAGGATGTGGCATCAGACATGGGCAGTACCCATACGGGGAATAGTAGTCCCTTGGGAAGGTCGATCAAAGTGATTGGGATCAAATTCCCCATAAGGAAGGGGAACCCAGCGCCACGATGGCTGAGGAACTGAAGGTGGAAGCAGCAAGAGAGACAAGGGGCATTGAAGCACCCTCGGAGATCCCTCTGGAGATGAGTGAACCGCAGGCATAGGTGTTGGGGGTCTCGCAGGTGGTTCGAGTCCTGGTCGAGGAGGAGATTCACAGATCTCTCCGTCAGACATAGAGCCTCTCGCCATGGCATCAGGACTGAAGTGAGGCGAAGTCATAACCCTTGGAGGTGACGATGGAGGGGTCACCTGTATCAAGGACGGGCCAAGGCTTCAATCGGGATTGAGGTCGGGACCGGCATGGAGGTCGTCTCCGAGCGCAGCAGCTTGTCATATTTCTTGTGCTGACTCTCGGGCTTATCAGGTTTGTCCTGTTTGGATCATTTGGACTTCGAGGAGTCATCGGAACTGATATGCTTCCTCTTCTCCTTGTGCTTACATGGAGGAGGGCTAGAGGAGCACTTTCCATTCTTGGCAACTGAACCCCCGTCAGATGGTTTAGCAGATGGAGGTTTAGACGGTCCCGTAGCTGCAGAGAAGCTGGCCTCAGCCAAGACCTGCTTCATGGCGACCAGGGCTTGGTCACATAGCATCTTGTGCAGCCTATTCTCACAGTTCTTTTGTGCCTGTCCTGTGAAAGACTGACAATGGCCACACGTATCAGTCCTGTGGCCTTCCCCAAGACAGAGGAGGCACAGGTTGTGCGGATCAGTGAGGGACATTTTAGCCCCAGGCTAGGAACACTTGCGAAAAGCCACCTGCTGCACCATCAAGAGCAGAAGAGGAGGACACAGTGAGCATGTAACTGGGAGAAGAAAGACTAAAGAAGGGTTTTTAAAAATATTGTTTAGATTTTTGAAAGGGGGTAGGGTAGGGATCAGGGGAGGGGGTTAGAAAAGACAGAGAGTAATAGGAACGGGGCGAACTGGGACAGAGTAACTATACATGAAAAGCAGAATGAAAACAAAGAGGGAGCTACTTCACCAGATCTAGCGGAACAGCAAGAGTGAAAAGAGCCTGAGGCACAGTGAATGGTGGTCGCAAGCAGACTGGGGAAATGGTGGGCACTCTGCCCCTTTATACTGGGGGAAGATGGTGCAGAGTTCCCACCAAAACTGTTAAAGCTGTTTAATCTTCCCAGCAACAGGCACTGCACAGGTGCAGCGCCCATAATGTGTGATACACAGAGGCCACGATGAAGAACTATAGGTTTCTCATATAGCCTAACTCACATCCAATTCATTTCTGCTCTAAGTAAGAGTTATGTCGGAACCATCTCAATAAAATTAGAATTAAGAACATGGATTTTTAAATAAATACATTCTGCATAGTAAGTTTCATTCATTTTCTTTTTTATTAATAGCTAACATCTTTAGAGAGACAATTAATACTTAATCAAGAACTTCATACTGGTAATTAGAAATTGGTAAAAAAGTTATTTTTTCTGCTACTTTGGTTTGCATTTTGTAAATGTCATGCTGCATTGCTGGTATGTATTTAATTTTACTTGTGACAAAACTTAACAGAATGACCACCAATACCACATTCAGTTTATATATTTTATAAATTATTTTTTTAAAAAATAAAACACTTTTAAATTCAAAATTTATAAACAATGTCATCAATTTTAACATTTTAAAATTTTAAAGGTTAAGATTTTTTTAAACTAGGATTTATAAATATGATTGTATGTTTACATAGATTTTTAAATATGGAATATTTTGGTATAAAACAGCAGTTTTAGTCAAAATAAAAGTATGTTACAGTACCACTTGAGAGGTAATCCTGGACCATTCAGAAACACTGTCAAATTAACAATCAGCATCTGTATTCTACAGCCAGCCAAGCAGCATCAATGAACATCATGGCTTGTTCATCTGCTCTTTTATAGTGTAAAAGTATAAATGTACAATGAAGAAGGTCAGATAAAGCAAGCCATGACATTTATTAATGTTGTTCACAGGTGCTGATCGTTTATTCATGCTCCCTATCTGTGGTTTCGTATTGTTCCAGAGCACCCCTGGCTTAGCTTTCAAATGATACTGTAACATGAGCCTAATTTGGGATTGATGTTTGTGCTTTATATTGAAATGTTTCACAGTTTAAATTCTGTTTATATGCATTCACAATTCTAAATCTATAAATTTTAAAGAATTTTTTAAAATGCTTGAATATATGATTGTTTAAATTTAAAATACATAAAAACTGGTTATGCCATTGATAGTCTTTTTGTTTGTTTTTAGAGTATTGTCTTATACACATCAAAACACTCATATAACTGTTGATTTTACTTGTTGAATTGTTTTTAAGTTTCTTTAAATCACCTTTATACAACTTGGAAGGGAGCAAAGAAAGGGATGGGGCGAGGTGAGGGTAGGCTATTTCTCCAAATGGAATCCAGCAAGAAAAGATTCACAAACAAAAAAGCCACATCCTGATTTCCTAAACATATTTGACCTTAAATTTAGGAATTGTGTGTCCTCTCCTTAGTGATGATCCTGACAGGGTCCACCTTCCTTCCTACTGCACAAGGATTTGAGCTTTACATATGCTTCAGTAGAAAGCAGAGAATCATGATGAAACAGCATTGCAGTTTTAAGACATGTAACTTGAAATCCTTATGTGTGATATCTGTATGTTGCTACATTTATTCTAAAACAATGGATGGGCACAACATGCTTTTAAGACGCAGTACCTGAAAAAGCCACTATTTTATCTTAAAACCCATGAACCAAATATAACAGAAAGCAATACTAACTTGTAGGTGTGTCCTTACAAATGATCTCTTTCCCGTGTAATCAAAATTATTCTTCATCAAGAAATAGAGCAACTGTGAAGCTTCTGTTCGGATTGAACTCAGTTTGGAGTTACAGCACTTCAAAATTTCATAGCACAATGCAGAACACATGTCAGCTCTCCCTTCATAAAATGTAGAAGGGAACTGTAGAACACACAAAAACATTTATTCTGTTACACAGTAATAGGCTAGATTCCCTTGAAAAGGTAGGATAAAATGAAATCATCATCAAAACCAGCCTTCTTTAACCTGGTGCCCTCTAGAGGTTTTGAACTACAACTTTGATGACCCATGTAAGCTGGCGATTATGGTTCTTGTAGTTCCTTTCTGGACTAGAGTATATTGAACACTATTTCAGTGTAAATGCAATCCAAAATGTGTATAAGAGCAAACAGGAATTAACTTCATATCAACTGTTACAAAAGTAATATAAGCACAAAACAAGATTAAATCCTGGAATATCTGAAATAAGTCATGTAATCCTGAGACAGTGGTGCAAAAAGGGTGGGGGATACTGATTTCAGTACTGTACTAGCAAATGGAAAAATACATTCAAGAGGGGAATATGAGTGAAAAGGAGTTTCCTACTAAAAGAAACATGATGCTCCTGTACACCTAAATACAAACTATACTGGAAATATTAACTGTCAAGAAGGTTTTTATCTAATTTATTTTTTGTTCAAAAGAATACATTAAAAATTTAATAGGAAATAATCTTGGAATTTCAGTCTCTGAATAGATTTGGTCTATTACATTCACACATTACATTTACAGTGGTACCTCGGCTCATGAACGCTTCAGTTCATGACCAAATCAGGTCACGAACAGAAATTCACGATTGCGGCCACCTTCCCTGCTCTGACACCTGGTTGCGGCTTCCTCTAGTCAAGATCGCAGTCGCAGTCTCTCCCTCCAAACAATAACCTTCTCCCCACCTGGTTTAGTGTTGTCTACTGTACTGTACTTTGTTACTTTGTCGTTCTTTGTTACTTTGTTTGAATTTTTTGTGATAAAAATATTTACAGAATGGATTAACCTTATTTACATCGAACCTTATGGACAAATTTGACTTGGTTTGCAACCAATTTGGGTCGCGACTAGAACCGTGAAACGAATTAAGTTTGTGAGCTGAGGTACCACTGTATATCCTGACTCTCTAAATCTGTCTGTAAGATTAAAATATTGCAATATTGTGTTTCAATACAATATTAACTTGATGCCTCAATGCTATTAATGTCAACTTAACTCAATAAAGTATTTTCCATAATCAGATTTACATGCTAGAAATGTAATAGACTTCATGGTAGATCTTTTCCCTACATCGTGAAACTACTTTAAACAAAAACACTGGATACATGGGATTACATAATAAATTTAGAGTTCCACATGTTTTGTAGAATGAGAAGGCCAAATTGTATAGAACCCTGGGCCAAATTTGCCCAATCCAAGAGTCCCAGTCCAACCTTCCAGAGTTTCCTGGTGGCTACACTACATTTCCTGACAACAAGCTACTTGGTGTTTTCCTGGCTTTTGTACTATTTTCCTAAAAGGCTGCACTGCTCCCCTTAGTTCTGGCAATAGGAAATTTAAGCTAAAATAGGATAATTTTAAAAATATCTCGACCAACCAATTTTTGGATTATATGACATCATATAATATATTGGCTAGATCCTGGAAAGTTTCCAAGCTGCCTCTATTCACAAATGATTGATAAAGTATTTGAAATTGGTTGAAATGAAACAACATGTAAGAATAATTATATTCAATAATCAAAGAAGCATTATATAGGAATATACTAGAATAATCACTATGATTATACAGGTTTGAGTAAAAGCTGGTTTCTATGAAAACTGTATTCTACCTATTTTAAAATCCATATTAAAAATGAGTCTGGATTTTAATTGGTTTAAATGGATCCCTAAAAATAGGCACATGGAATTACTTAAAAAAGTAAAGAAACTAAATAGCCACTTCTTTAGTATTTGTGGGTCCTAACATCATCCTTTGCAAATAAGCACATACGAGTAATAATTACTACTCTAAAAGTGTTTTAGGGTTTTAGCCTGTCTATCCCACAAATCTGCAGCCTCTAAGGGAAGTTGTAACTTCATAGGCTCATTGCCTAAAATTGACCAGGCAAACGGCTATTGACAACCAAACTGATCATGCTGCTTTAGTTTATTGTTCTCTCAAATGAAGTTAAAGCAGAAGCAGAAATTCCGTATTTATTGGCCTTTGGGACATATTTCAGACATTTGCCTCGGTTTTCTATACTGAATGAAACTTTCACTTGGCTTGTCCCCTGTTTTAAAATGGGCAAGAATATACGATCTGGATTCTATTCTTTCCCCTCTCCTAGATTTCATCACTCTTTAAAACTGATCTGCTTGGTACTGTACAATTCTAGTAAAACAGTTGGAACTACCTGTACAACACTGCCTGGCAGATGTGAAAAATGCAACTCTGTCTTTGGAATACGTAGGGACCTGCCATGTAATGGGACCCACCCAATCCAACAAGCAATATGGAAGCTGGTCTTTGTGTAGTGGCCCTCTTATTAAAGTGGATGATCAGCCTACTGTTTGGGACAAGTCCTTGATCAAGCTCAAATAGTAAGATATCAAGAATCCTTCAATTAGTTCCCAAGCTCAAGCTTCAAAAACACAGCAGGGCTCCAATAGCCATTTGTGAATTTTTGAAATGTAGTCTCTGAAATTTGGCGGAGCTTCCAAAGCATCCTCTGACTGAACATGGAAATTGGCTGTCTGAGATTCAACATCCCACCTTGGTGTGTGCACTTAACTGGCTCTTTACATTTACAAAACAACAACTAACCAATCTACACTCACAATCAACTAACAACAACATGACATGCACAATGAAGGAAATAAAAAATTAAAATTACTTACCTTAAAAATTAATGATCTTAAAGCACTGAAGACATTTTTGAGTGCTGTTTCTGATTGATTTTTTTGCAGAAAGCAAAGGTACACATCAAATACCTTTTTCATCAGAGGATTGTGTCCATGATCCATCAGTAACTGATTCTTAAAATTAAGAGAATTTATATTTTAACTACAACCACAGATGTGATTACATTAAGGCCTCAGAATTACCTCATTACATTATAGACCAACCTTTCCCAACTTGTTGCCCCCAGATGGGTTCAATAGCAACCCCCACAATTCTTAGCCATAACCATATAGGAAATTGTCGGTGGATTATGGCCTGGCCTGACCTGTACAACTGTTTCTGAGTGTCAACGGGATATTTGGCCTTGTGTTCCCTGAAATGTAACCATGCTCATAACCCTCAGTACCACATGGCAAACCTCTTAAAATTAATAAGTTTTCCAAGCAGTTAGATGACATTGGGTTCAGTAAGATTTTCATTACTACCGTGTTTCCCTGAAAATAAGACCGGTATTAATTTTTGCTCCAAAAGACATACCAGGGCTTATTTTCAGGTGATGTCTTATTTTTGCATGTGCAACAATCTACATTTATTCATTTATTCATGTACAAATTCTACATTTATTCATGTACAAAAATCTTCATTTATTCAAATACAGTCATGTCATCTTCTCCTGGAACAACATCATAACTCTCCAAACCCCAAATTGTGTTGCAACTGATGTACTAAATGTGTCCGTTTGGCTGACGATCTTAACTGAGGCTTATTTTGGGGGTAGGGCTTATATTACAAGCATCCTGAAAAATCATGCTAAGGCTTATTTTCCAGTTAGGTCTTATTTTTGGAGAAACAGGTATATTACTTAAGAATAACATTGGCCCCTGTTCAGAATATGGAGCATGAATTTTACTAGTTATTTGGGTTGGGGGAAAGGGAGTCAAAATGTCACAAGATGTAATATAGGAAATGGAATTTGAGATTAACAACAAAGAAGCCTTTGTATGCCTGGATATTTCTCTGTGTGAGAAGATACAAATTGTTTCGCTGTATATCTAATAATTTTCTCAATTTTAAGCATAAGACCAATGCTAAAGTCTAGCAATGCTTGTCTAAACATACCTTAAATGCCATTGTAAATAAAGATAAAGTATCCAGAATTGTAAGGCAAATTTCTGTGGCAATGTTGGCTTCAAGTAAAGCCTGGTGAAGGACATCTGCTTCTGAATGGCCATAACCTGTGAAAATTTGAAGCAGTTATTACTATATTTGTACAGATGTTCAGAAAATGGATCCCTTTAAACCTAATAATGCCAATCAAATGGTAGAAGAGTTAAAATTCTTATGCATTTTACAGAAAAGCTATAGTTCCAGATATAGACCTTAAAGAACCCTATTCCAGTAGATAGCACTTTTATGCTTGCACGTATGTGCAAGCTTCTGATACATGAGTGTTTTCCAGAGGCTGAGAGTATAGAAAGGAAATATTGGAATACTGTATTTGCATGCCAATTGTATCCCGAATTGTGATCTACAGGCAGATACACACACACACACACAGATGATATATTTATATCAATCATCAGAATACTTTCAAAAATTCTTAGTAGTACTCAGTTTTGCCTAAGTTACTGCTTCCTGAACTTCAAGGTGCATTTTTATTAATTAAAATTGGAAATATATGTTGTTCTTTGAAAGTGTAAGAGTCTGCAGGTTTCTGTGTAAACAAACATTCTAGGACATGCCTGCTGAATGGAAGGCAGCAAGGCTAGAAACTTATGCAGAGAGGCAACAGATAACCTTATCTAAGGGCATATCATGCTGCTGCATCTCTACATCAGTAGTCTTTGAATGCTGCAATCATGTTTGAGGTAAACTGGAGGCAGAAGACACAGCTACAGCAGAGAAACATGCAGAGACACAATGAGCAACCTCCTTTACTGGCTTCATTGATGGAACTACTTTCATTTTTATCTTGCAGCTGTTATTTTTGCAGCTGCCTAATGTAGCCCACCCAGTTTAGGAAATTACAAGGTGAGGCACAAGATATTACAAGACATTCGTTTTAACCCCTGAGTGCTAGAGGCCTAATCATTACTCAATCCAGGGTTTGTTTTTTTAAACATTGGGATCACAAACAATTGTTGATTTTTATATTGGCAGAGTTAACACTTTTTCGGTTATCTACCCTGAATTATGAGAGGGCAAGACTCGTTGGAGAAGGCAATCATGATTGGGAAACTTGAAGGTGGAAGAAGAGGAAAACCAAATAAGAGATGGATTGACTCCATGAAGGAAGACACAGCCTTGAATTTAGAACAGCTAAGTAGGGATCAACATGGAAAGGAAAGTTTGGAGGGCCTTCTTTCATAGAATTGCCATAAGTCAGAGATGGGTTGATGGCCCATAACAGCAACACCACCACCAACAATAACAACTCCTATAACAACTGCACTCCTATACTTGTTAAATCAACTGTGCAAATCAAAGAATATTATTTATTCTTAATACAGTTAACTATGTTTTTAGTTCTCTTGTATAACACTGGTCTACAAATTGTGGGAAATTATCAACCTCCGAGATAAAATGTGCTAATTCTTACATATTTTGATTGGATGACGTAGAAAGCAGGTGATGGTTAGCTAAAGTTTTCCAGATATTTCACAATAATACAGGTGAGTATATTTGCCTACAAGGGAGGGAAGTGTCTGATGATCACAATGCCTCGTAACTTCTCGACAAAGTACAGAGGAACAGTGAAAATGGTACCACATGAAAGTGTACATATTGATCTTCACCTTGAGACTAAAGATTATTACCTAACTGAAATTTATTGTTCTTTTACTGCAAGGTACATTTGTCTTGGTCAGATCTACGCATCATACAGTTATATCTGGTGGCTTGTGAAAGTGTCATTGCCTAACATTTCCAAGGAACAGCTGCATGATATTTTTCCTCAGAAGCCAAACTGTGTAAACAATGCAGATAACTTCTGCTACATTTGTGGTGAGGTTACAGTTGCATCTCAAAAGTGGAGTATGACCACAATGGTAAAAAAGGCACACCACCTATATTTTGGATGCAAAATAGGGAATCAGGACAAGAGCTGGGGCCCTCATTATAGTTGCATTAAATGTGCAACTTATCTGCATCATTGGCTAAACAAGAAGATAAAGTTCATGCCTTTCACAGTCCAAATGGTGTGGAGGGAACCCACCAATCATAGTAGCGACTGCTATTTTTGCATGGTTCCCCCAGTTGCAAAATGGATCTCAAGAAAGAAGAAGTGGACTGTGGAATATCCAAACATTCCCTCCACACTGTGTCCTGCACCAAAATGGTGAGGACTTGTCAATTCCAGATCCACCAGAATACTACTCTCTAGACTCAGATGATGATAAAGACAATGAGCAGGATGCAGGTGATCTGGAGTGGTTGATGTCAGCAGACTCAAACTTGAGCCCACCATATGCTCCTCCTGAACCACATCTAATTTCACAGAATGAACTAAATGACCTGGTCAGGGATTTGGAATTGCCTAAAAGTAAGGCAAAGCTACTGGGCTCCAGATTACAATAGTTGAACCTCTTGCAGTGTGATGTCAGGATCTCAATTTTCCATGATTGTCAAAAAGATCTGGTTCAGTATTTCTTAGTGGATGGTGATTTGGTTTATTGCAATGATACCGATGACTTAATGACAGCCCTTCACATTACCCACAACCCAGATGAATGGAGATTGTTCATAGATTCATCTAAAATGAGTTTAAAAGCTGTTTTATCGCACATTGGCAATGTTTAGCCATCTGTTCCTGTCGGGCATGCACTCCACATGAAAGAAAAATACAAAAACATGAAACAGCTGCTGAGGTGTATGAGGAACATCACTGGCAGCTCTGTGGTGATTTGAAAGTTGTTGCCATGTTGCTTGGCCTGCAGGGTGGATACATGAAGTACAGCTGTTTCCTCTGTGAATGGGACAGTCGAGCCAGAGATTCTCATTATGTGAAGAAAGACTGGCCATCATGACATCCTGGGAGCCAGGAAAGAAAAATGTTCAAAATTCAGCTCTTGTTGATTCAGAAAATTTTGTTACCACCATTGCATATAAAGGTGAGGCTGATGAAAAACTTTGCAAAGGTGATGAACAAAAAAAAAAAAAAAAAAAACTAGGTTTCCAATATCTCTATGAAAAGTCTCCAAGACTTAGTGAAGCCAAAATCAATGAAGGCATCTTTGTTGGTTCACAGATTCGAGAACTTCTCTGGATGACAAGTTTGATCGTCTTTTACATGGCAAGGAAAAGAAGGCATGGGGAGCCTTCAAGTCCATGGCAATAGAGTTTGTCAGGAACAGCAAGGCAGATGACTATGAAAAACATGTGGAAAATTTCTTAGGTCTTATAAAGCACTTGGTGCAAACATGTCACTGAAAATTCACTTCTTACACTCACATTTAGACTATTTCCCTTTGAACTGTGGGGCAGTGAGTGATGAGCATGGGGAGAGATTCTGCCAGGATATCATAGGCATGGAGAAAAGATACCAAGGGAAATGGAGTCTGTCCATACTTGCAGATTACTGCTGGAATCTCTCCAGGGATGATCCTACCACAGTTCAGAAGAGAAAAGCCAAAAAGCACAGTGTAGAGACCAAATAAAAATGGAATCTTGTCATTTAAGCTGATGTTAGAGCATGAAAATATTACATGAAAAACCAATAAATGAATGAAAGGTTATGTTAGTGGTATCAATAAAAAGATAAATGTATAATGATTGCTGTGGCACCATTCTCATTGCTATATCATATTTTGCAAAAAAGTTATGGAGCATAATTACACCCCCCCCAAATTTTGAATTATTTTGATGCAATTTTGATCTGAAGCTGTATCTTGGAAACTGGAGCCAATTAATACTCAGGACTTAATTTTCCTTTATTAGTGACCTAATTCTGGTAAAATTTAGCTTTTATTTCCGAGGCTTTCTCCTTGTATACCAGTGAACTGGAACAATAAAAAGCTATTGAAAATAATTATATGAAGTTTAATCAATACAATTGCTTTGAAGAAAACATTTCCAGATATGAAGATGCTAAGTGTAATTCAAACTCAGCATTTTTTCTAGAAATATGAAAAAAATGAATCAAACTACATTCCTGAAAGGGTGATCCTTTATTAGATGAAGGAACAGAGAAAACTACAATTGAAAGAGTGCTGAAGTAGCAATGAAATCTTGATAGACTATGAAATATGGCTCCAAGCCTACCAAACTGAAGAAAACTATGGCTCCTTTGGAAAATGGGGTGTTAAAAGGTTTTTTAAAACAATACACTGCTTAGGCAGAGATGCTGTGGAGTGTTTGCGTGGGGTAGTAGGGATCCTCATAGCTATTCTTTGCTGAAAGTGCTCCTACATAATTGCTTAATTGCTCATTAAATTCAAAAAGGGAAACTTTTAAAAGGGGGAAATAAGTCACAAACAGAATTCTACTTCTGGAATAGGCTTTCCCCTCCTACTCCTCCCCACTGCAGTCCCAATATTCTCCCTTCCCAAAAGACATTCTAAGGGACCCTCTAGCTTCTGATGTAACATGGGGATCACAGCTAGAGAAGGAAATCGGGCTGCTCCTTGCTGGAATCAAAGTGATTTGCACTCATGGAACGGAACCAACCTGCATGTAGTGTGCCATCTCCCTGCTTAAGAAGTTTGGAGAACCTCTGCACTCTTTTTGAAATGCTAAGGAATGATTTTTCTAAATAATAATTTTGGGGGTTCTGTGGTGAGTAGAAAACCTAAAAAATTGGGCCAACATAGTCCTCTGGATTTTGGTGTTCAAGAGTGGCAAGAATTAAGATTAATATCAGTGGCTATAATGACTGTGTACCTCAGTTAGTGGACAAAATGTGTGGGAGGATGCTGTTGCAGTAACACCTCACTTGTGGGAACCTGGGAGCAGCTGGTTTGCCACTGTGTGAACAGCATGCTGGACTAGATGGACCATAGATCTGATCCAGCATGTCTCTTCTTATGTTTCTAAGTCTTCAAGATTTGAATAAGTGCACTATAACAAAGGTATTTTGTCCTTTGGCTATCTTTAAAAAAGGGGAGTTTTAGGGTTTAACAAATTAAAACCAATTTTAATGAAAATCCATAAAAATGCTAGATCAACATTTTGGAAAGGACTGCTATATTCCTTGATCACCAGGTTGCAATATGCACAACTTAAAACAACAGGAAAGAACAATGCTGAATTGCTTATATTTGGGTTTTTAATCTTCCGTAAAATTTATCGTAAATGTTAATATCATAAGGTACCATAAAATACAGGTAGTTCTCAGGTTAGGGAAAAGTTCTGTTCCTGAGAACATCCTCAAGTTGAATTTGTATGTAAGTAGATTGGCAGGAGAAGGTCAAAAGTTTATCTTGGTTTATGTATATATTTCTATGAATATAAAACACTTGAGAAACACTTCCATATTCACTAAAACATCTTAAACACAATGCAGCAATGTAATAAAGATTATAATATAGTAATAATAAGGTAACTATGAAAAGAAATAATCTGTATCTATGTGTGTAGTAAAATCTACATTGTATTGTAAAAAAGAAATAAAAGAAACAGGTCTCAAAACAGTTTAGAACATTCCTGAGACAGACACAACTATCTCTAGGAAAATGCCATGAAAATCTCCAGCGAATCTCTCTCTAGCAAAGAACTGTGAGTATCTCTAGAGAACTATGTAGCCACTGATGACATATCGCCAAATACATCACATAATTCCCTAGAGATATTAATGGCTTTTCTCCAGAAACATTCATAAAGGGTTTATGGCAGTCTGCACATTTGTACGTACAGGTTTTTTGTAACCTGGTTGTTTGTGACCCTGGGACTAACTGCATCATAAATTTATGATATTTATGTTCCACAGAAATAAAACAAAAATTGTATTATATTACAAGCTTACTAATTTTCATACTTACATTAACACTAACACTTACATTACATTACATTTCATATTTACATCACATTCAATGGCAACAAGAAAACATGAGAAAATTCTCAAAAAATTAGAATATGTTTATTAAAATTCCAACCTGAAACGTTTAGATGAGTTTTTAAATCAGAATTTGCAGTTCACTAGAAACCATGTAGTTTATCCAAAATTATACAAAGAAATGCAAAGCATTAAATTGTCAGCTGAAAAAGTTAGCTGAAAGGAATTAAATAAAATTTAGCTGTTTCAGGTTTAACCTCTCAAGTAACTGCATTTGAACTAGAGCATCTGGAAGCTGCTGCCTTTATGTTTATTCATTATACTGTATATCAAATGTATGGTAAGGATATGTGATGATTTTAAGGACAGCCGAACTAGAGAATTCTCAATGCAGAAGAGAATCATGCCTTTCTCTGTCAGATATCTTAAAGTCTGGGTGGAGGGGATAAATCAGATGTTTAAAGGAGATTTGATTCTTTTTCTGCTGCTTGATTAACAAGTCTCTTCTCCTAGCGCCTCACCAAGGAGAGACACTAGTGTTGCTCCAGACAGCACTGATATGAAAGACCCAATGGTGTCAGGCTTCAATTCCCATCCTCCAATTTTACCCTAGAAGCTCTCCCATGGAAATTAATGGATATTTGTTCCTATGGTGGCAGGAGAAAGAAAAGCTCCATGGACAAAATTGGAAAAAGGTGGCTAAACCTCCCACCAAACAAAAGCCTTGCTCAGCTTGAGAATTTGTAAATACATGTTAAGTTATTTGGCAAACTAATTCTGCTAAATTAAAGGAGAATTTTACTGCATGGAAATACAGGAAAAATTAACCACATGTGATTGCGGTTAATATGCAGCATGTGAAGTAACTATGCTTTTTATAAATTCAGTATGCTTACTGTTCATGACTTTTAAAGCTTCACAAACTTAAAAAATAGTTTGTTGAGTTATATTATTGATATTGCATACATATTTCTACAGATAATTTAAAACTAGTTTTTCATTTCAAGCAATTCCAGAGGCTCACTTCAACCTCAATGTCTTACCATTGTCTACAGAAATTCCAAGCAAACTTGATATTTTTCTTACACTGAAAACACAGAAAAAGTCACTTCATTACTGGGTGCTTCTTTCCATCCAAACGAAACCATGGACTTTACATATTTTACTGAACGTTTACACTACTTCAAAATATTTTCTCTTAAACTTTATGCCAGAACATGGTCACATGATCAAGAAAGCACATTTCACAATTTTCAAAACATTCTGGAAAGTGTAGTCCATTTAAATAGTTCCCAATGGCTGTTGAAAGCCAAATATTTCCAAGAAGTACACCACAGACTAGAAATGCATAATTCTGAAATCCACCAAATACCATGGGTACAATATTTCAATTATCATGTGTAAAAATGCTTTCGTTAACCATGTTCCATATTGTGTCATTTGGTATTACAGCTTAGCAGTGAGCAGAATTTATTTGTCACCCAGAAAAATACAGTCCATGTCATGCTCTGGTGTGGGTTTCAACCTGTCTCTGGTGTCGTGGTACTAGCTGACATTTCAGCTGTTATGATGCCATGGAACTTACTGTGACTAAATGTGAGAGAGTTATCCAGGCTGCTCAGTTGCTGTAATCTGGCATGCATCATCCCTGTTCTGTTACGGGAAACAGGCAATGTCTGAGATTTTCGATCATGAACTATGGGTCCCAACCCCTCCTGGTTCCTGCAAGATGGGTGAAATGGGACAGAAGCAAAAGTTAGACATGTTGCATTGCCGCAGAGAGGGGGAGAGTTAGTTAAGCAGTTCAAGCAAAAGTTTACTAGAAGATGAACATAAAATGCGGCCTATGATCTGCTGTAGTTAACATCCTGGTGACATTATCTAGCCAGCTAGGGTAATTATCTATGGCCCACACTTCATAGAGAAAGTGGTCCATATAATTTATTTTCAAACTGGAATGAACTGTATTTACAACTGAATGGACTGGAGATACCAGTGATAGTGATAATCCAGAGGACAAACACTGGTCAAGGAGACCACTTGACGACTGAACTTTGGTTAATTTATATTAAGTAGAAAATAGGCTGCATTCCAACAAGCATCAGGGCAATTCAAAAGCTTCTAACATGTTTGAAAGCAGTAGTACACGGCAAGCAGTATTTTGTTCAGAGCAGATGTGCTATTTGTATAAAAATTATAATGAAGTTAGAATGTAAAAGCAGCTCATATGTTACATGAATTTTTGAAAGAAAGTTAAAGGGGAGTCAGGGAATCTTTAGTAAGCACATGCAGAGATACTAATAACCTATATCTTACCAGGACAGGAAGGGAGTAGAGCCATATACTTTGTTAAACTTGCCAGCAATCAAGTGAAGGAAATAGAAAAGTGATCTGCATTAGCAATCAGTACAGACTAACCTCCTAGTGTGTACCACCACCAGAGCTGACAAGAAATGAAAACCAATACCAGAATTACACACATCCCTGCTTCCTCAACTATAGGGTGTGTAGAGATTGCATGCACGTTTTTGCGAACACATTCCTTTGGTGCATCTCAGTGTGGCAAGTTAATATTTCTTTGTGAATCTCTTCAACAAACCCATGAACATCAGGCACGTGCATAGTTTTCCGTTCTTTTACATGCAGCACAACCAATGATTATATTCCTAGCGGAACAGCCTATTATATTAACAAATTAATCAAGTGATATTGTACATTTTTTCTTTTTGCATGTCAACAATACAAATACAAGAATTACAGCTAAAGCTCAAGGAAATATTTTTACAATTACAATATGCATTAAATTGAAATGCTTTTTTAAAATATCATGAATAAATTAAGAGCATGCAACAAAGAAATGAGGGCATCTCCCCCACCACCTTGAGAATCATCAATACAAACACACTGTTTTCATATTAAATTCGTAAGAATTAATTTACACCAAAGATATTCTTAAAGGCAAAATTATGTCTAGTATGAACCACTTTCAGATTGTTGGTGAGGACACAGATGACAGAAGTCAGAATGTTAAGAAAACAGCTGCAAACCAACGTCTGTAATGTTATGTGCAGTTATTTTACTCATTGTTTTGATAGAAAACCCATGATACAGTCTAAACCCAGAAATGGATTTACCAACTTAGTTGTTTTGCAAGAACTGGGCTGATATGTAATGAAAGAAATCTAGGGCTCATGGGACCAAAACAGCTATTTTCTCTTGGGATCAGCACAGAGAGATAGGTAATATATAGAAATACAACTGTTTCAACTATTTTAGAAGGCATATTTAACTCGGCTCATAGAACAGCATTGGTCTTCTAAATTTTGCTTTTTCTGTGCCTTCTTTCATGATGTTTTCATTGTAAAATGTGGAAGGCAGAATTAACAAATATCCAGGTTAGAATGCTTCTAAGTAATTCTCTGGGCAGAGTTAAAACAAAACCAACAACACATATTGCATTTCTACAGAGTATGAGAATTGTGATTTCCTCTATTTGTGTTTGGAATACATCATTTATTCAGGAACTGGTAGGTAAGTGCTTGCAGATAACAGGCTTAAGTGAAAAGAAGTTGCAGATGCTCCTTTTAGCATTAAATACTGCAACAACTCCAGTAAATTGCCACTACAAGGCAGTACTAGAATTAAGAAGAGAATGGGATGAAAAGGTGCATGTGGCAGAATCATGCTTTGCTCAGTGTGATCGGGAGCATCCAGGGAAACAGGAATAATGTACAGTTAACAGTCATTTAGGTGCCATGCATGGTTCTGAGAGCGGTTTTCTTAATTAGCCGCATACAGTTTGCTCACAACTGTATGTAACATTTAGAGTTTGAATAAGGAACATAAAATTCTATGCTGTGTAAAAAGTTGAAGTGAGGTTTCAAAATCAAAACAGAACTACAGTAAGGAACCACAGTTAACATGTGTTAGGGGCTGCTAAATCCAATTACTTACCGTCTATTCAGTGGACATCCCTTTGAGACTTATATGTACATAATTCAGTAACAATAAAATGAAATGAAATAAATAATAAAATAAAATAAAAATCTTTTCTGCTGCAATAAAATCACACTGTTAGATCATACACAGTACCTGGCTATATATCGTTTCCCCATGTACTGGAACTGATGTAAACACACTCTGCAAAGAACATAGTAATAATTGTTGCAGTTTCAAATAATTATTTCTATTCTGTCCAATAGCTTAAGCTCTCTGGAGTGCTCATAACAATTCATAAAGCACAGATATAAGCAGGTACAATCTCATCAAATAATTAACTTTAATAATTGTCTATGCTTTTAATGGTCTTTTTCCACTGCATAAAAAACCATGTATCTTCTATATGATAACTGCTATGTTGCAGTTGCCAACTTTTTGCAGGCCAAGTTATTTGCGTTTGCCTTATCTCTCATGCACAGTGAAGCCCCAGTGTGATAATGGCTGGAACTGCTGGTGTTACTTTATATATGAAATATCCCACTTTTCAACCTGAACAGGTCCTCCAAGTTAATGTATAAGAAAAAATAACATTGCAGCAAATTGAAAACAGTGAACGAAGTAAGCTCAGACAGCAAAATCACCCCACTGAAATAAAGACATTAACAGCCAAAGTGAACAAAAACTTCACCACAGGCCATAACTGAGGAATTTCTACAGTATAAGAAATGCCTTGGATAAATTCTGTCCTGTCCTGCAGTCTCACTATTCAGAGGTATGATATTATACACAATACTTACCTTGGGCTTTAAAACTTATACTTGTACAGTATATTAGAATCATTACATCAACTCACTCTGCAATTGTGAAAAAATCCATAAGTTCTGAAGTTGAGGCCTTGTTCCAATATGTGAAAAGTGCATCTGCAACGTACAAGTTCATAAAATAGTTAATGAAGTTAATAGAATAGCTACTGAAGTAATAAGTTTTGAAAGATCAAGATCCAGTACAAAAATATCTTCAGAACTAAGTAAAAAGAAAAGTTTCTGTTTACCATCAGACATGCTTTTTAAAATGTGAAGAAAACACATTAGTAGACTCCTGATCTCAGCTTGATCAAGTTTGTCACATCGAACTACAGAACTTCCCAAAGGACAACCCTGCTGGTTCTGAAAAGTAAGACAGGAATATATTTGGATAAGAGACTAACAGAAAGATCCAAATGCATGTAGCCCATTATCTCAAAATGGGGACATGAATATACACCAACACTCGCATGTGGACAATATAGTTACTAAGACATGCCAGCATACACAACTAAATTTAGACTCTCTTACTCAGATCCAATTCAGTTTTTGCACATATTCCATGGCTCCCTCTTTCAAGCCTCCTGAAAAAATATTGAATGGGTGATGTAGGGAAATTCATCTCTTTACAGGACAAGTTTGAACTATTTAAGCATCCCTTTAGGGGCCATATGTCAGAAGCAGGAGAGACTGGAGCCACCCCATACACCGATCCACATTCATTTGTTGTGATTTGTGTTTGCACACACAGAAAGACCCAGGCTTGTCTTTAAGAAATATGTTTTCTGAAACTATGCAGCCTATCCCATTCTTTGAATTTTCTTTCGTTCCTTCTGTGCCACACAAGTACATGCCAGTATCAAGAATGGTCAGGGATGATGGGAGTTATAATTCAATGTTTACAAGTTCCCCATACTAGATGTAAAGGCGCCACTTTAGAAATAGGTACACACATGTGTACAGCTCAAAGCAATCGGGAAATTAGAGAAGGCTGACAGATTGAAATGCAGTAGTAAATATTTGAACAATAAATATTCAAAGAATGTGCAATTGTGACTGAAATAATGCATGAGACTAGACTCATGTTGTTACAATAAGGAAGGTTCAAAATACCAGCTAAGCATGTGTGATCATATATCTTATAGAGAATGTTTATCTGACACACAGGAAACAGTATCACACAAAAGCCAAAGGTAATTTGGAAGAAAATGTTCATATATGCTTAAATGATATATGCTTTTCTTAGCCTCCCTTCAAGAAAATGCTATGCCCCATCACTGCAATGTCTTTTTCCTTAGGGGTAAAATTGACTGTCATGCTTGCAGCAGTCTATCAACTGAATTTAGATGTATCAGGTCCTGTTACTGCCATTTCTTTGTTGTTCCTTACTTTCTTATTGTTAAGTACCATCAAGTTGTTTCTGACTTACAGAAATCTCCTGAATGAAAGCCTTCCATAATGTCCTGTCCATAACAGTCCCACTCAACTCAAGGCTGTGATTTTCTTTATGGAGTGAAACCATGTCATATTTGGTCTTCCATATATACTACTGGAAAAAGCCCTACCTCTATCAAGCCAATCACAATGTAGAACTTGACTGGAAACCCATCACCACGTATGATATACAAATCCTATTAGCCCATAGGAAGGCTGAAAGGAAAAGCAAGGCTATCTCAAAAGTAAATTAAATGTCAAGAAATCAACATAATCACCAAGAAGTCAACATAGCCTAAGCTCTGATTTTCAAAAAGGATAGAGAAAGTTTGCAAATCATAGAACTACTGACAATTTCTCCACACTGCAAATTAATTATGAAGGAAAACAAGATGACAGTTCTGCTATTTAGCATATGTAAAATAGCTTAAGATCAGTCAAATTTGATGTTTCTTTACATTTCAGCATGCCATGTCATGATACTTTTACTTCAGCTAGTTCTCCAATTCAAGTTGCTTTAATGGTTAAGCAAAACTGTCAGCGCACACTGCATTCAGAAATGTAATCAAACAAACCACAATGAACAAATACTCTTTGTAATGGAGGAGATGCCACGGCGTGGACATTTCTCCCTGGTAAAGATGAAACTGTCAGTAGTGAAAAGTCCACTGTAACACATTTTTTCTTTGAAGACCAGTAGTGTTCTTCTTCCTCTCCAGTAGTACATAATAAATGAGCAGAATGCCTTCTGAGGAGCTTCTCCTTCTGCCACAAGAAGGTACATTATGGTCAAGGACAAAACACTAAAGCATGTTGCATTAATCCTTTAAATGCTAAACATGTGCTATATAAAAGGTAAATGCAAATGACCACCAATTAACTGCACCTCAAAGATGCTTCATTAGCAGATTTACACAAACCATAGAGAAACACAATTTTTTATGCCAGTGAACTTTAGATGCAGGTGTATGGACTACACCCTTGCCACTCAGAAGCTCCAAGATTCCTACACCTTGCTGGGCTGAAGTTGGCAGTAAAGGAAGGGAACGGGGGGTAATTTCTGTCTCTACATTCTCTGATCTCCTACCTAGCAAGGCTATTTCAAAGGAGGAGAGAAAGGAGGCTGAAGGAAGTTCAGGAACTCCCATTGCAGCCTCTCGGTTCTCTTCCTACTCACCTGAATGCTCCCTTTCCTCCTCCTGAGATTTTCCGACTTTGCAGAAGCAACAGTCAAGTATTTTCATGTTGGCTATAAGAGGAAGGCATCTGAGGTTTTTCATTCCCTCATTCCAAGGACAGAGTACTGTTGGGAGCTTCCTAACCCATTTTGCCTAACAACCATAGGGTTGCTCTCTTAGAGATTATCCTTAATGACATTTTAAGGGTGGTTACTACACTGGAGAAGACCATAATGCTGGGAACAATTGAAGGCAAAAGAAGAAGGGGATGGCAGAGAATGAGGTGGCTAGATGGAGTCACTGAAGCAGCCGACATGAGCTTAAGTGGACTCTGGGGGATGATGGAGGACAGGAAGGCCTGGAGAAATGTTGTCCATGGGGTCACGATGGGTCGGACACGACTTCACAATGAACGACAACAACACTATACTGCTACTTTCTAAAAACAGTTTTCTTATAATAAGGAAATTTATGTAGTCGGAATTAAGACCAAAAATAAGTTGATATTTAATACACATTAAACACATTTTATTACCCTCCAATATACTGAAATAGCAGTGTTTTTTTTCTCTAGCCAAATGCTATCTCAAAACTATACCTGTCCTTTTCCAAAAAACAAACAAAGAGAACAAAAAATCAATATTTTATTTAGTTTAGTAGAAGAGACAGGCAGTATAATCAGCAGCCAGATCCATATAATAGATGAAACTAAAACATGTGGCTGTTTTCCTTCAATACCATCAGCAATCTGTAGCTCTTACTGGTTAAATGACAAGTATGTGTAGGATATTATGTTACAGGCACAAATGTGTAAAAGTGTTCATACCTTGTCAAGCGAATTGCTCTTTTCACTATGCCTTTCCTGAAGACTGTTTCCTGAATCTGTACTTATAAGAGAACCTCTTGAATCTGCATTTCTCACATAATTAACATTAGTTGTAGAAGAAGTATATGGGGACGCTGAATAAAAAGAGAGTAGAAAGGGGATGCATTATGATCTCAACAAGTAAAGAAAATGAGAGGAGACCTGGATACAGCTGTATCTTCTCACAACGATGCCATTTTCAATAGTGACATCTTGCAGTTAACAAGGTGCCACCCAGCCTTACTGAGATTCAGCCCATATTCTGCTGATTTGAGCAGACCCTTCCCTTAATTATGTACCAATCAGCTGGTAAAAACCTGGCTATTGCATGTGTGGTGGGACTGGATAAGTTGCATGCATATTTAATGCCACCAGCAGAGTTGGATGCCGGGTTTATCATTGAGAGATGTCACACTGTTTAGAAATATTGTTCCATTTCCAGTTATGGAAGTTAAAGCATTTATATGTTTCAAGCACCCTTGCAAGAGGTAATTGTGGGATGCCTTTCCTTTCCAACTATCTCCTTTTATTTATCCTCATGATCAATTGGTGAAATAAGTTTGGCTGAAAAAGAGCCAGTAACAGCAAGAGTTATATCTGTATTCGTATTTGAACCCAGGTCTCCCTGATCTAAATTCAAACACTATCCACTATAGCACATAGGCATAAAGCTATGCAAAAATTTCACCAGTAGACAATTGGCACGCAAAGTTCCTGCTTTTATTACTTAGAAAAATCTATTTGGATGCTCACAGCTGAGTTGATAAAGAAATGTTAAAAAGATTTTAAAATGTTTACCAATGCCTGATATAGCACCAAACAAGTCTTTGTGGAGGTTGTTATCAAGGGTATTCACAGATTTTTGTGGAGTCACCAGTGGATTTGCAGCTGATAAACTAATGGGTTCATCTTTTGCACTCTGTTAAAAAAAAAAATATACTGTTTCATATGCTTAACTTTTATGCTTAACTTTTTTATACTACTTTTATAAAAGTATTATATATTGGTACTGACAGCTTTAAGGTTTCAACCACAAAAATATTACTTACACTGATAGACGCATTAATAGGAAAAGGTGAAATATCCTTGACATCAATGCGATGTGCATTTTCTATCAGTAGGCCAAATGTTGGAAGGTACAATGTAGCTATTCTTGCTTGATGACTCTGTACAAAAAAAAAAAAAGACTTTACCAATTAGTGGGAATACACAAAAGCTCAATTTTAAACAGAATATTTTCATCCCAAAATGATAACTGCCCAGAGAGTATCACTACTTCTTTACCAGCCCTTCTCTCCAATGATATACAACGGCTGCAATGTTATGGCTTGTGCCCTTGTGACCAAAGTCTTGTTCTCTAAGACTTATGAGTATCCAAAACCTTGCTTAGTGGGTACCACCAGGGTGAGAGAAGTAAAAGAAGTAATTTTAGATTCTCTGTTTTCCTTTTTGGCTGTTTTCCTTTAGGGCTTCTAAGACCGCCTAGTGGGGGCATGTGGCTATGCATGGGTCTGGAGCAACCTTTGTAATATGGCCTCTCTTCTTGCTTTGCCCACTGCCTACTGCGATGTTCCCTTCCATACCTCTTTGAGGTCCTCCAAGGATGTTTTTGTAAACTGGTAACACAGGCAGTGGCTGTGAGGTTGGGGGGATCAGTTCCCAGAGTTAGTCTGAAAGGGGACTTCATAAGGAACCTATGGTCCTTGGGATGCTCTCCAGGGACTATAGGATAGCCCCTTCATTCAGTTTAGCTACTATTATTTACTATTTCCTCTGGAGGTTTTGATGTTTAAAACTGAGAGTCCTTATTTTACATAAAGTCGTAGCGGTCACGTATCTCGACTGCCTTGGTCCAGGTATTTATTTAGGAAATTCAATATTCAATGCCTCTATGCAAGTTCTAGATGAAAATATTTATTTTTATTTCTATACAGCCCATTAGTCAAGATGCCTCTCTTGATGTGATAATGCTGTAATTCTGAGAACCAGTGTTACACGGACAACATTAGTACAGCAAGAATAAAAACAGGCCTTTCTCTGATCCATTTCATGTAGATCCAGAAAGTGCTGGGGTATAACTGATACAATGCATAATTATCTTTCAATAAGCCGATATAAGAAGATACCAGAACAAAGGGTGTAGAACTGAAAATCTACAATGCCAGTAAAACCATAAAAAAAGCATAAAATTAAGAATGTGGTAAGATAATCCCATGAGGAAAAAGCAAAAGGTAGCATCTAGGTGTGTCCCAGTGCTAGCATTAATATGAGGGGCATTCAATGTATTCTCGGTATCAGCATGAAGAAAAAGGAATAATAAATTGAAATAATTTTTATTTTTCAATGTAATCCCCCATAACTTCAATACACTTATTACATCTACAAATTAACTTTTCAATTCCCTGTAAGACATATCCTTCCTTCTTCTCTAAAAAATGTGCGTTAATTCCCGCCTTAAGCTCTTCATCGTTGGAAAATCGCTTTCCACGATGATCTTTTTTTAAATTCAGGAATAGGTAGTAGTCACTGGGGGGCAGGTCTGGGCTACAGGGTGGGTGGTTTATTTCTTTGAAACCACAGTCTTGCACAGCAGCCTTCAAAACACACTGTGTAAACGGCCATGTTGTTGTGAAGAAGCAACACACCTGCGGTCAGTTTTCCCCACCTTTTTTCATTAATTGCTTCTCTTAAATTGCGCAGAGTGGTTGCATAACATGCTGCATTTATGCTTTCACCTTTTTTGTGAACTCAATCAATAAAATTCCCTTTGAGTCCCAAAACACTGTGGCCATGATTTTTCTGGCCAATGCAGTGACTTTGAATTTCTTTGGAAGGACAGCACCGTTTTTTATGCCACTGCATGGACTCCTGCTTACTTTCAGGGTCATGGTGATGAACCCAAGTTTCATCTCCAGTAACAATCCGGTCGAAAATACTTGATGGATCTTCACCACAGAGCTCTAAAAACTCCCTACAGCACTCGACTCGTACTTGTTTCTGAGGCAGCATGAGCATTCGCAGCACCCATCTTGCACAGTCCTTGGAAAGGTTAAGATGGTCATGAAAAATAGTAAATATGGTACCAACGGGTAGGTTTGTCATCTGCTAACATTTTTATTTTTATTCAGGCACTTCCAATACAAGTTTCTCAATTTTTTTCACATTTTCTTTCGTAGTGGCAGTAACCGGCCCGCCCGAGCGAGGGTCGTCTTCAGTGCTTTCTCTGCCCCTTTTAAATTCACTTGACCACTTTTGAACAGTAGATAATGAAGGTGCAGAGTCCTGGCCACCATCTCTTCGTGAATGATTTTTTTACTTTTTCCTTGTTTTGTAAGGAACTTAATCACAGCGCGGTGCTCTATTTTCTTCAACACTGTCATGTCAGTCATCATGGTCATCTTTCACTGAGGATTACTAGGGAACTAACGACCACACTTATTGGAAATTTTGCATGTATACCCTCAGATAGTGTCATTAGCTAATGAAATAATTAAATTAACCACATCAATAGCAAATCAACCCGATACTGGGAATATATTGAACGTCCCTCGTAATGTTTTGTTAATGTAAGTGAACAACTTTACTATATAACTAAGTGATTGCTAGCCCAATGGAAAAAAGTATCCATTTGTGATGTTGCTGCCATATTGTGTAGCCATAGATTCTACTAAGAGATCTAGGTTTTGGTACTAATATTTGGACACAGTGTTAATTTAAGAATAAAAATGCATCCTTAGGAATGTATCTCAATGGGACATAACTATTGTAAAATAAGATGGACATATTTAAGGGTATGAAAAGGCACTGAAAAATGATTCAGAGTATGGAAAACTGGTGCAACAGACAAGCTATCACAGCATCCTTTTTTACCTGCCTGTAGAAAAGGACCAGCAAGCTGTCTAAAATGCTTTTGCTCTGCCTAATCACTAATTTAGTAGGTTTTCAAATGTATTTTGTGTTAGAATCTATGCCTCTGTGAGCTTTACAAAGGATTGTTATGATTATATTACACACCACAGACAGGTGAACCTGACCTAAGAGATTGTTTCTTGGCAATATAAAATGTCTGTAGCTGTATATCTAGGTGTATATTCATTTTCTTCTACTCTGACAGAACATTTTGTTTTTGGATATGGTATGATATAAGATATTAGAATGAAGAAAATGGCATTGTTTCTCTCTGCGTATTTAAGCTATTCTGCTATAGCACAGCTCTACCAAGAGGTTATATGTAGTGGAAAGGCAGAAAAGGATGAACTTTTTGTGTAGAATATTGGAATTCAATTATCTGTTGTGAAATAGAAAGAAAATGAATGCTCCAACAATAAGCAGAGGTAAAGAAATATTTTGTCAGCAGTATCTATAGCAGCCAAGCTTCCTGAGCCAATCTAGATTCCCATGGAAAGTCACAATCTAAACTTTCAAACAGCTCTCTATTATTAGGGTAAATTGGGAAAGGCATTTTTTTAGAGCAAGTTTAGTCCTGTCTGATAATCTGGTTATCTGAAATAACTTGATGCTGTGGTTACATTGCAGAAAAGCACAATGCTTCCATTACCATTCAGACATAAATCCACCATAACTTGATGTTGGTTCTTCTTTTCACACTAAATGAAGCCCACAAATATATTCCATTAGGATTAGTCACTGTTTGTTGAAATATTTAGTATTTCTTAACTTAGCTTTCTTAACTGTGTAAGCAAGCAGGATGATATTGTCACTTAAACTCTTAATGCGACATGCAGCCAGGGCATGGCTCGTCACGGGTAAAAAGCATGATCAGGGTGTCCTGTTCACATGAACAAGAACCCCAACGAATGTGCACGCTACGCAAGGATGAAAACAAAGCAGGCTACGCTCAAGCATAACCGCAGACGTCACGCCCTTGTACCCTCGCTTGCTTGCTTCAGCATGGGAAATGTGCAAAATGTGCAAATGTAGCTCAGTGGGGTTCCCCCATTGTTCGCTGTTATTCAAGCACCTGCATAGTTGTAAAAGAGTATAAAAACGGTGCCCTCCTTCTGCTCGAGACCGCACTCCAACGAGTGTGGTCCCTGCAGGTAATAAAAACTTCTTCTCTCGAAAATTCCAACTGGTCTGTGGTCTCATCCGTAAAACCGCGGGATATAACAGGGAGACTCATAACCTAGTAATGTACAGTTCTGCTAGTAGTTATTATTTTTCATTCTAGATCTGTGTATTCTTTGGAATTAGGTTTGTATTTGTTATTTTGTGTTTATTCTCTTTCTCTTATGCCTCTCCCTTTCTCTGCCCTCATTACTGTTCTGGTCCTTTGGTCTTTCCCTTTTTAAATAAACCTAGTTTTCACATTGGCGTGCCTTTCTTTGGGAGGGTTCAGTGCTCTGTCCAGTGACTAAGCCCTATGGCTGTACAGTTATTTGGGCTTTGTTGGAGTAAAGCAGCTGAGGGGCTTTGCCTGCTCTCCTTCATTTCTGCGTCAGTCCCATAGTGCTCAGAAGCCCAGGCTTCTCTCCACCTGGACATCCTGAGGGATGGGTAGGCTGGGTACTGGCTGCCTACTGGAGGTCTGGACACCAACCCATCCAGTAGAGTGAGGGCATGGCATGACCCAGCCATCCTTCACAAGAACTCTGTAATTAGACTGCCTTTATGAAACTTCTATAAATTCTTGACACAGGTATGTTCCAGTACACAAAAAATACTTAACAAACATTTTGGAAATCTACTCACCCTGGAAACATATCTATCATCAAAGGAATGCTTTATCATCAAATTCTTCAAAACACTAATTGCAATTTGACGGATGTCTTTGAATTCTTGCAGTGCATTTCCCACCTCTCTGAGGAGCAGTCCAACCAAGAAATGATGCTTGCAGAACTCATCTGATAAGGAATAGTCAAGCTGGAGATCTGAAAGCAAACACCACAATTAAGAAAGGAAATATTCTAATATAAGCAGCACAATGTTTCTTCACTGCTTTATATTCTCCAACTGTGTTTTTAATATCATGCCAAAATAAATATAGGATAATTTAAAATATAAACACAGTAGCTAAATAATTATACTCACTGATTGCATGCAGACTTAATGAATTAAAAGTGTATGAGCTCTTGAAAAACAGCTCAGTCGGCGGTCTAGTGTGATCAAAGCCAACCTGTCCCATGCCATGTATGGTCACAGAGCACCATGTAAGCATTTTGGAAGACAGTACAGACAGGCACACTTCCACATGAACATGTTCTGTTAAGATCAAGTAAGTATGGATGACTACAAGCAAAAGTCAAGAGAGCAGTAACAATATGGAGCATGCACTTAAAGAAAAATTAGTGGCACTCCAAGAAATTCAGTGGCACCTTCGGAGCAGAAATTTATATCAATGGTTTCCATGTCAGCATCAAGCTTCTGTAGCTGCCCAAGAGCTGGACACATTACTAATTAGCCTCTGTTCTCTTAGCTGAAAAAATGTGTAAGCACCAAGCTACCTAGAATTTGATGCTAGTCCCCAGCTATTAAAAAGGGCTAACCATCTTCCTCTAATACTTTAGGAAACTCTGCCAATTTTTTAAAACTACTTCAGAAAGAATATCCTTGCAACATTTGTTAAAAATAATGGTATCCAATGAGGACCTAACCTCACAATTCTTTAGCATTAGCCACAGAGTCTTCTATTTAATCAGATGTAAATAATACTGAAAGAATGGGCAAAAATACTTTATGAATTTCTTCATGTGGATTTAATTGCACCATTATGGTGCAAATGAGCATATGAAAACTGAAATGAATCCTTTTATATTCTGAAAACTTTATATTTCTCTTTGAAAGAGAATTTAGCATAATATAAGGCTGGCTTAATACAGTACTGATTCCCAACATTATGCAGTTATTCAAATACGTTTACATGAAATCATGCACCTGACAGAGCTCACATAATTAGGACTGGGCAGAGAGACGACTGAAGAAATAAGTAAAAAACTCTCTAAGGGACTGTTTGCAGGTAACAGCTTTAGATCTTGGGTTAATTGTGTTATATACGAGTCACTTCTCACCTGAATATGCAACATCTTCCTGGGTAGATTGTAGGTTGTGAACCAAGACACTTTGGGTTGTTTGTGGCTTAAACAACCGATAGCTACCCTAACAATTAACTGCAGGCTTCACATGTCATGAAGAAACCTAAGATCAGGCAGTCTGCAACTAATCATTTATGTGCAAAATGAGTCATAATGTTCAAGCAGTTCTTATAACACTGTGGGAAACATTTCTTAAGGTATTAGAGATACCAGGTCAAAATGCTTGTGTGCCTGGGCATTTTAGGATGGTAATTAAATTTCACTACTTTTTACTGCCTTTTTGTGGTTGTAGTGTGTGTGTAATTTATTATTATCTTTTGATGAACTGCAGTCTCAATTAATAGATCCAGAGAGAACAGCCCACCTGCAAGAGGGTAACTTCTGCGCAACTGTATGCTCAATAGGACCTATGTCTCTTCCAGCATACTTACTGACCTCCCAGTTCAGTGCTCACTTTTTCTTCCTTTATCATGTACGTATAAACATTTTAATATTTCAGTAATAGAGACCGAATCTCTGATCCGGGATGAACCTCTGAAAGCAACCTTGAACTTTATTCTCTCCTACCTCAGGTACCTCAAAAGAAGGATGGAAAAAGACTATGCACAACCACCCTAGCATCCTTGAAGGATGGGTGGGATATAAAGACAGCTTGGCTGCACTAACAGGCATTTCTGTTCTTATTTGTCACTGGCTATATCACAAAATATTTTGAAAATCCCTTGAGTTCCAAAATTATCTTGGATTGTATCATGAGAAGATCACTGTTCAGGAAAGACAACTTGAACGATTCCTGAGACGCAGAACTAGTTATGCAGTTCTGTGGAACCAGCTATCCTATAATAAATGCCTAGTTTCTCTAGATAGTGCTAATATAATGAAAGCTCTGAGATCATCATACAGTGACATGTTCATTTCATGCATTTCAATTTTGTTGCTAATTAAGCATGTTGTGTCAACATTCTTTTAAAAGTTACTATTTTTAATAAACCAGAGTCTAGCAAGAGCTTCATAGTATTCATTTTTTAACAAGTCACCACTGTTTTCAATTAGAAGGTTTAGGATCAAGCACCACACTCCACACCTACCTACAGGAGTGTCATAGGATTCCACTGTTGGTGAAAGAAAAGCTAATTCAAAGAAGAAGAAAAAGAGGCAAAGTAGGGCAAAAACTATATATAATAAAATTCTTTTTATTTTTTGTTGAACACAAAAAGAAAAAGTGCTAAAGGGATATTCAGTGAATGATAATGTTCTTGCTCTTTTTACAGAGAGTAATGCTGCAATCCCATGGCCTTTGGGACAAAATCCAAAGGGCCATGGGATAGCAGAGAGAAAGGAAGGCTGGAGAAAGGAAGAGGAAGAGACCTGACCTAAGATTCTTCCATCCTATCCCAACGCCTGCAGAAATGTCTACATTGCTCAGTTCTCCAATGAAAGAGCTCCAAAAGCAAGACAGACAAAAAGAAGGCAGATTGGGAATGTCACTTGGGGGGCTCTTGGATGCACAGGATCTAGAGCTTCCTGATGTCCAATCTGGTCCCCAGTAGAGTGAGAAATATGTCAACCTTGGGACTGGTACAAATAATTTCCTTCCTACTGTAAGCAGTGGGAGGGGAATGGTGTTGTTGTTGCTGATTTCATTTAGATGACAGAAGGTAGGACCACATCACCCACACCTTTGCCCTGCCAGGAGGAAGATATATCAGAGATTTAGGTGACAAAGCTCTCTGAACTAACAGATAGGATTGCCCTGTCTATTACCTATTCATTTTCATTATATTACTGTGTAACGCTGAAGTAGTAACATAGAGAAATGATAAAATTCTGTGTACTAGTTGCAGAATGCCGATGTTTTCTTAAACAGCACATGATTTTAAAGTAGATTTTTTAAAAAGCACACCTTTAGCATTCCTACAATATGAATTTAACCTTTTCAACTGTAATTTTACCTTGGTATCTCTGAATCCTGCCTTTCCCAAATGGCATAGGAAGGTTCAAAGGAATGTAGTGTTCATGATTGCACACAACTCGGAGAAATTCAAATTTGAACTCAAAAAGGGTCTGCAAAATATGTTGTAGTTATAAGATTAATCAGTTAACAGGATTAGCATGTTTTAATCCAAAAGCCAAGAACCAGCAGTTCCAGCTTCTAGAAATGATAACAAACTCTCCATAAACCAGGGGTGGGGAACCTCTTTCAGTCCAGGGGCCAGACTGAGTCTGGGCTGCATGCTAGTGATGAATGAGGCACCCAGACCTGCATCACTCTTTCTTTCTCTCTCTCATACACACAATCATAGTCTACAATCACTTAATCAAGCTTTACAAAAACATCCACTGGTAGCTCTACAGATCTTTTAAAATCCTGATTGTGGCAAAGAGGGTTATTTCTTAGGGCAGACCCACTCCCTTGCAAACCCGTCACTCCCAAAAGTGACTCCATTAAGCTCTTTGGAATGTCCAAATGCAGCAGGAGAAGGGGAGCATCACAATGTTGGGGAAGGTTAGACCACCCCTCACTGCAGGATGTGTTTCTGAAATATGGTACCTTTGGATCTCCTGGTGCAAAGAAACCAATATAGGTATTAATTTGCTTGAACACAAATCCTCTGTCCATAAAAGTGAAACATCTCTGCAAAAGGGGAAAAAAAACTTTCAAGAGTTCTAAGTAAGAACAGTTAGTAAGTTGCATTACTATAGGTGTTTGAAAGAAATATTCTGTACAAACTTAGACTACAATTCTGTTTTCTGGATAAGGACCTTACAACTTTGAAAACCATGCTGAGGTTGGAGCAGTGCACTGACAAGAGGTGGAGCACTGGAGATCAGACCCCAGTCTTCTCTTCCTCCTCGCCATCCTGGAGAGAACAGAACCAGCTACCACTCCAAGGTCAGACAAGTGCTCCTCAAAGCAAAGGAAAGGAAGCATTCTGGGGGGCAGAGTAGGAAAGCAATGAGAAGCCGGGATACAAGCTATCCTATGCCACATGCCTCTTTCCCTCCTGTTCTGAAATAACTTTGTCTGAAAGTCAGGAATTGGGAGGCTTCATCCCAGCACAGCTGCTGTAGCAGCTACCAAACAGGGAGGGCACAATCAATAAGACTGCATCTAAAGCAGCATACAGAAGTCCAATACCAAACATCTTACTACACGTGGTACATAAAATTGTGAATTGCTGACATGCTGTTAACCATTTGCTAATATATTTTAACCATATTCTAAATAAGTTTTATTGTTAATAAACATATACGATTTTTACATTGATCTTATTTGTCACAGGACAAGATATTCTAATCACAAATTCACAGTGTTTATTTCCCATTCGGGAACAATCAATACTCACTAGCAAAATGTATAAGAATGCTGGGTTTTTACTGTAACACTGCTGAACTTTATATCAATTTAGTATACTTTCTAAACTTATATAAATAAATAAATATAAATTTATATAAATAGAACTAAATATATAATTTAGTATAAAACAAACATTTGGTATTCAGAGTCACTTGTTTTCTGGTTACAATTCATATTAAAAAAAACAGGAAATACATTTGTTCAGGGTTTGATACATTATGTTAGCCATAAAATGGCCCACCATGATGGATTTTATTACTACTACTACTTCTATTCTTCTAGATTAAAGAAAAGTTTAAAGATTCTGTGCAAGATAAACTTTCATATGAATTCAGGCACTGTTGAATAACTCAAGTGTTACTTTGAAAAGACCAACAGAAAAGAGTACTTACTTTTATGAAGACAGCAAGACTATGGTTTGCATTTTTTGAAGCTTCTGGGTTATCTTTATATTTCTGAGTAATATGTGGCATCAACATACTGACTACTGTTTCTACAGCATGATGATAAGATGCTGGAAATCTTTGATTCCGTAACAACTAGAAACACAAGATATGTAGCATACAGAAACATGGTACCTATTTATCACCCTATTATTAGTACCCATACCAAAGATCAATATGAAAAAGGATTTGATCAGCTAGCAGTTTACCATTAGAAGACATCATAAGCCAAACCCATTCCCTATTGAAAGGATGGTTTTGTAAATCACCTATATCTGATTACAGACATCTATGGCATAAAGCATTTTGTATTATTTCAGAATTCTTTTGATGTAATTACACTCTTTGATTCTCATACATAAGGAAAAAACCCTTAAAACAAAATTAAGGATTTCAAGTTATGCTCAATATATTCATTTCTTGGCCCAAACATCTTACTATAGCTTATTTTTGTACTTCACTCATCCAGATAGCTTTTAAACATAAATAATACTGTGCACTTAGGCATTAACTATACTTATTTTCTATTCCATTGTTATAGAGCAAAAATTAGTGTCAATGAGAATTCTACTAGTTTACTGATCCTGTTAAAAATATTAATTTACTTACCTTTACTTTCCCAGTTTCTAATAGGTGCTGGGCCATTGATTTTATTAGAATTTCAAAGAAAAACCAGGAATACTGTTAAGCAAAATAAATAAAAAATACATAAGATATATCATAATTTATAAAAAATGTATTGTTCAGTATAAACTTTAGACAGTGCCCAAACTTAGTGCAGTTATATACATTTTACTGTTTAAATCGTTTTATCCATCTAAAGGATTTCTGGGTTGCTTTTGCATTAGCCTTTCCCTGAAATTGCCACTTCTAGTCATTCATTCTTTATAGAAAGTACAGACAACTCAGATAACTGATGTTAAATTGTTTCAGTCCAGTGTTTACTATATCATACCCCACATTTTTTATGTCGGGAGTACAGACACTACAGTGCCACTGTGGCACAAGCCTGGCCAATACAGGCAGATAAAGTACTACTGAGGCTTTCCAAGGGATCTGCATTTTCAGTTTAAAAGTTATATTTCCACAAGTCCTTGCCATTTGATTGCTTCCAATGCAAAATGAGTGATGATAATTGCCTGTCAAATAGTTTTTCTTAACTGAATGAAAACACAAACATAATGCAAAGAAACTGGTAATTAACCCCCCTGCCCCCACAGCTTCAGGAATAAAAAATGATGCAGGAGCAATTGAGCAGCAGTTAAATGGCTATTATGCAACTATCCATCACTCTTCCTCCATTCACAATTGATAGGAAAAAGAAAACAGGTAAGAGCTGCGAACAATAAACTTTTAATTAACATTGCAAAGGATTTTTGGTGAACAGAACTTAGATGTGAGTAAATGTAGGGGAAGGATATGTTGTTAATATCATTGTATATTTAGTCAAACTTATTGTACATTGTCAGAGACTTAAGTGCTAGATAATTACAGAAAATCATGCTTCAGTAGCACTAAAATATGGCACAACAGTAGCACTAAAAAGGTTCATGTCTGGCTGGAGAGCAAAACTTTGCAAACTTAATCATCAGTTCTAAGAACAGGACTCAGAAGTTGCCCTCTCCCCACTGCCAAAGAATACCTTAAGCAGCTTGTTGCTTGTGAGGAAATCAGCAGATGGTCTCAAGATTGTTGTCATGGATTTGGCAAGTTCTTCATGTACAGTCTTATATTCAGAAGCAATGTAAGGCTCTGCTTTGTAAGCATACTTTGGAAGAGAAAAATGACAATATCAGAAGCCTGATATGACGCAGAAGCCATTAGCAGGAATGTTGTAATGATATCACATTTGACAAGCATGTTCATAGAATTTTTACCTTGACGTAAGACCTCAAGTAACTATCCAGGCCTTCTTCATGACACTGCGCAACAACATGGATGATAACCCTAAATAAAATGACCATAAGAAATTATTTAAAAATGCCCTGCCCAATGGATTTTGGAATAGAATTCCTTCTTCAGAATCAATTTACTTTCCACAGTGGAAACTTATGAGGATGAGACTGGGATCCTGCAGCAAATGCTTACCTTGTCACATTCACTGCAACTTCCTCCTGAGTAGCTCTAGTAAGCACTCTAAACAACTGGTTTAAAATAGTAGGCAGAAAAGCTATCATCACATGGCCCTCCATAGCATGAAGACTCTAGGGGAAATACAATAAAATCATGAGACAAACATAACATTTAAAAAGTACTTCTCACACATTTCAGTCAAGAGTTTATAAGCAGTATTATTACAATAATTTAGTGAAAGCTTAATTGCATTAATGTTAGCTACCTATAGTGCCACTTTATAAGCAGTATTATTACAATAATTTAGTGAAAGCTTAATTGCATTAATGTTAGCTACCTATAGTGCCACATTATATACAGTCTGCTTTCCTGATGGGTTTGGAAGAGAAAAATGTACAACTAGAAATCCTGTTATACCAGCAAACGGTTTTGAATTTGCACTAGAGGCAATTTTTGCAATGTAATATATGTTAGTGCTAGTGCCCAATAGGATAGTGCTCTATGGCTGTTATCCTAAGTATCTTCAGTTAGAAACAAGTTTTGCTGAAATCTGTAGGAGATGCATGATCTAGAACTGAGATGCAAATTTAAGAATATCTGTAAACTGTTCTCTACATACAGATGATGCTATTTCATAGATCACCAGAATTGAGCCATCATCATGCATTTATATCCTGCCTGTCTTTCATTTGCAAGAAACCTGTGGTGGTTTACAAGGTTCTCCAATGCTCCATTTAATCCATGTGAGCTGGGTTAGGCTGAGAGTAAGTGACTGGCTCAAAGTTACTCAATGAGCTTCATGGCCAAGAGGGGACTAGATCTCCTGAGCCCCAGTTCAACATTCTAACCCCCATACCACACTGGTGTACAATATGAAGAATGGAAAGAATGGTATATGGGGGAGATAGGTACATAGGATATCCTTCAGATGTGATGCCCTGAAGGGTGGCTACTGCTACCCTGTTAAATGCCTGTTAGGACATCTGGTTGGTCAAATGCTGAAAATGCTAAACACTTCATATCATGCAGACATACCATAACTGTGTACTTTTCACATTACTTGTCAAGTCATCATTAAGAAAGTTGAATTATGATTTGGCAATGACAAACCATAAGATGAAATCCCCTAACAAACCAGAATCAGAAACCACAGACAGAAGTGTATTTGCAACTATGATTCTACTAATTATGGCTCAGCGTTCTCTAGTTATAGCCGTAGTTCCATCACAGAAATGGAATCAACAGGAAAACCATAGTTCAGGTCATAGTTAGCATAAGACATACTTTGGCATGTTGTCTGAAGAGAACTGAAATATATAAAAGATGGTGTAAAGGTAAAGATAAAGGTTTCCCCTTGACGTTACGTCCAGTCATGCCTGACTCTAGGGGGCAGTGCTCATCTCTCTTTCCTAGCCGAGGGAGCCAGCGTTTGTCCGCAGACAGTCTCCGTAGTCATGTGGCCGGCATGAGTAAACACCAAAGTGCATGGAACGCTGTTACCTGCCCACCGAAGTGGTACCTTTTTATCTACTTGCATTTGCATGCTTTCGAACTGCAAGGTTGGCAGGAGCTGGGACGGAGCAATGGGAACCCACTCCGTTGTGCAGATTCGAACCAGCGACCTTTCGATCAACCAGCCCAGCAGCACAGCAGCTTAAGCCACTGTGCCACCTGCAGTCCCCTAAAAGATGATGAGGCAATACTAAAAGAAAGAAAATGAGCTACATCTTCCAGCATACACATTTAGTACTCCTTATAGACTGTTAAATTATACAGCCTCCCTGCCCACCATGCAAAAGAAAAGATCAGAAAGGCTTGAACTATTGCACAGCCTACGTAAAGTACACTTGATTATTTTGGACTTTAAAAGTCAGCCAGTTTGCATGACATAATAATCCACAATATATTTTTAACCCTTTCAAATTAACTGTTATTTGAATATATTGAAGGAAGTAAAAAGGACATCTACTCAGAGGAGGGCCTTCTCTGCGGTAGTGCCCAGATTGTGGAATGTGCTCCTCGGAGAGGTACACCTGGCACCGAGCTTATACTCTTTTCGGCGCTAGGTCAAAACCCTTTTATTTAAACAGCATTTTAAAATCAGTAGCTTTTAATGTACAGTCACTCGTGTTCATTTTGTGTTAAATGCTGTTTATTGTTCTATACATTATTACTGTTTTAATTCATTTAGGAAATTGTTGTTGTTCTAAATTGTTCTTTTAAAGAACTGTAAGCCGTCCTGAGATATTTATATAAAGGACGGCATATAAAAGCTTTTAATAAATAAATAATAGATATTAAATTGCAAGCATTAAACTGTGTTCCATCGTGCGAACACAGCCCCTGTAAGTTATGTAAGTTTTAATCAAGGGTTAAATAACCCTCACATAACCCCTGGTGGATGTGCTTGCATGATATGACAAACTTGGGTTGAAAACTGAACATGCTAAAGTGGTGGCCACAGACACATATTTAATCATATGGATTAAATATGATGGCATGTCATGTGAGTGAGACCAGTATGATGTTCTGAAGATCTGAGAAACCACCAAGATTACTAATCCTTCACTTCACCCAAAGAATAGCAAGTATAGGAGTAAGTATAGCAGAATATGGCTTCCATTCAACCCCATGCATGTGCCTATGGAGTTCACACACTTCCCAGATGTACATTTTCATGCCACAGGATTATATCCCCCGTGTGTGTGTGCGCATTCACACATATGTATAATCAGAACATTTTTCTGCATATTTGCACCTATATACTAAACTTTTCCTTCTAATTGACAATATAATACAGGTTTGACAGAACAATACAGAGAGAGAAAGTCTCTGTGGTATAGTGGTTAAGAACATGGGTCAGACTCAGGCCAATCTAGGCTTTAGTCCTCACCTGTCCATGGAGCCAACTGGGTGACTTTAGGCCAGTCTTAGATTCTCAGCCAAACTTACCTCACAGAGTTGCTGTTGTGGGGATTGAGTGCAGGAGCAGAATGGTTTAATCCACTTGGAGTTTGGTGTAAGAAAAAGCAAGATATAAATCAAATAAATAAAATATAGATAGCCAGGCTACTTTGGGATGGAAAACTCCCAGTGCAGTTTTGTCATCTAAACAGATCTGATTCCAGATTAAATGCAGTTTTCACTAACGTGTTTTAAAGTTCATATGCTAGATCACCATTCGTCTGTGCATTTTTATTTTATACCTTAAGATACTTCACAAGATCAGCTCCTAAAGCATGAGCTCCAGACTCAGTTTTTTGACAGTAATGGAAGAAATTATTCAAGTGCTGGTCCTAGCAAAAGAAAAGCAAACATAGGCACAGTTAATTAACACATACTTTAATCTGATCAAACTCTCCATTGCAAAGTCCAGTAAAGTCTTGTCTAGATATTGCAAAATGTTTCCACTTTGCTGTACTCATCAGAGTTAATTCTGGGGGGGGGGGGCAATTAAACTGGGCCTTCAGTAGCTGCAAGTCATACATCAGGAGTACATTAAAATGTCACAACACCCCCCCTCCCACACCCAGCAATGAACCACAATGGGCTGTTTGGTGTATCAACAACTCATAGTGTGCCTGACAAAAATGTCTGGTTCATAATGGCTTGTTCTCTCCATCCTCTTCTTTAATCCACTTGCAGGAATGTTGGGGACCCAGAAGCAGAACTAATTTCTCTGTCCTTTCCCCATGACATTAATTTCACCTATGTGAACTATAGTTTCTTAAGGCGATCCTGATCTCACAGCAAAAACTGTGTAGTTTTGATTTTATCTACTCGCTGTACTTTAAATATGTTTGAAATGACAGGCACATTGTTTTGGATATTTTAATTCCTTCTCTTTCTCAACAAGTGAAGCCTAACAATAGCTGGTATAGTCCAAAGCAGGACTTCCAGAATGTACAGGAACTGTTGCTCATCCTGACCTCCAGTTATTTGGTAGGAGGCTTCCCCTGATGGAGCAATACAAATATTCTAGGGGAAGTTATAAGCAAAAGACTGTCTCTAAGTATTTTGTAAACGGAAACATCTCAAACTGCTTCACTACTTGATGGCCCACTGTCACAGGCCAAGCAAAATATAAAAAAAAGTTTCTGAATATTATTGATTGCCTACTTTTAATATGGTTTTATCAATGGTGGTTTTATGCTAGCAAAAAGGCATATGCCTGTGCTATGCAAGGCATCAGATTTTCAGTGTTCCTTCTATCCATGATATAGAGCAGGAGAAGCTTTTCAAGGATGTGGGATGCAACAGTAGACAGCAAGATTGGTGAAAATCAGGTGCCTTGCCTTGCACAAGTACAAGAGTTTCCTGTTAATACAAAAGCCATCACTATGTATAATCTAGAATCTTTAAACATGGAAGCATGGAGGGGGTTAACAAATTTTAAGTGGCCTTACTGGTTAAGAGAAAAGCTGTCTCCCAATGCCCAAAAGGGCCAAAGTGTTGTCCCTGACCTTGCACTACATCTTAAATAGAAACAAACGGATTTTTTTTCTTCTTTCAAGCAGTAAGCTTAGAACTGGGGAAAAAACAATACACATGCTCTAAGTTGTGGGGTGCAGAGACTTGCTCTGTCCCTGACAGGCATTCTGGAGGCAGAGGCAAGCTGGCAAGCTCACATATTTCTCCACGTCAACCTCAGAGCTAAAAGTGGTGGGGACTTGAACATACTGCTCAAGAGCTTAAAGGAAGAGGGGAAGTAGCACCAGCTTCTACCTCTTGGAGCACCTGTCATGCCCAGGTGCCTCTGAACAGGTAGGTGGCTGTTCAGAATTCTAAAGTTCCCTTCTCATCTCACTACAGTGAGGTAGTTGAGCAAGATCATCAAATCTTGACTGGAGATTTTTATGTCATGGTTAAAGAGCGATAAAAACAATACAAGACATCACGAGATGAAATCAGAGCAAAATATCTGATAAAAAGCTGTTGTGTAACAAACTATTTACCTGTGTATATACAGTAGAAACTAGATGAGTTGAGATCTTCAACAGTGGTTTGCCTCCATCTACCCATTTAATTTCAGGACCAGAATGCTGTATTATATGGAAGAAAATTAAGAGCTACAATTATGCAGCAGTCTAAACAATACAATGTGCCAAATACAGACATATTGGGACACTCTGTAGAACCAAGTGGTGTTAACATAAAGAAAGAATGAAAATAAAACATCATATTATCTTTTCAAAGTTTTAAAAGTAATACAAAAGGTATATCTTTAAAAGACTGCTTGGCTTAAAACCAGCACAAAATCAGTGAATAATCTTAATATCTATAAAGGTGCAGTTACAGTCCAGATATAGTTGATTAGCTCAGTTACTAGAACAAACAGTGACCAATTGCTGACATTAAATCATAGTAAAATCAACTAGTTTATTTATAGTTTAATGACTATTAAATAAAAATTAACTATGATTTTATGCTATTAATTGTGTAACAATTAATTATTGTGTAATTTTGTAACAAACAGTTAAATTTTAGTACTAATGGAAAAATTTCCACAAGCTTCTAGTTAAGAACAGATTCTGATTGCATGCTACACTTCCTGTAGCAAAACCCAGAAAAATAAAATGGTGACATTTTATTAGTGTGTATGGAGAAACTTTTACTGTCAGTAACAGAACAGGTTAAATGCTGGGTTTCCACAAACTTAGCAAAGCCTGGTTATAAAAATAAGTGTTCGAAATTCTGCCCTGTCAAGATAGTTTTTTAAAACATCAAGTTTTAATTGTTTATTTTTACTTTGCTTATGCCAGGATCTTGATTGTTGAGATAGCCACATGGAAGATAAGCAGATACTGGAATATGCTGCTCATTTGTCACTACTCTGCCATCTTTCAACAGCTGAAGCCAAGAATACCCAACTACAAGAAATGCAAAGAGAAATTATATTTTTATTTTCATACCTAATAAATCTTAGCATAAACGCATTTCAGAAGTATTTATGAGTCTTATGGATTTTATTGCAGTACATGTTGCAAAATATTGCTGATATTAAAGAACAGTTCTACCTCAGTGAACCAAAGCACACAATTTTTATTTTCAAGAATTAGACTTTAAAAAGTACAAAAAGTAGTTAGAATATTTCCTAGCTAGTTCTATTGAGGTCAATAGTACATTTAGTACTGGATTCTTTTCATAATAAGAATATATTCAGATTGAATGCTGACTTTTCAAAAGTTATTAAGGAATCATTGAAGTTTGAAATAAATTATCACACTAAAATCCAAGATAAACAAACCTTGAGTTTCAATCATGTCCTTCTTTTTGGTAGTCCCTTTACTTGAACTGTCACAACTGACATGGTAGAAGGTAAATAACAAATGGTGTTTTTCATGAAGTTGTGTAGGCAATTCTATTTTTACCTAAGAGGAAATAAATACAAGTTTGGCTTCAGAAAATGTCTTCTAGCACTATAGTGGTATACTACACAAGGTATATACAGTACAGCACTACTTTACAAACTAAAAATAAAATTGCTTTCAGTGCAATTATAGGCAAAGGTTGTAATAATCAAATCATACAGTGGATGCAAATTCAGTTCCAGCAGTGAAAAAATGCATTACCTCCAATGTTGAAAAGCAATCCTAGATGTCTGAGGACATAATGTATGAAGTGCTGCTTGTTGCCCTGGAGGCAACTGTGGTGCGCCTACTGTGTAAAAGCTGTTCCCAGATCTGGAGGCTTATGCCAAGTTGGCCAGTAAAATCCCCTTTGGGGCAATGTGCTCAAGAGGGTAATGGCTATAGTTGCAGATATGCTTGGAATAAACAGATTACCTCAACCCATTTCATTTTCAGTTGATGCTTGGTTTTAGAACAGAATTGGCTTTGTTCACTCTAACAGATTGCCATCTGCAGGAAACAGACAAGGCTTCTCCACACGAGGCTTGTAACCCACCACTTTCTCAAAGCTTCTGTTTCTGGGCTCCTTACAGGATTAAGATCAGCTCCTTTATAAGTGTTCCCTCCCTTATGTCCCAGGTTTTTTTCTTTCTCTGCCTTTCTGTTCCATTCCACAAATAATAGGTAGCACTGCAATACTGCGGAACTATGAAAATAACACAGGCTTCTCACAGAATAATTTCCAGGTAAGAGTGTACTGTGCTTGTACTTAAAAAGCTTCAGAACTGGTTGCAAAGCACAAATGAGACCCTGAAGGATGAACAACATTGTGCAAAGCACCTGAAAATTACCATGAGTGAAGATCCACTAGTCTACAATGAGTGCCTTGAGTTGAAAAGGCCCAAGAGCAATTCTTTTGATCCTGCTTGATTTCTCAGCAGTTTTTGATACTGTTGTCATCAATGGTATTCTTCAGAATCCTCTTTGTGAGTTTGGAGCACTATCTTACAATGGTTCCACTCTCACTTACCAAGACAGTCCCAGAAAGCAGCACTATGTGACTGTTCCTTGGCACCCTGAAAAATGTCTTTCTCCAGGATTCATCATTTCTTTATGTCATCAGAAGCCCAAATGACATCTATGGGGAGAAGCACCCAGTACCCACCTTGGTTGGTATGTCAGTTGGATCCTTTGCTGGACAAAGATAGCCTCTGCAATCCATGCACTGGTATCCTTTGTGCTTGGGCCAGATCCTGCACCTGGTGCAGGCAGCATGCTTCATGGGCGCTTCTATATTATGCAAGTATTGAAACAGCTGCACTGGCTGTCTACTAGCTACTGTGCCAGGTCCACGGTTTTGTTGATGTCATATGAAACACTGAATACCTTGGGGCCACACTACCTGGCAGTCTGCTTTCCCTGGTACAGCAACATTTTACAGTTAAGATAATCAGAAAGTCTTTGCTGTTTGTCCTGCAACCACTGGTAGCAACATAGAAGTGGATTTTCTCTATGGCAGCACCTATTTTGTCGAATGCCCTCCCTCTTTGTATGCTGTGGCAACTGTTTTAGATGCCAGTTAAAGGTCTAATTTTTCATCCAAGCCTTCCCTATCTGATTACACTACCCAGTTAGATTGTATATGCTTTCATTTTAATGCTTTAATCAAGGATATTTATCTTTTGTTTTAAATTATTTTAACTAAGATGCTTGTATTTTGTTTTTACAAGTTTTCAATGTGACTGATCTATAGTTTAATGTTTTAGGTTGTAAATCACTCTGATTTTTTTAGGTATACTCATGCAGTCTGCATATTGATTAAACATATAAAACAGTATATGTATTATTATACTCAGTATGATAATACATATAATAATATTATTTGCATTATTAAACTGCAGATGAAATCTAGGCTAAAAGATACCAGCTACCTAGAACAATGATAACGATTGCTGAGCTCTAATTCAAAGCACCATTTTCCCTAACATTTCACTGTACTTCTGGAAAACAATTAAAACTGCCAGGTATAAAATTATTACCTCATCATAAAACTCTGGGTTTTGGTGGTGATGCAAAACTGTAGCAAATGCTTGTCTTGTAAAAACTGGTCCACCTGGTCTACCATAGATGCACTAAAATCAAAGAACAGAGATACAAAGAAAGAGGGAGGGAAACTTAGATAACTTTCTTGTACTTTTATGTTAAGAGTATGTCTGAGAAAATCTAAATCTATTTAAAAAAAAAAAAACCCACAGTGCTTCCAAACCCATAAAGCTCTCGAAAATAATAAATAAAATACTCATTTTTATCAAAAGTACAAGACACATATTTCATTATGTAAATCAGTTCTAGATTTCTTTAATATAAATATTAATGTTCCCTAATGTTGAACAGAAATACACTTATGTATATCACTGGGAAACACATTCCAAATTTCCAGCACTCTCATATTCTTTTTCACATCACCCTTATTTTCCTTAGGAAGAGGGTGCTTACAAAAGCTCTTCTGAGGAATTGAACATGTGGCAGTGACTGGGAGAATGCTCCTAGGAGGATCTTCATTGCATATGTTTAGCAACACTGTACAGCTGATGGCATATTAAATAACTTCTCAGTGACATATGCAGTATGCAGCCAGTTTTTTCAAGCAGGCTTTGTTCTTCCAGTATCTAATGTCGTCTGTACTAACATGTATGTGAACTGAAGTTTGCAGGGTTGCTGTGCTGCATTATACATCTGTTTCTGTTCTTTGTATTTTAATAGCCTTTATTTCAAACAGTGTTTGTTAGTGCTCCTGATACCTCTGGTGTGATGTTTAAAAGTAACTCTTCCATATTAGTGCTTTCAAACTCCTAGTTCCAATTATTTTTTCCAACTGTATAAAAGCTTCTAAAAGCTATGGGATGCAACTGAGTGCAGCAGTGAATGGAGACATAATAACAAGCCATGGTGGAAACAGGGTGTTATCTGAACCTTGTCAGACTACCCTGCTAGCACACATTACATTGGATTTCCATGGAACGACAGATAGAAACAATAATCTCTTGTATGCTTTCTATGCTTCACCATGGCTTATTCAGTCACGTGAATCCCAAAACATGGTTTCTACGCAACTACCCCAGAAAATTGCTGCTGCTGGTGAACATGCCTCCATCCTCTGCTATCCAGCACTGCCTAGTAACCAATGCATTGGCCTCAGATAATGCTTGGATGGGCTGTTCTGCATTCCCTCCTGCCTCTGACTTCTCCACTGCCATCCAAATGCCCACCGACAGTTCTGGAATGTTGCTGGCAACAAAGAAGGCTGCTGTGCTGCCTCCAGGAGTGACTCTGGAGACAGCCATGGGCTGGTGCTCCTATCTGGTCACTGTAGTTCACGCAAACACTGCTCGTGAGCTGGTCTGCCTTGCTTTTCTGGCAGAAGCATTTCTTCCCCCTCTGCAAAGTTTCCCAACATGAGAGGGGCACATGAACTCCAGTAGTGCAGTCTCCCCCAAAATACCATGTCCTCCACTCAGGCTCCTGCTTTCCTCTGCTATTGTGTCCCTTGCATTACTGGAGACTGCCAACAATCCACACTGTTGCCTCTTCCAAGCCCTCTGAACCTGCTGACATCCACAGCTGCCAGGCATGAGATACAGGAGTTCACACCACAATTTCCTGTGGATCTGAGGGAACTACCAATGCAAGTTCCGCCAGCAGTCCATCCCAGCATGGATGCTAGCTTACTTCCCAGCAGTAGCCATACTAGAGTGTCCCTTGGGGCTTCCTGCCTCCCCCACAGAGATGGGGGGAGGCAGGAAGTTGAGTCTGAAAGCCTAGTCTGAAAGCCTAGTATGAAAGCCTCAACTAGGTAAGAAACCACACTGTGCAGTAACCACAAGGCATGGTTTAGCAAGACCATGAACTGCTCCATTAAAAAACTGTGTAAATTATCATGCTGTAGGAGTAAGTGCTAGATATGGAAATTGTATCACATATCACTGTGGAGTTCCAAATTTTCCTTTTAACAAAAGCACTGCATCCCTGAAATTGTACTGAGAATACCAGAGAACATTTCATCAGCCGTTATTCATTCTTTCTACCCTTCTCCGGGAACCCTCCGTGAAAGAAATTAGGAGGGTAGGTACTCGGAGGAGGGCTTTCTCTGCGGTGGCACCCAATCTATGGAATATGCTCCCCAGAGAGGTCCGCCTGGCGCCGTCGTTATTTGTTTTTTGGCGCCAGGTGAAGACCATTTTATTTAAACGTCACTTTAATTGTTAACAATATTTACTTATTTATCTGGCCAGGGCGACTTCTTTTCTTTTATAACTTCTTTTATATCATTTATATTTCTTATTTATTTTATATTATTAATTTTAATTTTATATTGTTATTTTTGTATTGTATTTAATTGTGTTGTAAGCTGCCCCGAGGCTTCGGCAAGGGGCGGCATAGAAATGTTCTAATAATAATAATAATAAAAAAATAAAATAAAATAAAATACATGAAGAGTCACATTATATATAGATTACTATTTTACACCCTGTGAATATTCAAAGAATCCAGATCTTTCTTTCCATTACAGTAGAAAATAATCTCGTGTGCAATTAGCTTGTTATCTGTAATTTCAGACTTGTTGGGTCAGAAACCTCTCTTTTGCTTCTGTTACTCTACAAATTATCATTTACAATGGTGGCAGTATATATCCTAGAAAGTATCTTCAATTTAAAGTAAAAATATAAATGAAAATCAATTTGCAGTTGTGATTAACTTGTATGTATTCTCTATACATACTTATGTACTTTATAAAAACTTTGCTAGAAACAAGGCCAAACAATCAGTACTCCATTTATTTCAGTAACAAATTATTAGAAGGATTACAGATAATTAACTACAAGAACAATCTCTATGGAAGGCAATATTATTTTAATTAATCTAAAGCTTAAAAATAACTTTCAAGGTCTTAATTGTGAATCTTACGCATTGCTCAGTATTACTTGGAAATAGGCAGTGATTATTTGATCAAGTTACTTGTAATAGCCAAAGTTAAAATTAACCAACCTTTAGAGGTACAGAATCCTCATCATCTGAATCCTTGAATTCTATGCATACTGCAATATTTCTTGCCTATAAAAAGACAACAGATACTTGTTTTAAGTTTTATGTAATAAACACTCCTCAAGCAATCACCTGATCAATTTAGATTCCACTTTCCGTTGAACCTAAATATAAGTAGCAGGCACAGGGACTCACCTTTGCAAATGTCTTTTGACTGTCATATTTCAAGTGCTTTGGATAAACATAAAGGTGATTGTTGTAGATGGTGAAAGGCTGAGTATGTTTAGGTATACATGGAACAAATTCCTCAACCTCAAACGTTATTACTGTCTTGGTACTGCTTTCAAACTGTCTCATGGGAATGTATGATGAGTTAACAAAATCTGAAAATATATTAAAAGCCAATAAAAACAGTGAAGGAAAAATATTTCCAAGTATTTAACAATATTTTCCATACTTACTTGGGATTTCTAGAGAAACGTTATCAATTGTTATGTCTAGATTTCCTAAAATAACTGGTAACTTGGCCATCTTTTCAGGTCTATATAAAAGAAGAAAGAAAGAAAAAGGAAGGTGACTTAACAGAAAAATAGATAGGAGTGGATAACATAGTTAAAACACAAATCAGGAATAAGCATGAAAACAGTCTTAGAAAGGACAGGCTCATACAGAACGTTCTTCATTTTCAAGTTAACATCAATATTTTGTATCCAGAACTGTACAAGCTAAAAGCAGTTTCATGCAACCAACCTTTCCCTTTGCCCCTCTCCTCAAAGCCTCTGTTTCCCAAAAATCTTTTCCAGAGATATAGGGAGACTACCAAACATGGTGGCCTGTGTTTGCAGTGGGAGCAGAGATGTTCAAACTGCTTTCAGAAAAAGTCATTTTTAAGTAATTCTCCCCTCTGCTGCACTACAATGATTGGATTCACACAATGAAATTGTTGTGGCATGCACCATAGTAAGGTCGCTGTGTGCGCATGAGCAACTGCCCAGTTCGATGGGAACTCAAGCTCAGATAGTGAGGATGAGATTGTTGCAGAACTGCAGAATGTTCAAGCAGGAGATCAAGGTCAGGGAAGGTCTGCGAAGATAGATAGGGAGGAGTTGGCAGTTCAGGCTGAGTAAAGCCCGGGTTGAGTGACCCATGGAAATGAAGAAATAGGAGGAGTCAGAATTGACAAATTGTATTGGTACTCGCAGGAGCCCTGGTCTACCCGTCCATGGGGAGGAAGTGGAGCTGGAGGCTGCACAAGTCTCATAGCAGGGCAGTGGAAATAGAGAGCTCAATAGTTTGTCAGACACAGAAGTCCCTCCCGCTAAAGAGCTGGCACCAGTTGCTAGGCACCGCCCCCAGCAGGAGATTCACCTGGGAGGAAAACAGGAAGATCACAGACGGGCACGATTTCACAGTGCTCCACCTCCTGGAGCAAGATGCCAAAGGGCGGTGCAAGATGCCAAATGCAAGGGAATTATTGCTGTCAAAGAGGGCTAAACCTTTTACTCTGGGTGAACTGATAAAATAATAAAAAAGGAGCCCCAGAATAGCATGCTTACTCAGGAGGAGGACCCCAACTCATGACAATGACAACCAACTATGGTTTATAGTGGGGTAACTTGTCATTCAAGTCCCATACTGTTCATGCATGGTTGTTTATAAGCCGCCCACTTACTCATGCCCTGCTCTTGGGTTTAATTAGCCACTGTAGCATAATGTATTTTCTGAACCCAGATGACATGCTAAGCCATGGTCAAGTCAAAACTTTACAGAGTCTCTTGACCAGAGCAGTAAAAAAGTGTTTCCACTCTGGGCAAGAGACTCTAGCTGATGAGAGCTACACAAAGTGCTGCCTGAGCAATCCTGCGATCCCTCAAGCAATCCCACTTTCTCTCCGGCACTGGCAGTACCACAGCCACCAGATTATACATTCTGCATGTGACTGGTGAGGAGCTGGGGGACGAGGACTTTACAAAATGCTCTGCAATTGTCCTGCCCAGAAGATAATCCTTCCTTGTGTTGGACTGTTATCAGCTGATGAGTGGGAACACCTGCTGGAGAAATGAGAAGACACAGAGCACTCCTTCTAAACCTGGTCCAGGCTGGTCCAGTTTTATTGGATGAGTTTCAGGATGTGGACAAGGTGCTTGGACAGTTTTATGCAATCACTTATCTACTGGATCCTTGCCCCTCCTGGCTTATAAAAGCCAGGAAAGAAAGGATAACCAGCTGGGAGAGGAGATTATCAATGCCTCTGAGAGGCAGTGGTTCCATGCTGCCTTAAACAGGTAGTGATGAGGTCACTTATCAAGAAACCACCCCTTGGACAACTACATGCCAGTAGTAAATACTCCTTTGGGTAAGGTTTCAGAGAGGGTGGTTGCTAATCAATTTCAGGCACTCTAAGATGAACCTGATTATCTGGATCCATTCCAATTGGGGTTCAGGCCTGGTTTTAGCACATAAATAGCCTTGGTCACCCTGTATGATGATCTATGCTGGGAGCAAAACGGGGAGTGCAACCCTTTTGATACTGCTGGACCACTTAGCAGCTTTCAATAGCATCAGCCATGGTAATCTTTTGGAGCAGCTGGCTGAGATGGCAATGGGAGGCAGTGGTTTTGCTCCAACTGGAAGGGCTGTTGCCAGAAGGGGGTGCTTGGGGAATACTGTTCAGTCCTGTGGAGCATGGAGTTTCTCAGGCGTCTGTTCTGTCCTCCATGCTATTTAATATCTATATCAAATTGCTGAAATCCTATGTGAAAACCTAACATGGTTTGGGACCACAATACCTGTCAGAGTGCTTCTTCCAAGCCCAATCTACCCAGAAACTATGCTTATCCTTGGGGGCTTTCTCCGAGAGTCAATACCTTGAGAAGCTCAGAGTATGGCAACTAGGGGGAGGGCCTTTTCGGTGGATAACAACCTCCCTGCTGTGGCCTCCCTAGCACTAAGTTTGCCATCTTTTCAGCTCAGATAAAGACATCCATTTGCAGAATCTTTTAAAAATCTGTGTTCATTCAGGGGCCTGACACAATTGGCCAGATGCCTTTTACTCTTGGCCAGGTCTTTGTAATTGTCTTTTAACATTTCTTTATGTTATCTTAAATTAAGTTTTAATTCTTAGTGTGTTTACCTATTGTAGTTTATTGTTTTTACATCTTGTTGTACATCACCCAGAGAGTTTCAGCTATAGGTGGTATAGAAGTGAAATGAAAAAAAATAGTCATTTGAGACCTTCAAGCCCTTAAAGATATAAGCAGCCTTGCTGCTTGGCTTGGAAGAACACTGGGCAATTTGAATTTTGCAACTGATGAGCAGTACTGCAGCTGAGCAAAGGGGGCTGTCTCACTGGGAAAACACTACTGATGGTGTAGTGTTCAGTCTGCTGCTCAGCAACCTCACTGACGCAGGTGTTCTCAAGTGTGATGTTGGAGGACCCAGAATGGTGGTTCTGGGTAACTTTAATTTCTGTACTGAGGCTGTCTCTGGAACTCCAGCTTGAGACTTCATGGCTTCTCTGCTAACCATGAGGCTGACTCAGTGACTGAGTTTGCACAACATGGTAAACAAGTCCATGCTGTTTCCATGGTGCACAGATTTTTGCCTAAACTTACTGGTCAGACAATCACAGAGTTACTTGAGCAGCACAGTTTCCATGCTCCCTGCTATATCCCCTTGGCCTTTGCATGCTTCTCAGCAGCTCCAGTGAGTGAAATCCTCCTCTTTTCCATATTTTTGGCTATGGACCACAGCAGTCTCCTCCTGATTGGTCTGCTGCAGACCTGAGACGGGTTCTTTCTCCCCTCCAAAGTGTACTTTTATGTCCAGCCACTCCAGTTCTCCAGAGATTCTCATTAAATCCAGAGATAAAGTAAACAGTATTGCTGTGAACCCTATTTCTCCTGTGTGTACTTTCATGCTGTTTTCACTAGTAAACAGGAAGATAGACACATCATTTGGCCAATGGAAATAGAGCAAGCAATTACACATCTGTTGCTAGGCAGCTGAGGGCACTAGAGATCAAAGATTAGATGTTGCAGCTGCTCTTGCCAGAGGACTTGTTTTTCCAGGTCCAGGAGACCAAAGAAACTATCATTCTCTGTTTTCAGAAAACTAATCCTATTTGCCCATTTTTGTGGGATTAATTTCACTTGCACCAATTGAAATTGCCCTTTGGATCCCAAAGTATTTGACAACTACTACCCAGTTGCAAATGCTCCTTTCTTTTGGAAAATACTTTACAGGGTTCTGTTAGAGCAACTGCAGACAAACTTGAAGTATACCAATATATATATATCTACGTAGATCCATTCCCGTCAAGTCTCATAATCAAACTGATTACAGAAAAGTATCAACTTTGGTTGCTCTGACAGATGACCTTTAGTGAGAGAGGGATAGGAATGCAACTCTGTTCATTCTGATTGATTTATCATTTGCTTTTGATACCATCAACATTGACATTCTCTTGGATTGACTCTGTGGGCAGGGTATCGGAGGCACCAGGATAAAGGGCTTCCAGACTTGCCTGGGAAGGCCATTTCAGAAAGTAACATTGGGTGACTATTGCATGGCCATTTAGCAATTGAGCTAGAGTTCTGCAAGGTACCATCTTGTCTCCAATGCTTTTCGACACTTAGAAGAAGCCATTTGGAATGGTCATTTGGTAATCTGGAGCTAAGTGCCAATCACACACCATTTAATCTTGTCTTTGGGTCTTTTATATAAACATTTAATTATTCTAGTGATGCTTAAGTTGAAAAAATTGCACACAAGTGCTTTAAATTAAGTATCCAGCCTAACTACTTGTAAAAATATGTGGAAGGGTAGTTTCTTCCAGATTTCCATTGTTGCACTGGAATATCAATCCAATAATTACTGTAGGTTTTCATATACAAGAATTAAAAAGACTAATTTTGTTGTTTAAGCAGAACTGTAGCATTTGCTTCTATGGTTTGTCTTAAATTAATTCTGTTTGTCTATAATTCCCCTATAAAGTCACTAAAATACAGCACAGGACCTGAAATAAGCTATGACAATAATTCGGTTTGCACGACATGACAGCCGACCATGGCTTAATTTACCTGTGGAAACTGTTGCACTGTGTTGGACTTTCACAGGTACCATTTTTGCCTGGTGCTCCCAGGCACTTGCTCTGTCATGGCTGCTTGTGTCACACAAAGCCAGATAGAAATGGTTGTTTGACGGTTAGACTAAAATATGCCATCTAATTTGTTCCAGTTACATGGGCACAAGCCTTGACATTACTGGAAGGCTGAAGGTGAGGAGGACAGCAACCAAACCACTCTAAACAACATACAAATTTTGAGCATAAATGTAATATGTAGAAGAGAAATAATTTACTTATTGCCATTTTAATACATCCTAATAAATTTGATTTCTGTGAATTAAAAAAACAAAGCACTCACTTTCTGAAATCAGCTAACAATTTAAGCATGTCTTCATTTGACAGCTTGTTACTGTCTTGTTTGTAAAGTGCTGAAAATCGTGCATTCTTGTCCAGTGTTCCAGATGTATCCTTAAACAGTGTCCTGAAAAGTAAATTCATACTTAGGAACCTTATTACAGAACTGCCACAGTGGGAAAAAAAATCTATCTAGGAAACTTTGACCCACTGAAATATACTTAACTGGCTGCAAGAAAGCCAGGCAGAGTTTGTCATCTAAAAATACATGTCATCACCTACACAATAGATTTGCCTAAAATAGCATCTATTCTTTTCTGAATTCTTTGACGAGAATCTAATAAAGTGTGGACAAATTTAACTCTGTTACCCAACATCCGCAAATAATTCTGTCACAAATACTTTTGAGTTTATACCAAACCAATAGGCACATTTAAATAAATCTACTTAGAAGAAGAATAGTTTAAGAAGAGCCTCCTTCATTACCTAGCTGCCCAAGCAAATGGCATTCTGTACTGTCCTAGCCGCTGGCACGCCTGCTTTGCATTTTTCAGAACCTTCTGGGCAACCTATAAATGACCATAAAAGTCAGTCAATCGTAAGCACAGATTTTGGTCTATACCAACACATGAAATGTCCATGCCGAGTGCAAGTGCACACACACATACACACACATATACAAGCACCTTGTGATAACTACTGTCACCATTTAACTGGGTTTTCTTCTTTTCTACTTTTTCTTAAGTTATTTAATTGTACAAGAAAGCATGTTTTGCCATTCTTACCTAGGAGCGTAAGTGTAAGCACCAGAAGTATTAGACAAAATCAGCTGTATTACATCTTCAGTAACATTTTTCTCTATTTTCCATACATTTCAAGCATTTCACTTTAGAAACAGATCTTAACTGGCAAAGCAGGATTTTATTTATTTATTTGTCAATTTATATCCTGCCTTTTTCCTACAAAGGGCTCAAGGCAGCTTACAACATTTTATGCCCTCAGCATTTCTCATTTTTATATTGCATCATTCTTGGACAGTTTGAAAAAAGGTTCAGAAATTCAGGTGGGATTCATTGATTAAACTCAGAACAGGAATATAAGAAAAGTCATAGAAAAGTCAAGAAAAACCATAGATCAGACTAAAGGTTTACATAGTCTAGTGTCCTGTTTGCGCAATGGCCAGCAAGAAGCTCATAGAAATGTTACAAACAAGACATGAGCATAACAGCTTTCTCCTGCTTGATTCTTCAGCTATTTGCAAACACACGCATACTGCCTTCTATACTGGAGGTACTGTATAGTCATTGTGACTAGAAGCCACTGATAGTTTTGCCCTCCATTCATCTGTCTAATCCTGTTTCAAAGTTGGTAATGGACCTGTGGAAGAAAATTCCATAGTTTAACTATGGACTGTATGAATATGTATTTCCTTCATGTGTTGTCCTGAATGTACACATCAGCTTCTATTATGATGCCTTGGGATCAGTTCAGTTATCATGAAACTGAACCTCCAAACCATTTCTGAAAAGCTCTCAAACATGGAACTGGCTCCACCTTACTTATCCAGTGATTCCTCTTCCATTCCTCAGTTTTCGCTAACTTTACAATTTTCTCAAGGTTACAGTTTTTAGTCCCACATTAAAATAACTTGGACTGGGAGACTTTGGGAGGCACAAACTTAATAATGTATGATTGTGAGAATCAAAACTCTCATTCTCTTCTTTATCTGCTCATTGAAAGGAGAACATTGCTGAAATATTAGCACTGATAAAAAGATTGTTTAAATACGTATAAACTTTAATAAGTTTACAAAAGTATGGGATTAATGAAGACATTCACACAGAATATTCATAAGGGAATCATAGCCATGTTATAATATTACACAATATACCATGTCAGAATAGTTTCTTTTGAGCTTTTTGAATGCAAGCTTATCAATTATATCATTAAAATCAGTAAGTCAGTTTATCATTTTCTACAGCAGAAAATGCTTAAGATCAGACAACTGATATTGGGACATTGTTTACTATAGATCATTCTTTATCCTTTTTAGTCCAGAAAATGATCTTTTGGTTAGGTACACCCCTTATTTTTATTGTTACAAAATGAAATAAAGTTAATGGTCATTTAAATAATTGGCAGGAGGCCAAGGTCCCTCTAGATTATGAGACCCTGGGCTGCAGCATGCATAGCACATATGTAAGTCTGGTACTGGCACTGATGTCTGACTATTGGTGGCATGAAGCAGGTTTACAAGCCACAGTTACTAATCATGGTTTGCCAATTCTGATATGATGGCTACTCCGCTTAGAAAAAAACAGGAACTGAAAAAGGAAAGCAGTACACAAGAGGAGAAAAGAGAGGGAACCTGCAAGCCACTACTGGTCTCTAGACAATGTTTGAGAAGAGCAGGTCTGAACTGATTCTTAATGCTCAAGGAAGATATCACATTGCAGTATACATTTTTCCCTTGTTTGACAATGGGTACAGGAGGTAAACTGAAATTCAAATACAAAAAGTTGAATTAGGCCTTGAATATGTATATTACATTTCATCTTGATATTTCCATCTTCACTGGAGTTACTGCATTATAAGGAAGACTTACAAATAAAATGCCAAAGAGTTAAGTTAAATGCAAAGTTTCTTTTAATTCAGCTAACAAATATGAGACTATACCTTAGAAGAATCAGAACTTTTCATATATGGCTCAGCACAGTGGGTAATGCTTCCTTGCAAAACTTTTTCAATTCTGGCCACTAGAAATATATCAGGATGTGGACACGTTACTGAGAATATTCCCTAAAAATAAATGGTTTGATTTATTGATACTGAAATAAAAATATGGCTCCTTACTCTGCAATGAAAGTGAAACTGACTTTTCTATCCATACCTGTTTGGGATATTGCAACATAATATCTGGAATAATATCTTGAATCCGATGCAAGCAATCACTACTGCCATTCAGCAACTGCTGTGCTGTTTTAACTAGCATATGCCTCACTGTGCTGTGATTCAAATCAACATGAAAGTCTGAAGAAATTTTCTGGTTACATTTAATGTCAAATAGTGCCAACGAGATGAAAAATGGCTCTACCTGGACGTTGAAAACAAAAACAGAGAAATAGATGAGAGAGAGAGAAAATGAGAGCACATGTTAACATGATCATAAGCGCAATTATAACTTATAATACTGGATACTGTGACTGAACTGCACATAGAAAGATCACAGTTGTTATACTCTACACTGATTTTTACTTTGTTAATAAAATGTGCTAGAATTATCCATTAGAAATCTGAATTAAGAGAGATAAAGCTTAGCACTTTGTATCAGTTAAAATATGTGTCAGTATTTCAGAACTTTTTAAAAAGCTGTTACTTTATTCAACAATATTGACACCTTATAACCTAAGATGCTGTCCAGATATATTATATAATTAACAAGTAAATGACACTCATCAACAAAATTCCCAATACGCCACACAACTTTTGTACTTCCTCTTCTCTCCAGTTTCTGGTAAGAATTACCCTATTTTGCCCCTGAACTGTATCATAAAACTCTAATAAGCATATCAAGATGCTATTTTATTTTTTGAGATGTTTGTGTTTTCTAAACATCCATTCACATGTCAGAGATTTTTCTTGCATAACTAGGAATTATATAAGTTCACCATTCCAACCTACATTGGTTGTTGGACCTTCCTCATTTTCAGCCACACAACTTTGCAGATTGAAAGATAAATCATTACACTTCACCAGAATTTTCTTCCCAAACTTCTCTTCAAATGGCTTTACTTCTGGCTCAATACCAGAAAAATCAAGTTTCTGAAAAAGAAAATGAATAGTGAAAACAACTTCTCTCTACAAAATCATCTTTAAAAGTGTTATTTCCCCCCTCATTAATCTTACCTGTGCCTCTGGATCCAGGGCAAAGAGTTTAATCCTGCTTTCACTTTTGAATTTTATTTCAGAATCTCTGGAAACCTGCAATATAATGAAACAGACACTTTTAAATAATATTTTATTGTGAACTTAAAAGGTAGGTGCTATATACTGTTGCACTTTTGTCACAAGCAATTCAGTTGTCATTTTACTGATTTAAAAAACAAAAACAATGACACAGTTTATTTACTAAACATTTCAAGAAAAAATGAGTAGCTTAGTACTATTTTTCCTTTTCCCCTTAGTCCTTCCTAAATCAGCTGGATCTCATCAAGACCAGATCTTTGAGAAGCCCAAGGAACGGACATGACCTAAGCCACCTTGAATTCCAAATCATCTTTGCATAGGATGGCGAACTGGAAGGCTGGGCAACTTGAAGTTTTTTATGTAATTTACTATGATTTCAGCTTTATGCCTTTTCTTCCACAGCCATTTATATAAACCAATTTACATAGGAACACAGGAAGCTACCTTACTCCAAGGAAAGTCCTTAGTTCATCCAGCCCAGTATTTCTGACACAGGTTGGAAGCAGCTCTCCAGTTTCAGGTGGGAATTTTCCTACCTTGTCTGGAGTGACAGGAATCAAATCTGTGATCTACTGCATGCAGATACATGCTATAGCAATGAAATATGATTTCTCCCCAATTTCTTTGTCTTGGGTAATTCTGGTATCTTTTTATGAGGTGAGAACAACTGTCTTATGATGATAGCATTTGTTCACCTCCTCCTTCCTTCTGGAAAATGAGATGCACTGAACCAGTGCTTCCAAAGGCAAAACTTCAGAACTTTTACAATCTTAATATTTGGTTTCATTATAAAGTATCAAGAAAGGTAACAGTGTTGGATTGTTAGAGGTTGGAAAACCAAAAAGGTGAGAAGGAGTCAAGGGGCACAATTAAGGAAATAATAAAGAAAAAAGACTTTTTCTTATGAGAAGGCAAATTCCACCAATGGCAGGGGGAAGACAAAGTATACAATGGCTGAGACCAAGCCTAAAATATAAAAATTTAGCAGACAATCCATTGGCCAGTGTAGTCAGAACTGTACACTCCCCCAGGAATAGAGCCTATTTTTGCAAGGCCCATGAATTATTTTTGTACTAAATCACCACCTTTATGACCAATATACATCCTGTTCAGAATTATTTTAGTTCAAAAAGGAAAAAAGAAGGCAATAGTGACAGGAAGCGACTTTAGAACTACTAAGGATTTAGGATTGCAAAATAAACTCTGCACTCAATCTGCTTGAGAAAAAGAATAGGTAAATGTTTCATAAGGTTCAAAACTATCTAATGTTAAATTATAACTATACTTTTTTAAAATGCACAACAATAGATTACTTCAAATGAAAGGCTTCTACATACCAAAACAAATAAGTAAAGAAATGATCGCACAAACGAAGAAAGGAAGGAAAGAAGGAGGAAGGAAAACTAGCAGATTGATAGGAAGAATTGCATTACATTAATTTCATTTTAATACCACCCCATAACCAAAGCTCTCAAGGCAGAGTACAACAATGTAAGAATCGGTATATACTTCACAGGGAGAGGCCAACAAGCAAAATATAAATTGATTCTAAATAGCAACCAAAAGTATAGAGTCCTAGAATGCAGAGGAAAGCAACCCACAAGAAAACTGGAGATGCCAAAATAGCTTCCAGAGTTCATGGAAACAGGAAACAACATTTGTGGCACCAAGTTTAGATATAATAACCAGGTGTTCAGACCCTTAAGGACCAGTCAAATCTGAATTGCTGCGTATAAGCTCAAACATTTCCAACATGTGTGTGTGCGCGCACATGTCAAAAAGTACTAGTCTATAAAAATATATATCCAGTTTAACTTGCAGCTTTTCAAAAGAACATATAATATTACCAAGTTTTTAAAAAGTTGAGCTACAGAATTTAAAGGATACTGTTTTGTGTGCATGTTCTGTTATGATAAGCAGTGAAGACAATACATATCTACTCCTCTGACCATTGGAGTCTGAGTAGAGCAGAAATGAGCAGGACAACCATGGTGTGCTATGCAAATTCAGTCTCTCTTGCAACATACAGGAACCATACTTGCTTGTCAGCGCCTATAGTGGCAGAGGAGACAAGAAAAGCCAGCACATGCTTCTAGCATGAACACAGCTTGCCACTTGTTAAACTGAGGGCTCTGCATGAGAAGGCCCAGGGCTTTTTTTGTCATGGAACGCACCAGAATGGCGTTCCGGCACCCTTTTTTGATGGATTTCTCCAATGGAGTGATTTTGAATCACTTGCGGGCTGCTTGTGTGTCCACGCTGATTGTGAGGGCGCTGCTCAGCTTGGGACGCTGCTTGGCTTGGGATTGGTGTGTGTGGTCGCACGCTGAGTGCTTACTGCCGGCGGCGACCATTATGTTTATGTGTGTAGAGTGACTGAGTTCTGGCACCTTTTATTTTACAAAAAAGCACTGAGAAGGACTAATGTTTTCAGTAGAAGAATCCTCTCTCAGTGATTCTCCTGCCTGGCTTCTGGGATAACCAAACACCATTGGGTAAATAGTTTTTACTATCTTAATCATTTCAATAAGCAAAACCCCACAGCATCTTTGCTTAAAAGTTGTCCTAATGACATAAAGGCAGTTATCTTTACAATAATTTCTTTCCATTAAAAAGATAGGGAAAGACTTAATCCTATCATCTTTGTGGTAGATGCTGTGAGCCCCCAAACTCAGAGGCTTACAAGCGTCCAGTGCATGATACAGCCATAGCTGTGCACACTTCATGTTTATCTAGACAGCTGTTTTTGGCTTCTAGATTTAAGGCTGGAGAAAGGGAGGAATTTACGCTGGGGCATCATTTGGAACTGGCACAAATCTGGAGCTCCAACTTCTTTCCCTCCCTTTGCATGCCTCCCCTCTGAGGCCCAACTACAACCTTGGGGGTAAGGAGTTTGTTTCTTTCCATGCTAGATGCAAAGGGTACAGCAGAGATTCAGTCTTAGAGTTTGAGCACTGATGTTAGAGGACTTTGGTGCTCAGATTCCAAAAAAGATTATGGTTGCCCAAAAGATGTTGGGAGACCATAGTATGGAATCCATTTCAGAGCATTAAATGGTACATATAACAATTAGAGGAATTTGGAGCAGCTGAAAATGAAGGTGGCGGTAAACAGAGGCTTTCATTAATAAGGAGCAGGTCTGATGCTGAAGCTATTATCTGTCTTGAAGTTTGAGCCTCTGAAGATTGCATTTGGTAAAATAGGTGTACTAGTCAGCACATTATGTTTTTCAGCTTTTTAAGAGAGCTAATGGGCCGGGTTATAAATCTAATAAATACATGCATAAATAATTGTATACAGATTTTAAGCATGCAACTTTAACTCACCAACTTTAAAGATTATCATCCTCCACTACAAAAGCTTAGATACTAGCTTCTGCTAGGCTCAAACAGGCTACTCTTAGTACAGAAGAAATCTACTCAGTGACCAGTTGTTAACTTTCCCATTATAGTCCACTATGTTATAAAAACAAAGTGCTAAGGATGACCTCATACTAGATTTTTTTTGTTATGAAAACAAAGGCAAAAAGGAAAAGGCTACAAAAACTTTGTGCCAGTCTCAGAAATATGTTTAAGAAATATATTTGTCTGATAAGTATCCAGCAAAATTAAGTTTATGAAGTTTAGGCAGTATAAATGCTCCCTCCACATGCCTCTATTAATCAGGATTATATTTCATAATCCTGTTACTGACACAGTTAAAAAATAATCCCACAATACCCCAGTTTAAAAGAACCCCAAAATACTACCTTAGCCATTTCAGGAAGATAACTATCTAAACTGGATGAAGAGCTGTCCATCTTGCTTTGTTCATCATCTGAAAATTAATTTTAAAAAAATGGAACTATGAACATAATTACAATAGGAAACTGCTATAACAATACTGTTCTACTTTCTATTGTGGACAACAGGCTAAATATGAGCCAACAATGTGATGCAGCGGCAAAAAGGGAAAATGCTATTTTGGGATGCATTAATAGAATTCTTACTTCCAAATCACAAGAAGTAGTACGAGTAGTTCCCCTATATTCCTCACTAGTCAGACCTTGGAATACTGTGTCAAGTTCTGGGCACCAAGATTCAAGAAAGATGCAGAAAAATTAGAAAGGGTCCTAGAGGAGGGCAATAAAAATGATCTTGGGTTTGGAAACACTGATGTATAAGGCATGTTCAGCTTTGAGAAGAGAAGACTGAGGGAGGAAATGATATTCCTCTATAAGTACTTTGAAGGCTGTCACAAAGAAAGCGGTCAAGATCTCTTCTTGCTGATAACCAGAGTGTAGGACACAAAATAATCAATTCAAGTTGCAACAACCCAAATTCAGGCTAGATATCAGGAAAAGTTTCCTCACTGTCAGAGCAATGCAAAAGAGGAACCAGTTGCCTAGAGATGTCATGGTCTCTCTCATGCTAGAGACATTCAGAAAGAAACTGAGCCGCCCCGAGGTTTTGTTGCGATGGGGGCAGCATAGAAATGTTTTAAACAAACAAACAAACAAACAAACTGGACAGCCATCTGAGTGGGATGGTGTAAATTGGTATCCTGCAACAGCAAGGGTTGGACCTGATAGTCTTCATGACCCCTTCCAACTCTACTATTCGATTCTATCCTAGATGCTGTTGATGTTGAACTGTATCAACATTGTGGTACTCTCTATTAGCCCCTAAAAATGGCTAGCACATTTAGATCATTCTTCAAGGCCCTTCTGAAAGGAGGAAGCCTCAGTCTTACAGTGCCTAATGAAATGTGTATTTACTTATTACCATAATTTGTATCCCACTTTCATAGATAATTGTAATTCCTGATTCATGAAGCGTGACCCTTATTAAAAAGAAAAGACAGAATCATAGTACACAGATGCATCAACAGCATAAGGAGATAAATCCTTCATATTCTGACAAAGAATAATTCTGAAAGCTGGAGACAAGCAAAAGAATGAAAGGCTGTTGCCTTCTTGCACTGCTCAAAAACTTCATCAAGAAATCTGGCTTGCAACTGCTGGAAATGGAATGTTGGACTAGATGCAACTTTAATATGATTATTTTGCCTTTTCTTCATAAGGCACAGTGGGTAACATGACCCTAAACCTAAGAAAAATAAAAAGTTGCATCCTAAGAAACTGTCATCTCTGCAAACCTAAGTGGAAAACTGAGGCTTCAGGGAAAGAATAGTGATCTCAGCTGGACAAACAAATGAACTTCATTTCAGTAATTATGTTAACCTTTATTTTAGTGAATTGCTTGGTCCAAATTTATGAGCAGAAATAACTTGCATTTACCATCATGGGAGTCTCCATTTCTTTTTTCTTGCATTGCAGCTTCAAAATTCAGTTGGAGAATTTTGTTTAGAGTTGTAATCCATTCTTCCATTTCTACTTCACTGTCTGCTGCAAGAAGATAGCTACTCTTGTCTTGCATCTTGAGTTCAAATGCAAAACGTCGGACTTTGTTGTTCTGTAATATAATAAAGGATATTAATGCATCACCTGCAGTAGCTAGGGCATTTTCTTCTTTTCTCTCAGTTTCCTCCTTAATTTTTCATAAAGAATGTAGACATCAAATGCTAGCAAAGACACAAATGCTAGGTCTACATGAACAAATGCAGATACTAGCAATTCATATAATATTTTAATATGAAGAAAACATTTCTATTTGTTTTGACTGTGGAATATAAAGAAACACAAGCACAAAAACTGCAATCTGCTTAAAACAGCTGCTCAGATTCAATTTTCTGTGTCCAAAACTAGAATCCTTCTTAAACTTGCCAAGCAATCAAAAGCTTTGAAAAGGAAAGCAATCAAAAACGTTTCAGAAAGTTCACCATCACTAGAAAATTCCAGGGATTTATGCTGAGCACATTTATTTTAAAAAATGTTAAGCCATGTCAACAATTGGTGGTAAGAAATTGAAATTCAGATGGGAGGGAGTACAAAAAATTCTGATCTAGCATAATTGAATTGTGAGTTGCATTAATGTTATAGAAAAGAAACAACAGCGATGTAACAAATTACACTAAGCAGAGCAGAACAAACTCATGCCCGATACTATTTGCCAGATGAGATCTATAAAAATGACATCTGACTCAATCAAGAAAATAAAAGGCTTCACTTACCTACATTTCCTTAGAATATTAAGAACCTTAGTTTTTCTAGTCCTTAAGGCTGGATATGAAATACAATAATGTAGCTGATTGGCAACATTTCTCTAATGTGCTACTGTAAGGGACTTGAAATGTAGGAGAAGATGCAAGTCAAGGGAGACTTCTGGAGCTACCAGAAATAATTACTAATCAATTACACATAAAGTGAGGGGTGCTGGTGAACAGCAGTAGAGGTTAAGCTAATTGTTGGGTTCCAAGATACAAGTGAATGGCATCTTTACAATGAGAGTGGATCTGAGACACCTATTTGATCGCCATCAGATTTCTGTTGAAATTGAGCAAACCTGTACCTACATGTCATTGCACATATATAGACCATTTAACTTACAAATGGCTATCACATACTAAAGAATGGGATGGGCAGGTTGCTTGCCTCTAACAGTCATTCTTCGAGTGGACATCTGTGCATTCACACACATACGCACTTTGCTGTGGACCACAATGCCTGGATCGGAGAAACTTCCACAGCTCGGTGTCACGGAGTGGGTGGCAGCTTAGCTCCAACCCTGTTCAGGACAGGATAAAGGAATGTCCAGTCCTTCCTCCCTCCTGCCAGTTCCTCAGTTGCCTGAAGACCACGTAGTCTCAGGCGCACGAGGGAGCCAAAGACCTGTAAAGGAGGCATAGCTGTCCGTACCCGGCCCGAGGGCAACACAGAGCTTTGGGCTGACAACAGCCAGGACAGGGGGGCGGTGTTGTGTGAATGCACAGATAACCACTCGGAGAACAATAGTTACAGGTAAGCAACCGTCCTTTCTTCTTCATGATCTTTGTGTATCACACACATTTGAGCGACTAGCAACCCTACTGTCCCAGAAGAGGAGACTGTTGATACTGGAGGATCAAGGAGAGCACTGCCCTGTTGAATGCACAGTCCTGCCTGGCACAGATGTCTAGCCGGTAGTGGCAAACAAAGGTCAGGGGCAGAGACCATGTCACAGCTCTGCAGATCTCATGCAGTGAGATGCCAGCTAGGAGCATGGTAGATAAGGCCTGTGTGCAGATGGAGTGGGGACAAGGGAATCTTTGCCAGAGGAATGGTGCTGGAGACCCACTTTGATAACCTCTGGCTTCAGACAGGCTCTCCCACCTTGTGGCCTTTGTAGCATATGAACAGACAATCAGAGTGGCACAATAACTCTGTTTGGATCTTTTAGAAGGCGAGGGACCTGTGGACATCGAGGAGATGAAGCATGGCCACGATTGGGATGGCAGAGTTGGGAAAGAAGCTGGGGAGGACAATGTCCTGGTTGATGTGGAACTGCCTCAGCCACCAGGGGGTGAGCAGGATGCAGCTGATCCTGTCCCCCTGGATTTTGGCCACTACCCTGGTGATCAGGGGGAAAGGAGGGAAGGTGCAGTAGAGCTTCCTCCCATTTGAGGAGAAAGCGTCCTCCATGGACGCCCCGCCCTGCCCTGTCCTGGTACAGAAGTGTTCACAATTGCATTCTGGAGGGTGGCAAAGAAGTCCACCTTGGGGTGTCCCCATCTCTCACAGCATGTGTCAAAGGCAGAGGACTCCAGTTCCCACTTGTGCGGGACGGAGGAAGAGTGGCTCAGGGAGTCTGCCAGGGTGTTTAGGCAGCCTGCTACGTGAAGAAGGGGAGAGAGGTAGTGGTAGTGGCCTCGTCTTGAGTAACAACTCAAACAACAGCGAAGAATATATATAGGAAAATAGATAGAGAAAAGAATATATTGTGTGTGTATATACTTTAGGGGAAGAGAGAGAGACAGAGAGAAAGAGACAGACAGAGAGAGATGACAAGCTCGTAAGTGAGCAGAAGGTCCGATTGGTGAAGTGACTCAAAATGTGGTCAAAGGAAAACTGAGGGACTGGGCAGAAGCCCCCCGTTTATCCTGCCCTGCCCTGGACAGAAGTGGGGCAGGACTTACACTCTGCAGCAAAGCCCATGTGTGTGTGGGGCACAGAGACCATGAAGTACAACAATATCTAGTTATAATAGATATTGCAGTTCTGCAAGATATTGCAGAACTGCAAATGCAGTTCTGTGACTAAATGAAGATACAAGAAGGACAAGTTGCAAGCTGTATGCCAGTGGTAGGCAACCTGTTGCCCTCCAGATACTTTAGCTAGCAATCCTCATCTGTCTAAGCAAGTGTGGTCAATAGTGAAAGGTTATAGGAATCGTATCCCGATGCATTTGGATAGCACCAGGTTGTCTACCCGGCTGTGGGGTAGGAATGGACAGCAGGAATGGACAACTTGGTACTCCTCAGATGTTCTGGCCTGCAACTCTCACCACTGGCTATGCTAGTGAGGGCTGATACGAATTGTAGGCCAGAACATCTGTGAGACCACAAGTTGTCTCTTCTGATAAATAACAGGATGTTTTCATTTTCTGCCCACGGGAGCCTATGACAAATAGCAGCTAGAGGTGAATAGAATATAGAAATATCCATATTTGGATATCTGTATTTTTGGTATCTGTACCTAAAGTAACAATAGTGTAGACAGTTTTTTAAAGTAGAAAGTACTACAATGCTGGCTTAATTACTTAACCAGAATTTGCTTTATACCATAATCTATGGTTTGTATGCAATAAAGAATAGTGTTTCTGTAAACTAATCTCTTCCCATTTTCTCCTGGCTGAGTGGCTGCAGTTATGAAGCTTGCCCTCCCTCTTTGGGGACTATCAGACTTGTGCACATGGTGCTAAATCATGGGTTAATGTTACATGCAAACCAAGGTGTTACAGCAATTCTACAAAAAACCTATGAACTGAAATACAACAGAAAAAAACTAAAAGCCTTTATAGCTCCAAAAATTTGTAAGATTGTATGATTGCCATTTATAGCAATATGCAGTACATGGATCTAAAAATGTAGTCATTTCAGGATTGTTCCATCAAAACGTCCATACTGTTCTTTGAATAAACTACATACTTTGAACACAGATGCCTTTTTGGCCCTTGTACTAGAAAGTTTTCAATGCAGCTTATGTTCTGTTTTGTTTCAAAAATATTTTCTTTCTTTTTTATAATGAAAAGTTAACGTTGTTAAAGGTCAACTCAAAACATTTGGGAGTATGGCAATGAATGTGATCTGACTTCTACAACAGAAATCCCACACAAGAAGCTATGCAAAACATTTTACAGCCATATTACAGTACTATTTATGCTTGTATTAGATCTTCATATATTCTTAATTAGCCTTCTAAGATTTATTTTTTCAGTACTTAACATTTAGTGAGAATATTCCTTAACACTTCATATTCAAAAATAGTACTACCTCAGTACATCTGGATGGGTTGGTGATTCAATTCTCAAGCTCACACTTACTGAATTCTTCTGAAAATATATTAGACTATCTGGCCACAAAATTAAACCACTATATCTAAACCATTTATTTCTGTCATCCAAAGTGCAGTGACAGTCCAATTGCATGTACAGTGCCTTGAAGAATTCATATCCACTCAATGTTTTTGTGTTACAAACTGGAAGTGAAATGGATTTAATTGGTATTATCACCACCTGATGTAAACAAGAATTCAACACTGTAAAAGTTCTTTCTGTCTGTCTGTCTGTCTGTCTGTCTGTCTGTCTGTCTTTCTTTCTTTCTTTCTTTCAGCACAAAAGTTAAGCAAACAAAAGCAAGGTGGAATTTGTTGGTTGCCTAAGTATTCAGGTCCCTGAGTCAATACTTGGTAAAAGTACTGGCAGCAATTCAAACTGCGAGTTTTCTCAGTTAAGTTCCCTATTAGCATTGCACATTTGGAAACTGCAATGCTTGCCCATTCTTTCTGGTAAAACTGTTCCAACTCTGTCAGGTTTGGAAGGGAGCCTTTGATGAACTGCAACGTTCATATCTGCCACAGATTCGCAATCAGAATGAGATTTGGGCTTTGAGTAGGCTATTCTAAGACATCCAGGTTCTTGTTTTAAAACCACTTTAGCGTTGCTTTACAGTGTCCTGCTAGAAAGTGAACTTCTGACCTAGTCCCAGGTCCCTTGAAGAATCCAACAAGTTTTCCTCTAGAACTGTCCTGTATTTGGCTCCATCCTCCATCCTGACCAGTATTTCAGTTCTTGCTGAGAAAAAGTATCCCACAACAAGCTACTGCCACCACAATGCTTCACCATGGATACCCTCTCTAAAATTATCTGGGGTTTCTCAAAAACAAGTGTCTTTTATCTGAAATTGTGTGGCATGCAAATTTCACAAAGGAGGACTCCATTCAACAGTTTATAATATGCTACTTCTGGAGGCAATGGGATACACAAGAGCTAGACTTGTCAAACAAAGGGCATAAATACGTCAGCCACCAAATTGTGCCAGTTGGTTTTTGTTCACTTAACTTTTGTGCCATAATAAAATAATAAAAATAGTTTCCACCATCACATGGTTGAATAACTTCTGTACATCAGTGTAACAATGCCCGCTACACCTATTTCAATTCCAAAATGTAGAAGATAGTAAATAGTTCTGCGAGGCATGGTATGTTTATCAGAAGTAAGTTCCATCATGTTTAGTAGGGCTCATACCATCGTAATTGTGTTTAGGAGTGTGAAACAGTGTGCAGCTAAAGTACTAGGCAAAGACAAAAAGAAGATGCTAACTTAATTATGCACAAAATTTAAGCAGCATATTAAACAGGGTAATTCTCTACTTACCTGGACCACTCCCATACAGGAATCCAAAAATATTGATCCTTTAGGTTCTTTCGATATTTTCTCATCTTTATAGAAGTTGAGATTATATGATCCATCACCAAGTTGGAGTAAGTGAAAAAATCTTCTTTTGAATGACTAGATATGAAAAACGATGTTATGTTAAAAATACAGAACGGTAACACACATGCAAAACTTCCATACACCAGGATCCAAAGAGATGTCCAGGAACATGCAAGGGTTTTGTGATCTCAGCAGGACTTTAAAAATTAGGTATCCTAAAACCAGTTTAATAAACATAATCTAACACATTGTAAGAGTGGTTTCAGGGAAAAAACTGTATGACACTCAATAAGCAGGTGCTAGAGAACTCTATCAATAACAGTTGCAATGTTACAAAACATTACACTTTCTAACTTCTAGACAAAACCAGTAATACGATGTGCAATCCGATTGAAAGTTTAATAGAAGAGATTAAACATGCCTTCACAGTAACAACATACCCTCATAGTAACACTGATAGCACTGTTCATATTGCCTTTGTACAGCCATCCTTGTTTTGTAATTCCTCCTTTCTGAGATCCTAGAGATGCTGCATCCTAGTTAAAAGAGAAAAAGCTATGATAACAATGCATATTCGATCCTTTGTCATGTGCAATTCCCCAGCTGGGTGTCCTCCACATATTTGGACTTTAACTTTCATGATTCCTAACCTTTGGCCATTCTGACTGGTTATGACAGGAATTCAAAAAACGTTAATTCACAACAATGTACAGAAGATTATGACCAGAAATAAAACCTATACATATTCTGTGTGATTTAGACACATAGTAGCTCCCATATACCATCAAACTCGGTAAAGTTCAGTAGTGTTTTTCCAAGGGTCTGCTGAAGTCCCTAGCCTGGCCTGAGAAGCCTCTTCCTTTTACCATGGGGAAGGGCTTGGGGGACAAGCCCCACTCCTTGGAGAATTCCCCTGGAAGATATCATTACAGTTATCAAATCTAAAATAATAGTGCTATACAAATGATGGACACTCAGGCTGCTTTTCTAGATGGGGATCAAGTAGCTTCAAGCAGCTTCTGGCACCCATGAAAATGTCAGTAGCCACACCAAGCTCAGCCCACATGAAACAAGGGATGTAGCCAGTGTTGGGAAAAGACTCTGCTCCTCCCAGTGCTCTTTCTCCATGTTGTGAAGAGGTAATAGAAAAGCAGATGTTCAGCGTTTCAGACATCTGTCTTACCAGCCTTGCCTGGAGGCGGGGTATTCAATCTGGTAACTGCTTCATGCAAAACATACACTTGATCACTGAACTGCATAAAAATAGCAATAAAGCCAGCACAATTCCCTTGGACCGGATCCTTTGGATTTAGTCAGTCTTCCCAAATAGTGTGTGTTATTTTTACTAATTCCTACTTTCTCCTGCAACCCACTGCCACATTGTTCTGAGATTCCCTAACTCTCCTTAGCAGATTTGGGTGGAGGGTGCAGAAAGAAGAAACCAATACTCTGGAACACCTCATTCCATTCACAATATTCCAGAGCTGGCTGTTTAGAAAACACACAGTCAAGAGATTTGCCATCAATTTTCCTAAGAGAAGGACTGTGAGGAGGGGGTGTATGCTCCATTTGAACTCCTTTCTGCTCCCACACCTTTCTACCTTCCTCCGTCCTGTAGGATGGATTGGAAGGGAGAGCACGCAATAGATATCAGAAACACTAAACACCTGCTTCTGTGTAGCTGGGTTCTTCTTTGCCCTAAGGACATTTATCATTAGCTACCCTGCAGGAAGAGCTTTTATTGTGATGTTTATTATTTTTACGTTTCTTGTGAGTCACTTTAGAACAATTCGAAAAGTAGAATTTAAAAATCTTAATAAATAATAATTCAAAAAAGATCGATTATCAGTGTGCATCTTTCTTCAGAATGTTTCACAAGATGAATTGGATCTCTAAAAATCCCTTCTTTGAGCCCTAGCATGAGCAAAAAATTAGAAATCCCATGATTTGGGATGGAGCCATAGAAAGAAGGATTTTTCATATCCTAAGACATGTTAGGAATTTTAACAGGAAAATTACTAATGCCTTGAACTGGATGAATGAAAGAAAAATTAGAGCAGGCAGCCAAGATGGGATCATATACCATCAATGAGCTACATGTATAGTAGGTCCTGTCCTAGCTGATGCTTTGGAAGCACATTATCATAGCTTAGACAGGTCAGAAACAATGCGTAGTTGATAGCATGGTCTGGATACAGAAGGATGCGTTCGTTTCAGAGGTTTCCATCAATGTGTGCAACTGCAAAAAGGTAAAACTATACTTGACAATCCTTTTCCTCTGCATTTCTTTATTGGCTTATGTAAAGACAAGAAAAGATCTTCAGTTGTGCTAAATGAGTAATTTCTAGTAGGAAGAAGGATGTAATAGCAATTCATTAATGAAATGCTAGTTTATGTTTGTCTAGTATACAGTGTCTTGTACACTATGTCCGAAGTTGGTTAAACATTCTTAGAGAGGATGAATTCAAATTGAAAACAAATGCAAAGAGGAGCAACTCAAAATGACAATAGAGATAAAACTACTTCTATAACAAACTAAGACAGCTCAACATATTTAGCTTTAACCAAAAGTAAAACAAAATGAAATGAAATGAATCAATGGAACTCTAACACCTTAACAAAACACTGTAGAAGATGACACTACAAAGAACAACTTACATTAGTCAGTAATTACTTGTGACTTTAAATAGATTATTAATACATTTAGGATGGAAATAGGACATTGAAATTTAACACTAATTATCACTATCTTTTTCAAGTCAAGCTACGAGTAACTGTGCACTTAGGGAGTGTTCAGTAGAAACAAAATCATCAACACACCCAAAGAGCCCCAGTTGGCTGTAATTAAACCTGAACCAAATTACCTGCAGCAATTAAAAACCCAGGCTTTTGTGTGTTTTCTTTCCTAGTACATAGGAAACATAGGTGAAAAATAAACTATTTTTAATTTAGGGAACAGTTGCAAGTACAGAAGAAACAGAAGCAGAAACATTTTTGACACTAATAAAAGTGAGAAACTAAACTGAATACAGTTTTGAATCCGCTCTGAAAAAGAATAGAGAAAAGACAGGTTGCTTACCTGTAACTGTCGTTCTTCAAGTGGTCATTTGTGCATTCACACATGTGGGCATTGCCACACAGCCCAAGTCCTGGACTGGAGAGAAACTTCCAAAGCGAAACATCACAGAGTGGGCAGGAGCCCCCCTTCTTATCCAAGATCCCAGAAGGGACAGGGAGGCTCCCACCCACTTCCTTACTTGACTTGGAGACCACATCGCCTCCAGGCATCTGAACAGAGTGTGTGAGGTCTGTCCCTGCATGCACCCCCAAATGACTCCATATGGTAGGGGGCATGGTAATCTGATGACAGCCAGTGGGGTGGAGGGCAGGTTGTATGAATGCACAGATGACCACTCAAAGAACAGCAATTACAGGTAAGCAACCTGCCTTTCTTCTTCATGGTTTCTGTGCATCACACATGTGGGCAACTAGCAAGCTTATGCCTCGTGGAAGGAGGGGCAGAACAGCTGAGGGGACTGCCCTGCTGAAGACCCAATCCTGTCTTGCATGTACGTTGAGCCTGTAGTGCTGGAGGAAGGTCAATGGTGTGGACCATGTGGCAGCTTTGCAGACATAGTGGACAGGATTCCAGCCAGGGAAGCAGCAGATGCAGCTTGTGCTCGCATGGAGTGTGAGGGCATGTAGGAAGGTCCAGACCTGCCATCTCAGATATCCACTTGGTGAGATGGTGCCCCCCCTCGTCTGGCCGTCGCAGCAGATGAAAAGACGGTATGTGTAGCAAAGCTTTTCAGTGCACAACATGTAGAAGAAAAGGGTTCTGCAGACATCCAGGCAGTAGAGTGATGCCTCTAGGTGAGTGGATGGGCTTGGGAAGAAGGCTGGGAGATGTCTTGGTTCATGTGGAAGGCGGAGCTGACTTTGGGCCAGAACTGCGATGTGTGTGGAGAATGACCTTGTCCTTGTAGAAGGTGAGGTATGGGGCGTCGATCCTAAGAATGGTTGGTTTGTTTCCCTGGTGAGCTGAGCTGACTGAAAGAAGGAATGTAGAAGTCAGTTGTTGCCATGGGCTCGAATGGTCCTGTAGGATTACTGAGAGACTCCACAAAGGGGTAGAGGGGCACAGAGTGATATTTGGGAGGCCACTGTGGAATCTGCACACCAGAGGGTGTATTAACACAGAAGACCATTAGACAGGGGGGTGGAAATGTGAGATCGTGGAAGAAAGCAAGTATGTAGCAGAAGAGAGGGGAAAACGCCAGGGCGTGTGGAGTTATAATTTTTATGAAAGTAGCGAGAATTTGATTAATTTGTTGTTGCTTTTTAAAATAGGAGAAATGAGGAAGGAAAGACACAGAAAGAAACAAAACATGAGAGGTAAGTGATGAAGTTCAAACTAATCACGTGATGCAGCAAGGTGTGTCGTCGGAAAACAACTGCGGAAGTGGGCGGGAGCTCCCCCTTCTTATCCAAGGCCCTGTGACGTTTCCCTTTAGAAGTTTCTCTCCAATCCAGGCCTTGTGCTGTGTGGCAATGCCCATATGTGTAATGCACAGAGACAATGAAGAAGAACCATATCCTTTAATCAATGTCAATAAGCAACATCTAACATAAAATTTAATCTGGATTTCCATGGTTAAAATTTCAGAAATCCAACTGAACAGGAAAGAACTCTCAAATCAAAGAAGTAAAATTATTGCACACTTTCACTAGTCAAGGGTCTGTTGGCTACTCTGCCAGTTATATTCAACTATTTGATGTTACTGTGGCAGATGAACATTGTAACAGCCTAACACATATTCCTACTTGTGTCTAAGGCAGGATATGAGAATCAAATGTCCATTGTTAGCTTGGATTGCACGTCAGACAATTTCATCTGTTAAATCAATAGAAGGCAAAGGTCAAATTATGTAGAAATTTTACAACACAAAGTCACTTCCTGGTTCCTCTAAAGCAGGTCATTTCCCAATCCCATTTGTACAGGGCATGTGTGTACATTCAATGTCCTTTGAATCAAGTAACATCTACTGAACAGTGAAAAACAGACTCAATCACTGTGTCAAATACTACCTACACCATAAATATTTATATTTTATTAACATATGACTATTTCAAATGTTGTCCATTTTGCATTTTCTATTGAGATTTGATTATACTTTCTCTTGTTTGACTGCAAATTGGAGAAGATAATTTAAGAGAGATTTAACTCAGGCCAACAGTGAAGTCAGCAAGACTAAAGGATAAATTGCTTGTTGCGGCGCTGGTGTTGCCAAGAGCAGATATGATTCTTAAACTAAAAACAGATGAGGCTTCACACACCTCTGGCTGAGAATGATTTCACTCTACAACACATAAAAATAGGCTATATTTTCATCATCAGAAGTTGCAGCAGGAAAACTCAAGGTTTGCAGTGCAGCTCTTAAAATAAGAATGATTCAGTGAGTTTTTGCAGATCATGAAATATGAAGGCTGTTAAAGACTGTAGCCGGTAACAGTTATGGCGTGCTTGCTCCATGTTCAGGCTTCTCTAAGAAAATTCCATGGTATGATGCATACACCACTCAACTTTCTTTCTTTTCCTTTCTTTGACCAATTTTTCTTTCTACATCCTCAACAGCTGCAAGACTAGATGTTTCTCATTGCATCTACATACTTGGAAGAAATGCAAAAAAAAAATCTGCCTGTCATGCAGTTATTAAAGACAAAGGAACGTGGGCTGAAGAAAAGATGACAACCCCACAATATCAACTCTATTGTATCTCCCTGATTAACAAGCCCCCAAAATGTATTAGCATTATTTGTAAGGTTATGGTCAGCTACAGGAAGATTGTTTTAAGGAAAGTTTGGGGCTTGTCAGTACCTTATAAATAGTTACAAATGAAATGTTATTGGTTCATCAATGTTCTTCTATCTCACCTGATGTAGAGTGTCAGCTAAACCCTTATATGGAATTCCTGTGAATTGCCATTCTAAAAGAATTCGAAAAGAATTTTCCCAATATCTCATTTCCCAAATAATTCAAATATTTCCTTTAGCAACCCTAAAAGCAATTTTTGAAGAATGTTCACACATTCCTGAACTTGTGATCATGTTCCAAATGCATATTTAAAAAATACACACATTTAAAAATACATTTTTACACAGTCATTTTTTGCAAAATGTGCAGAGCAATAAATACGTCTTTCATTCAAACAAACTGAAGAACAGATTGAAACTGATCTTCACAGAATTCACCCATGCTTTATTTATTACTTCTTTGAACAATTCCACAGGCACACCAGATTTCCCACACCTGACAGAGGTCACCAGAATTAAATGACTTGCCACTAAATGCATTAAAATTATTTCAAAGTATGAAGTTAGTCATGTAGAAGGTTATTTGAATATAATATATATAACATCTGAGTTGCCATGTAGAAAGCTAATTTTATACGCTTACCTCATCCTTATCTGCTTCTTCATCAACCTCATAAACATGAACTGGCAGCTTTTCTAATTTGTTTCCTTTGCTAAAAAGAACAAATATTCAACACTGTACAGTAGTCATTTCAGAATCACTCAGAACAACTTTAAACATGATAGCCATCGCAATGGCTTACAAATACTTTTATGCATGGCAAAGTGTAGATGTAGCAATTCTTTACATATGAAAAAACACTGGATAAGTTTGTCCATCCTGATAAGCTACCAAAGATTGGGTAATCTGCCCCTAACAGATGACTGGACATTCTGAGGTTTACCATAGATGGTTTTCCTTCTCAGTTCTCCCATCAGCTCCTGGTATGTATTCAGTGTGCCTTGAAGGAAAACTTCTTACTCCAGCATCCTATCTGAAATTGGTGCATTGTGGCTGCTGGTTCCTGAAGGAAGTTCACCCCTACCTCCCACATCAGATCACCAAATGGAATTAATTTTCTAAGCACTTAGGAATGTTGTAACGTGTTTGTATTATATTTCTCAAGTATGCAAAATTTTAAGAGCCTTCTCAGCTATTTACCCTCTTGCCAATGTCCTTATCAATTTCATCCTCCACATCTGCTAGATAACACTTTTCTTTTAAAGCCTGCTTTACATGCTGTGCGGTAACTGAACCCATTCCAAAACTCCTTCTAGTGCAACCACTGGCCACTTTTGTCTTCCCACCCCACCTTCATGCTTGTTACTTCCCTCTATTGGCCTCTCCTGTTAGCTCTCAGTCAAACAAGTGAGTAACAGAGCAGTGAGGCAAATCATTAAAAATGCACAAATTTCACAGAACAGAAGCAAAGCTGAAAGAGGAAATTATGCAAATTGCATGGAGGAGCATTAAACTAAGAGGAAATCATGCAAATTTCAAAGCTGTGGACTTTTGCATCTGTGCAAGACCAAAAATAAAAATACAGTTATAAATGCATTTGGGACACTTTCTACTGCCATTTCTTCAGACTGTATAGGCAGAAGGCATTGACAGGCAGTGAGGGAGGATGGCAGCAGCACTAATGAGATCAAACAGTAGAAGGGTTTTCCACTGCTCCTGCAAAGTACCTCAGTAGCCTTTTCCAATGCACTGCAACAAAGCCACAGTGCCAGGTCTGGGTATCATGAGGAACCACCTGGAAAATGAACTATCCTGTGGAAACTGCACAAGGTTCATAATTCACAAGAACTCAAAATGGGTAATCCCATGATGTATAGTTATAACATATGAACCAGGACTATATATATTGCTCCTGAAGAAGTAGTTTGGGCAGGAAAAATCTGTATGAGATTACCTTAACATGTTCAGTACAAATGCAAGTAAACAATGAATGCTTTGGCATTTCTTACCCAAACATATGCAAAAAACCAAATGAAGAACAAATTTACATTCAACCAAATTGATCCTAATTATGGAACAATTATTTGGAAATACTTTATATTTACAGTCAATAACACATTGATCACATTTTCCCATTCACATCCATCCCATACATTCTTCAGCAAGAAGAATGCGGCTATGAAGATTGCTATACTAGAAATGAATATATAAATAACTGTATTTTTAGAAAGAAGAAAAGATCTGCCTCTCTGAGCTTAAGAAAACAAATGAGGTTTATTTCCCTAAATATTCCCAAGTGTAGTAGATCCCAAGTAACATACTGCTTGCGGGACTATGCTGGAAGATGTGGGTTTTTTTCCTGCCAAAACAAACATAGGATTGCACCCTTAGATATTCATTTAAAATAGCTTACACTTTTTCCATCTAGTACGATATTGGATATTATAGCATATGCTGGAGAAGAGATACAGTGTAAGTGTCCCATAATTTTTGGTTTTCATACTCATGGGTTATCTGGAATGGAGCCTTGCACTGTTTTCATCAATATAAACAAGTAGTATCTTGATCTGGTACTCCAAAATTTCAACCCTTCTTTAGCCCTTCCAGAAGAAGGCTAAGCACATGCTTATGGCAGAAGGCAGCAGGTTCTACCCCCTGCCTTCCACCATGCCTACAATCTTCCTATATGAATGAGAGTCTTCCAAAAGCAGGGCCCCAAAGCACAGACTAAAATATGCAAGTATGCATTGTAGACACATTGCAAGCATGGAATGGAACACATTAATGAAGCTTGCTGCCACACTGCTGCTCTCTGTGTGTTTACTGAAGAAACATTTGAACATCTGAACTGCACAAATATAGGACCGATGATTAAAATCAGTCACTTGCACATTATGGATCAGTAACCAGTCTTTCTGCTCTGCTTTAGTCAACTGACATAGCTCTAATGTAAGCAACTGTAGTGCAATGACAACAGTGTGTGCTGTCACAATGGGTTTTCCAAGGAAAGCTGTTGTACTAGGACTTTGCTAGAATGACTTACTCTGTTACTACGTGAATGGTATAGACAGAACAGCAGCATGATACCAAAGATTAGACATTGAAGGTTTGCAAAGAAACTTCTTTTTGCGAGCATAGATATTCAAAATACTAGAATCACTTTGGAAGTTGTTGAAACTCACTTTGGAAGTTGTCGAAACTCTCCAGAATAATCTTCATATTTGTAGTTGACAACATACCAGTCAGAGTTGTATGTTTTAATGCACTTTAAATAAGGAAAAACATATAAGGAGATTTAACTGAGTATCTTTAAACTTCATTTAAAACTGTTCTTTGAAGTTGTGCTAGTTAATGAACAAATTGATAAAATTGTGTTATGAGTCAATCAGTCTTTCCTACTCTTAAAGCATGGTTAGTGGTAGTTATAAATGTAGAATGCACCCATACATTTTATAGATTCAGTAAATAGTAATTCAATACATGGTATTAATGAAGAATGGAATCATATGGCTCCACTTTTAAATCTGGCTTCAAAATTATGTTATGTTTGCAAGAAACCCCTCTGAACTCTCAAAACACAGGAAGAATATTTTTACTCCACCCAAGCTGCACTAATGTAACAATTCCAATTCATTCTGGCTTCAGCACCGACTTATCTTGGTGCTGGTCAAACTTATTATTATACACAACTATGTTAGCTGCTAAGACCTAACAGCAGGACTCAGCAACTGAGCCCCTATGGGCTCAGGAACACTTGAAATACCTGCTTGGTCTCCCCAAACCCCCTAACCCTTCAGTTCTTTAAAAGAAATATTTAAGGTTTTTTTCACTTCCTGGGGCTACAAATGAGCTCTCCAGCCTGCAACTGCCCTGCCTACTCCCTTTTCCCATATGGGATTCAGAGAATTCTTCCCAGAAGAAAGGAAGAGGGTGGGGCAGCTGCTGCACTGCCGCCTGCTCAAACTGCTTTTGAGCAAAAAGGTGCAAGAAAAAAAGGGCGCCTGCTGCCTGCTAACCTCCTGGATAGTGAGCAGCTGCACGGAGGGAGGGAGGGAGGAATTTGGGAGTGCAGGCTGATCGGTCCCAGTTCTTAGGGGAAGGGTTGTGTGTGAATATATGTTTCCATTTAAGGAATGTAATTTGTGTCTTTTTGTTTAAGGGAAGCAGTTTGCTTGCTTTGAGACTTGGGTATTTTGGTTTGTTTTGAAATGGGAGGGCAGAGTATTTTGCCTTTCTGTTTGCTTTGGACTAGGTGGGATTTCGTCTGTTTGCATTGGGTGTTGGGGAACTTACAGCATCACTACCAGAGGTTTTTTTCCCTGCAAAATGGGTATCTTCCAACCTCTGCTTTATAGTCTGTTTCTTGGAGAAGTGACTCTCCTTTATGAGCAATCCGGCTATCCATGGCAGCTGCTTTGTGGTGGTGTCCATGAGAGTTTCTCAGGGCATCCAGGGTCCCAAAAAGGTTGCACACTCCAGGTTATATAATGTGTGTGTGTGTGTGTGTGTGTGTGTGCGCGCGCATGTGCAGAAAATCAATTAGGATCAGAGGGGGAGTTGTGTTCTGAAGGAAAAGTGCAAATGACAACTTTGCCACACTCCAGTTAACAGTCACAGGTTCTATATGGCAGTTGCTAAACCTAAGCCTTCTAATACTGTGTGGTACAACAGGCCTTGGCCTGTGCAGTGCGGGGGGGGGGGGTGCATTCCTTATCAGTATTCTATTTCATAAACCACTCTACACCTGGAGACAATTGACTACAATATTTCAGGGTCTCTTCTCCAGGCCAGCAGGAGCCCTGAACTATTCCTCCCTGGCTCAGATACACAGCAATATTTTTTGCTTGAAGTCCTATTTTTTAACACAAAACTAAAAAATACAGAATCTTGAATTGAAATAGCATACAAGTAAAAGTGTTACCTCTGTTACAAATAAGCTTTGAGCTTCTTTCTCTGCATTATCCGGAATTGTAGAACATACATATCGATTCTGTCGTTTCAGTATTGCTGTCTTTAATGAGAGGAAAGAAACACTATTAACTCAAAATGTAAATATGTGCGATGCAATCATTTTCATGTCTGTTCAGAAATATGCATCAATGATTTTTTTCTGTTAATGTTAACACTTTGTTTCAGAACTATGTGGATAATAAAACTAGATAATAAAAACAAAAATACATTTTTACAACTAACATTTTTATTGTGAGCAATAGCCTTTGTGAAAGTGAAGAACTCTAAGAGAAATTGTATTTACTTTATCTCACTTTACATTATCTATAAACCTTCTTTCTGTATTTGGGAATCTACACTCATTTTTCTTCATTTCACTTTTTTCTTTCATCTAGTATTGAAGCATCCCCCAACTCAACCCATGCAAATCATCACTTCATTTGCAGGCAATAAATTATACAGAGGTATTTTGGGGTTGTTTCACATAGTGGTGAAATTCTGTGTGTCTGCGGTCTCACATGACTTTTTAATGAATGTCTTAAAAAGGCACCTATTCTTATGCCATAGCATTTTCTCTGGGGTTCCGTAGGGGCAAGGCAGGTGGCAGAAAGACATTCTTTTAAAAACATAGGAGAAAGAAAGTCACCTTCATTACCAGTCAGCTTCTCCCAAACATGTGGAGAACCTTCCATGAAATATACAACATGGTTTCAACCCCCTTTCACTCACTTACTAACTCACCCCCACCTGCTAAACATAACTAAAAGTTTGCATTCACAAGCTTTCAGCTCAGCTCTACTTTAAACCAAAATAATTTATTCCTTCTGTAAGCCATGCCTCCAATCAAAATCTTCCTCCCATCACTGCAAGTTTGTCCCAGCAATCCTAGGTGTAAATAGAAACTGAAATGATACCAAAGAGTCAAATGCATCTAAGTCTATATGGCTGTTCGCAGGACATGACAGAACAAGATTTTTTTAACTGTTATTTAACCCACAGTGAGGCTGCAGCATGTTAAGCCACAATTTGGAATATCCAAACCCATTTAGGGGTTGTTGTTTCACAAACCCAGCAAGTGCAGGTTATGCAAGGAAGGAGATTTTGACACTCATATAAGCCATGATCTGTTTTAGGATTATGTGAACATTGTTTAACCTTCAGAAAACTCATTCTTACTGAGTTCGTATGGTGTCACAACCCCTGAGAAGATGTTACATATTCAATCTGGTGTCTATGTTTATGTACCCAATATGTACCCAACAAGCCATGCTACTGCAACCAAATTCAATCTGTGACTTTTTCTCCATTCCACCTTAAAATGAACTGTACAGGTTTCTTTCTTTTGTTTTTGTTCTTCCACTTCTCCCCTCTTGCCTTTTGTAACATGAAGAGACCTGGAAGTTTCAAAAGATTGCTCATATTTCTGTGCATATGTGGTTATCCTTTTGTCAGGCAGTAAAGGTCTCACTTGCCATGAATTCTAGATTTTTTTAATGGATCAGCACAACTTGTTTTATGACTATGGAACTCATTATTCTCCTTACATTTTCACATTATTGCCAAACAAACAAACCCTTCCATCCCCATCTACACAAACTCAGTTAAACAAGGGGCCTCTTAATCATCAGCCTCTTTGGATAGCATCTTTGAGCAATCATTGTATAGCAAAAGCAAACAAAAATAAAAAGGTATCGAGGGTAGTGAACAACTCTTAGATTATAGGGAAACTAGCTGCTTTTGGTTGCTACCTCCTTCTTGCCACATAAGGCAGTTATGTATTTATTCATTAATTCACAGTTTTTATACTCTGTCCTTCCTCCAAAGAAAGAGCATAGAGTGATATTGATATTACAAATACTAATAAAAGAATAATAAAATCCTACTATTCCAATGAAACAGTTAAAACATGACCACGCTTTATCAATAATCATTCTTTGAAAAGTCTGAAAAGCAAACATATCAGAATAAAATGCTTGGGCAGACAATAATGTCTTTAGTTTACCTTTAAAAATATTCACAGTGAAGGCTAAATAGCTCTCCTGCCATTGAGAATGCCCTATTTTTATACTTTCTTGGTATGTTTCTATACTATATTAATCTGGGAGTCTCCTCCAAGTGCATCCTTTGGGAGAGATTAGGGAACATGGGAGAGGATCTTCTTACAAGGGGTGTTCCATAATTGTGCATACACACAGTTATGGAACATTCCCCACTGAGGTCCACCTGATGTCAAGACTGTCATATTCTCAGTGCCGAGCAAAAACTTTCCTCGTTTATTGGGCATCTGACAATGTATATATATATATATTTTATGAATCCTGACATGCTATTGTTTAGAATAGTTTTATATTTTAATAAGTTTGTGGTTTTGATATGATATTCTTTTTAGGGATTCAAATTTTAATAAACTGCTTAGAACGTTTTTGCTAATCGATGCTGTAAGAACAAAATAAATTATGTGAAATGAAGATTAGCAAAGTCTGGGCAACTAAACTAAGATTATTCCAATATAGGATTGGCTGGAGATGGCAGAAATGGACTAAAGTGTACCTTGCCACTATAGATACTTCGAAATCTAGCAAATAACAGGCATCCAGGAGCTTCTTTCAGTGCTAGTGTTTTCTTAAACAATCACAAACAAACAAAAACGCTCCTTTCTGAACAAAACAGGTTGGCAAATCTCACAGAATGGGGTTCTTCTGCCCAGTACTGTTCCAGAAATGAGTGTTTGGCTCGTTTCCAAATTGAGGAAATACTAGCTTTCTGCTGAGCAAGTGATGGGTTCCGAGAGTGAATATAATCTTTGTAGGTACACAAACAGCATGTGAAATTGCCCTTTCACTGCTACAGCATCCAACCAGAACAAGCCCAGAAACATAGAACTCCGTAAAACAAAACATAACTATCAAGCCTGCACATTGTCTTCATATAGTGTAATATAGTAACTAATACTATAGTAAATCTAGTTAGAAGAGTAATACATTGGGAAACTAAGCATGATGTGATACTTCCTTAAATGTCTATCACTGGAAGATTTATTAGATCAGTAAGTTTAATAAGAAATGGAAAATGTCTAGAAATTTTAATTCTCTTATCTTACCTAAATGTCTTCCTGTTACATAAAAATCATTTTTGGGAGAGTAAATATGAGGCAGAAACATGAAAAGCTTATCTAAAACAGGTAACTCATAATTCTAAAATTAAGTATTTTATAATAAAGGTTTTGCTTTTTCACTAAAAAAGGAAACAAAGTTCTTGGCAGGGACTTTTTTCTAGATTTTTTCCAGGCCTTCACAACTCTTTAGGTGCACAGTGTAGCTTTGAGGATAAGTGAGTACACAATGCAATCAAACATTAATAAATCAATAGTATTGTCCCTTCTCTTTCTCAATGAAAGCTTAAACACTCCTGACAAGCTACTATCATTCTAAGTTAATAGCCACATTTCCTCAGTCTACAGTCCAGTCCAGGGGGTGGGTGGACTTGCTCATACCATAAATATCAGACGTTTGAGAGCCATAAGCAGGTGTGCAGGCAGTGGTGACAGGGGATGGCAAGCAGCAAGCCACAAAATAAATTCGAAGAGCCACATGTGGCTCCCAAGCCTCAGTTTGGCCACCCAAGTACAGTCCTTGCCCTTCATATTTCTGGACAGTAGATTTGTAAAACACAGGGAATGATAGGGACTTCTACAGCATTTGTATTTGGTGAAATTTCATTTCTATTAAAGTTTAAGCTTCTTTTTAAGTTAGGTTATTTTAAAGTCTGCAGTCACTCTAAGGTAATTAAAGAAAAATGAGCACACAACTAAATTGGTTGCTATTTGAGAGCAATTTGAACTAATTTTTATAAAATGGTCACAACTTCCATTTGGTACAAAAATGTTCAGTTCTATATAGAACGTACTTAAAATATATGTCTAACTTGTTTAGCATCACTGTTAAATTTTAACAAATAAAACTAACAAAAGAAGGCTTGATGAAAAGTCAGAGCTATTAATCCAGAAGAAGTTCATCCCATCAATCTCACCATTATGTCCAATAACTGCATTAGAAGGAGTTCCATTAAATTTAATCAAGCAATTAGGGAAACAGTAATATTTACTACTACTATTATGATTATTATTTTATATACTAATCCTAAACCTAACCCTAAAAATAGTCAGATTAAAAGATTGGTTAGAGAAAATGAATAAAAAAGTGGAGATAAAAACAGTATTGGGAAAGAATATAGCTTGTTATAATGTGATCCAGTTGGAATGGTGGACCAAAGAATGGATTAGAAAAAAAGGCAAGTGCAGGGATTATACAAAGTTTGAAAATATGATTATAGAAAAGGAAAAACAAGAGAATATATGGATGAAAGGGATAATAATTAAAATACGATATTATTAGAAAAACAGGATAAATATGATTCACTTAAAGCAACATCAGAAATGGATTTGAGAAAAAAATATAAGGAAGATTGGGAAAATATTTGGACAAAGAGGATGTTAAAATGTATGTCAGTAATAAAGGAAAAATTCTACAAAATTCTATGGAAGTGATATCTAACCCCAGTTAAGTTGAATTGTATAGATAACAAATACTCTTAATTTATGTTGGAGATGTGGTCATGAAGTGAGTACATATTTTCATATGTGGTGGGAATGTGAATGTTCTGGAAAGAGGTTTTTTTAAAAAATGCAGTAAAATATTTAAATACTGATATATGCCATGAGATTGCATTACTTTAGGTTTGATAAAAAATGGAGTTGGAATATCTAAGAATTAATAACAAATTTAAGAACTGCAGCCAGGCTAAGAATTGGAAGATAATATATGATTACCAGTTGTCTGACTGGTATAGATAAGTCTGAAACATAGCAATTAATGACAAATTAACATGTGATATTAAACTTTCTACAATGTTTAACTCTCTTTGAAGCACATATACATTTGCTTATATTTGCACTCAGACATGCTTCTGTTATTCAATAATGGTCCTTCCATGGATGCTTAGCATAATTCTTTCTGGCTCTACTAAAAAGAGTATTATTTAAACATGTAGATCAACAAAGACCAACTCTTAAAAAGTGGAATCTCCCACTTTAAAACAGGAGACATTTGAAAAAAATAAGAGAAGCACTCACATGCAGGGGAGAAGTATTGCATAAATTTTAAAAATCCCTTTTCAGTCAGTAAGATTTAAATATTTGAGCTACGTTATTGATTTTCATCCAATTTGGATATTAAAGGTTAAAATATCATTTATTTTAGTTTTGATCAAAATAAGGGCTTTCAAGAGGAAAGACACAAAAAATTAAATAGCAAATCAGTTTCATATATATTAAGCATTTAAGTGCTCCCCACAAAAGCAACAGAGCCACACGTTCTTCTTTGTTCTATCCCTTTTTCTTCATATTGCATTGCAAGACTTGGTGCTTACATTATTTGTTGTGCTTACTGTAGCCAGAGCTTTTGAAACAACTTTTCCAAATTTCATTACTACTGCCTTGGATCATCTTACCTTAGTAAGTTAAGTGCCTTGAACTGCCACATTTCTGAACACTGCACAACAGCTGTGTGGAACATTTTAAACACAGCAAGTACTATGATCAGGTAAAAAATGCTAAGTGTGTATGCTAAGTGTGCAAGGCAAGGCAAGGCAAGGCAAGGCAAGGCACTCTGATTTTGAAAACTGCATTCTTGTAACAGCACACTGGATTGCACAGTTTGCCTTACATGCTATACAAAATAATGTTGTTACAACTTCTCTACCAAAACACAAGTGTTCAACTTGCCAGGCAGCAGGTGTTGTTTGAGTAAAAGGCAACCCTCAAATAATTCTAAAACAAGTTATGGGTTATTCAAGGGTTGACCACAGAGCTTACCACCAGACGCAGTGCAACACCTCTGGGCAAACCACATCAATGACATAAGAAATGTGTTGGTTCCAGGGCAGCAGAAAAGGTCTCTAGGATGTTATGTGTTCTCATTCTCTCTCCTTCTCTTTCTCTCCCCCCATTAACAATCATGTAACTCCATTAACAAAATTTCAATGCACTTAAAATAGTTTCATGTTACTGTGCTGTTGAGACACCCAAATCATGTTTATGAGACAGCATAATACTACTAGTTATGCTGTTATACTAGCCGTTACATTATCAAACAAGATAAGAGGTTATACAACAAGTGTTAACTTCATAATATTTGCTACTTCCTTTGAAATCCAGAAAATCCAGAAAGAGGGGCCTTTGGAAAAAAGTGCACATAACTCCTAAAAATCAATAAGCTGGAATATGCCTATTTTGGATAAAAGAAGCTCATCTAACGAAAAGGGAAACCAGGTGATTTCACTGAAAAATATACAATTAAAGGATTTAACTTGCTTTTCTTTCAAGTCAGTAAAACCCAAACTAAAAAATATTACAAACAGTTTTAGAAATCCAGTAATACAATAAAATCAACACAAATTCTATAACCAAAATTCAACATGACCAAAAGCACAAGGAAAAGGATAATACCCACAGCAAGCAAGGAAATTAGCTACACATAATCTTTTTGCTGTTGTTGTTGTTAGTCGCGAAGTCATGTCCGACCCATCGCAACCCCATGGACAACATTCCTTCAGGCCCTCCTGTCCTCCACCATCCCCCGGAGTCCACCTAAGCTCACACCCACTGCTTCAGTGACTCCATCCAGCCACCTCATTCCCTGCTGCCCCCTTCTTCTTTTGCCATCTATTGTTCCCAGCATTAGACTCTTCTCCAGGGAGTCCCTCCTTCTCATTAGGTGGCCAAAGTATTTGAGTTTCATCTTCAGGATCTGGCCTTCTAAAGGGCAGTCAGGGTTGATCTCCTCTAGGACTAACCGGTTTGATCACCTTGCTGTCCAAGGGACTCGCAGGAGTCTCCACCAGCACCACAATTCAAAGGCCTCAATCCTTTGGCGCTCAGGTTTCCTCATGGTCCAGCTTTCACAGCCATACATTGCAACTGGGAAAACCATAATCTTTTACCAACAGTCAAATTGCCAGCCTTCTTTAAGAACCATGTTTCTGCTACACAGCAAACATCAAACAGTGATGGTGCCAGGTCAGAATCCCTAAAGATAACAGGGTATAATAATTGATAAGAACCTATATTTTATATCCACTTCACATAGTTGCGGGGAAGGCACAGAGTAAGACTTCAGATATACATACAAAAATCAGTCCATCAGGTATCCTTCTCCCAGTCCATTTAAGATATTTTTACAAGGTAAACATTTTGAGTTGAGGCCATTAATAAACACACAACTAAAGAGGATGAAGAATAATATAGACTATCAAGAGTATTAAACTCATCTGGGGAGCTTTAACCATTAACGAGCTTTACATTAATTCCAAACACTTACAAAATTAAGAAAAGTAAAAAGTTACCTGAAAGTCGTCATAAGGGAAAAGTAGCATCTCACGCAAAGCATCATTGAGTATTTGAGTTTTCTTTTGAACAATGACATTTTCATAGTCTAATGGCTCAATTACCTTTGGTTTTGCCTAAAAAAGAGATGGAAATCTTTAAGTGAATTATGTACAACCTTTTTATTCACTATCTAAATGACTTAAGTGACTGCAACCCTATGCAAATAAATTTAGAAGCAAGCACCACTAAGTTCAAAGGCAGTGTATAAAACTGCAACTGTAATTAATGCAGTGGAGACAGAATTTTTCATATAAATATAAGTGGAAAGGAATACGCATAACGCACAATACAACCTATATTTGTGGGGGGAAATTGTATACAAAATGGCAATACACATATTAAATAGAATTACATGAGGTTCCAAGTTTGCCTGAGGTACTAAATCAAAGCAAATAACATTTTTTTTCCATTCCAAGATGAAACAAATTTATTGTAGTTTCAGAAAAAGAGGTATACTAGGATAGGGTTTTCCTAGAAAATGCTTTTTGGAATTTCACAGATGTGGACATAGGTTAGTCAAAAGTTACTTCAGATTTCGTAGTATCTACCACATGGGAACGTTTTTATTAAACAAAATGTTATTGGAGGAAGTTCAAAAAGAACAAACTGTTATATTTGGAAAGAAACACTTTCATGGAGAGGCTAGAGAACTAGGAGTAAGCAACTAACATTTAAAAAAAAGTGCACACAATACATTGTTACAGAAAGAAAAAGTATGCTTTAATTGTTTGTACAGTAGAGTACACCAGTTCAAAGTATAAGAACACCCACATACAAAAGGCAGACCAATGACTTCAAAAGCAAATGACTATTCCATTGTGAAAGGGCTTTTTGAAATAATACAGGCTAAAGACTGTAAAAAATGGAACAAGAAACAAACACTGACACAGAAAAAAGACACATGCAGATGTACACATTTTCTGGTTGAAAGTTAATTTGCCCATGATATAGCATTAACTGTAGATTAATTTATTCAGTGCCCAGATCATAAGTAAAAGTGTCATTACATCTCAGTGTGCTTCAAATTACATACTTTTTTCCCAGAACCTGTCAGTTAAATCTAGTAACTTCTGAAGATTAATGAATAGGGATGAGACATGTAAAAAGCAGTTGCTAAACTGCCAATGGTGGTGACCAATTTATTCATTAAGGAAGAACCAGTAAGAGAAACAACCTTCAGACTGGTAGGGTAAACCATAATGGAGAACCAAAACAAAAAATGTTGTTCATTCTTACAATTCTGGAGAGCTCCTGCAGTGAGGTGGCTAGAGAGTTGGACTGGAGGGCCAGGAAATCTGCATTTGAGCCCTCATCCAGCCATGAAACTCACTGGGTGCCTTTGGGCCAGTCACTTCCTCTTAACCTAAGCTATCTCACAGGGTTTTTGTTGTGAGGATAAAATGGAGAAGAGGGCAATGTAAGTCATCACAAGAAAAAAAAAAGGTGTAATGTAGAGGTAGGAGCAAAAAATACTTTCACCTATAAGGTGTTGGTTCTCTATCTAGTTTTCTTGGAAATACTTTATGTTGAGAATAAATAAAAGCACAAAATAATCTCTTGAAAATATATTGTACCATACAGGAGTTCTGGTTGTAAAATAAAAATGTAAGGGACTCTGTCATTTATCCAGTGGTGAGGAGTACTACAGGCACAGCTAAGTTGTTATTCCCCGTCCTGCCCCCGTCCCCAGAACTTGAAACAGCAACAGTTGAGCTATATAAACATGGTGAAGCGTAGTGGAAGACAGCATGTGCTAGAATTAGGACATCTGACTTGCAGGATTTTTTTGACAGGCATTCAGTTCCAACACCAATAAAGCTATGGGTGAGCCTTATTTTGTCCACTTCTGATTCAGCTGTAATTCAGAAGTTTTCTCAAAGAGAACTTGCACAAATCCAGATTTTGTACTTGTTCTGCTTGTATTATATCCAAGAGACAGCTAATCACAGGAGTGTGCATGCTTGCACAAGGAAAGAAAAATAAGGTGCTCATCAAGTGATAGCTCTTCCAAGGGTCTGTTGGGTACTTCAGAAGGACTGACATTAACTTATAACTTCAGAGAAGGCAAAAAGCAATTTCCAGGAAAATAAGCAGAGGAAGAAGAGGAGGAGGAGGAATGGGAAAACAGCCACAGGAAGCTACCTTCCCCTGAAGGATCAGGTTTGTAGCTTCAGGCTGCCCCTTGATCCATCTCTGTTATGTGAGGCTCAGGTGACATTGGTGGCTCAAAGAGCCTGCTACCATCTTTGGCTGCTGGCCAGTCACACCCCTACCTGGACAGGGACACCCTGGCTTCAAGTAATGGTCTGGTAATCTTTAGATTGGATGACTACAACACACTTTATGTGGGGCTGCCCTTGAAGATGGTTCAAAAGCTGCAGCTGGTGTAGAATGCAGCAGCCGGATTAACAACTGGGACCACACAGTATGACCGTGTAAAACAGTTCTAGCTTACCTGCATTGGCTGTCTGTTTGCTTCAGTTCCAATTCAAGTTGCTGGTCTTAACCGAAAAAACGCTACATGACTTTAGGGCCACAACCTGTTGGAGTACCTCTTCCAGCTCCAATCGGCCTAGATACTATGCTTAGCCTCTGGGGTCTTCATGCCATCCCCTTGAGAGGCCAAGGGGTGGCGAGTGGGGGAAGGCAAGTTTTGTGCTGGCCCCTATCTCTGGAATTACCTCCCCACTACATTCAACCTGGCACCAAATTGGCTGCCTTTTCACCACCAGGTTAAGATAGCCCTCTTTATGGAGGCCTTTAAAGGTCCCCCTGGTCATCAAAGAACCTTTTTTCCTTTCTTCTTGGTTGGGTCTTTTTATTGTATTTTATGTATTTATTTTATTGTATTTTTTGTGTTCTTAATGTATTTTAATGTTATTTTAATTATTTTAAATGTTTTAAATGCTATTTTATTTATTGTATTTTATTATTTTATATCTTGTCGTGAACCGCAGAGAGCTTCAGCTCAGGCAGTACAGAAATAAATCACAAGCCAAATAAATGGCTTGTGATTGCAGCAAGGACAGAAGACAAGGCAGCTTTACTCACCAAGTCCCAGTGATGCTGAGTTGAGAAGCAAGGGGCAAGGAGTGGGTACAATCATCTTGCAGGTGTACCATGGGATGTTCCACAAAGAAGGCACACTGTGTAGCTTATTTGAGGTTGTGTTACCATATTATGCAAATAAACCCACTGTGTACTGACTGACATTATAGTTGCCTTATACCACTTATAGTTCCTGATGAAGTTACTAAGCTAAAAAGTAACCTGATGCAATTTTTTATTATTAAAATGTTATGGTTATATTTCTTTTATTCAGAAGAAGCTAAATTTGAAAAACATGCTGAAACAGAAAAATACTTTCTTCAGTTTATGTACTTTTACCATCTAGCAGAGTGACTATGTTAGCCTGATAAAGCAAAAACCTAGGTTCATCCAAGTACCACAGGACTCTCTGTTTTGTATTTCTCTGGGTTAACTTCGACATAACAGGGTTCTTTTCCCTCTTACATCCAATTTCACATGCTGTTTTTCTTTGTTTTCTTTTAACATGGGCCTCTTTCAAAGCCTATTATCCCAGAAATCTTAATAAAACAGTATTTGACTTTTTGCCTATTAAGGACAGCATAAGAAATGGTATTTCCTTGAAGCAGGCTAAGGAACTACTCAAAGGCCCTCATAAAACCTGCATATAAATTTGAAACCAATATTCTGCCTAATTTTGTTTAACCTCATAATACATTTTCCTAAAATGATTTACATCATTTAAGATAACTTGCTGATAGACTTTCAAGAAATTCACATTGTCAGTAAGAGGAAGGATATTTCATCATCCACAACACAACGGTACTAGGACAACAAACTGACTTTGGCAATACTTACACTGACACTACTACTTTCCAGGAAATCAGAATCTCTCTTGCATTCCCTTACAGATATTTTCCATTACATGTATCTTCATAAAAATGGGAAAAGCATGTGTTGCCTAGAAAAATAGCAGGCAGTACTACTACTATAATTATTATTTCTGCTTTTACCCTGTTCAAGGGACTAGATAATTACTTTCTCTAAAATAGTGCAGTTCTACCCTATAAAGCCCTACATGGCCCAGGCCCCAATACCTAAAGAAAGGCCATTCTTCATATGGACAACCAGTCCCTATGATTTGTTGCAAAAGCCCTTCTGTGTGTGCCTTCTTTGGAAAAAGTTGGCGGTGAGAGGGCACCTGTGGAATGATCCTATTTTCTGAAAGTCATGTATATAATGCATTCCGCAAGGAAAGCATCCCCCTGGCACCAATACTGCCATATTTTCAGCCTTAGGCAAAGATGTACTTGTTTTTTCCTGACATTTGAACAGTAGTTATGCCCCAATTTAGGTTGGCTGTTTTTGTGGTGTTCATTCTAGCCAAGGGGCAGGAAGATTTTGTATATTGTGGATAACAATTTTTGTACTGTATTATTTTAGATTATATTTTATGGTGTTTATTTTTATTTCTAGTACTGTGCTGATGTTTTATAGAGATTTTTGCTACCTTAATTAAGGATTTCTGTATTGTACATTTAAGTTATTCTGAAACTGGTTATTGTGAGCAACACATAATAAAATAAAATAAAATAAAATATGCACAAATTTTGAAGCACGCCATTCACTGTGGTTACTCTGCTTTCTAAATGTATTCAGAACTTATCTACAAAATTTATCATTAATGATGCTATCTCTCTGGCTTCCAAAGGTATTGCGACATAAAGAGAAGTGTCTGCTTATAATTAACAAACCAACACAAATTAGGAAGTATGGTTTCTCTAAAGCAGAATCCTTAGTCTTGCTTCTTTCTATCATACTCCATACAAATGGCACTGGATGAGTTAAAGAAATTAAGTAATATAATTTAGCACTGCTACAGTAATGTGGTTGAGTTATTTTATTCTGCAAACTGTGTTCAGTGGTAGAAAGAAAGATGGCAAGGGAATACCGGAAAGGTAAATAAAATGGAAGATAGAACAGAGTAAATTAATGCAGAAACAGAAATCCAGGAAAGGAGCTGCAAACTGTGCATCTTAACTTACTC